GGCTCTTGCTGCTGGAGCTGTCGACGTCCTTCGTCGACGGCGTCTTCTTTGATGCTTGCTTCTCCTTGCGCGGCTTCTCATCTCGACGGGGGCGACGACTGGCCGATCGACCAGGGCCTCCCTTGTTGTCGTCCTCGTCTCTGTCATCGCGGTCGAGGCACTCGAATGAGAGATGGTCGGGGTCGCCGCAGATCCAGCACTCCCGCCGTCGACCACCACCTCGTCGACCCTTGTCCCGTGTCGACCGCTTCTCGTCGACGTCCTTCGTCGACCGCCCACCTCCGCCCGGCTTCCCGCGCTGCCCTTGCTGCTGATTCAGCTTCGTCGATGTAGCGTAGTTTGCCTGCGGAAGGAGCTCTGTGGGCTGTTCGGCCTCCTGCATCGCCTCATCTTGAAGAATGTAGCTGGTGATGGAGTCCTCGTCGAGGGACTCACGCGTGCCGGGCACCATCATCATCCTCTTCATGAGATTGTAGCTGCGCGGCAAGCCCTTGACGATGTGGGTGATGTAGGACGCCGTCGAGTATTCGGCGCCCGCCATCCGCATCTCAGCCAGGATCCGTCGAGCACGGTTGCAGTAATCCGTCGCCGACTCCTGCTCGCCCATCCGAATGTGAGTCATCTTCTCCTCCAGTTGCCCGATGTACAGGTCGTCCCTGACCTGGTACGTCGACATGATGAAGTGCCATGCCTGGTGACCAGCATCCAGTCGCTCTCGACAGCTCCTGAGCGCTAGCTACACCACCGTCGAGCAGCACCTCGAGATGACCATGAAGGTGAGCAGGTGAGAAGAACGAAACTCCCCGCGCAGCTCGACATCCTCCTCGGGCGGAATTGGCACAGTGCCGCCGGCGAAGCCCTTCAGCCCGGCGACCTCCAACTGAGGTTCTATCGACTCCCTCCTGGTGATGAGGTCCCGTCGACCTTGCAGCGGTGCGACGGTGATCCGGTCCGGCGAAAATTTGAAGTAGCCATACGCCGGTGCAATCCCGCCTGCAGTCACATGCGACGTCGCCGAGAGCCCTCCACCGCTTCGTAGAGGAGAGCGACGTCGAACATCGACGCCGGCACGCGAGCTGCCTGCAACCGACGTCGACCGCTGCACCCGCGCCTGGATTCCGTCGACACCACCGTCGACCTTGATCACCCCTCTTTGCCTCGTGCCTTCGCTGCCGCTGACTCGTGCACCACCGTCGACCTCGTCGTCGACGCCACCTTCGTTGCGCACCGGTCGAGGAGAAGCAGGACGGGAAGGGTGTTCCGTCGCCCACTGCGACCGGATGCCCAACTCGGCGATCACCAAGGGGATCGTCCCGTACTCGCCATCCGCGTGGCGTCTCCTCGCGTCAGCCAAACATGCCTCCAAGGTGTCCGCTACGCCCGCATCAACTACGGGGTCGACCATGGCGACAATCGCTGCTGCCGGCCTACGAACGACTTAGTAGGTGCAAAAGTCGGCTCCGATCTGAAGGTATTTGCGGGGCCGTCTACGCTCACCGCACCATGCGGAGAGTCCCTCCTACAACGGTAGTGAGCGAGACTACGGGGGTTGGCACGAACTACTAGAGGTGATCGTAGCTTTGCTTGGTTCTTTAGTGCTTGCACATTCACGGGAGAAATCGGCAAGAGTTTCCACTAGCAAAGTTGGAATTACATAATAATTGAACAAGCAATGACTGAATGACTACATCAGGCACCTAGCAACCCTGCAGCTAGCCTGGTCGACCGCCAGCACAGCTCGGTCGACCGCCTACCAGCGTTGCGTAGAGGAGCCGCGCCAGCACTGCAGAAGGGCGACCTGCCAACAGAGCAGGTCGACGGCGTGCCAACGCTGCAGCAGAGCGGCTGTCCAGCGTTGCCCTGTAGAACACAGCAGTGCGCACGCTCGCATGTGCGCGCAGACGATTGGCCCGATTTGCTTCGTTTGGCATCCGTCGGCTGTTGTCTGCGCCTGACAAGCCACATCGACTTCGGGATACCAACCCGCAGTCGCCTTCGCCATCGCGACCTCGACGACGTTCGCGTGCCTCCGCAGAACTCGTCGAGCAGGTTACCCGATCGACCCGGTCGACCACCAGGTGCTTCTGGTCGACCACCACTGCTTCTGGTCGACCCCCAGGTCCCTCTGGTCGACTACCAGGCGCCCCTGGTCGACCACAGCTCCCGTCGAGCTACCCTCTGGTCGACGGACCCCTTCCGTCGACCGGAACAGTCAGCGATTGTCGCCGAGCTCCCTCGTCGACCGCTGCTCACTTGCCAGGTCGTCGGACCACTCCGTCGACCTCCCGGTCGAACTGCAGGTCGACGGGATGCTCCGGAGACCTCCCGGTCGAGCTGTAGGTCGACGGGATGCTCCGGAGACCTTCCGGTCGAGCTGCAGTTCCTGGTCGACGTCCCACCCGTCGCCCAGACCAGTCAGTTGCAGCTGTCGAGCTCCCTGGTCGACAGCAACACCACAGCGGTCCCCTGCAGCTCGACGAAGCGTGTCGAGCAGCTCTCCCACTGTAAACGGTCGGCTGCTACTCCCGTACATCCGACCAAGTCGTCGGTGTTGCCCAAGCGAGGGCGGGGCCAACACTCCATTCCCGTTAACAGTGTGGGCGGACAGTAGGTTTTGCTGCCAAGGAGCGAGAGAAGAGGAAGACGACGGATTATCAACCTATTCTGCGGCAGCACAGGGGGGTTCGTTTCTTCCTGTTGATTCTTGAGACTTGGGGTTGCTTGGGGGGAAGCTTTCGACAGTGGTTGCGACAGCAGGGGGAGGTTCAAGTAAAGGTGGCTCTTAACAAAGGTGTGGGAAGGGGCAACAGCTTGGGTTTTTCGGAATACTTGGTGGGGTCCTTGACAGCCGCGGTAGGGGTAGCTTTGCAGAAGGCACAGGCTCGGGTGATTCTTTTGCGGGCGGCATACACGTTGGGTCAGTCAGAGGCGGAGTGGGTAGAGCGAGGGGGTGGGGAGCAGGAGTTTGGAGAGGGAGCACCATGGGTGGACGTGCCCTACTTGGTCGACATGCGGCTGTAGATGTCTTAGGAAGCAAAACTTTGTTTCGGGTTTTGGCGATGGTCTTTTGATGTTTAAAGGACACATCCAGAATTACCGTGTCGGCCCCAAAACTGTCACCACTTTCGTGTGATTGGTCGAAAGTTTTGAGTGGGTTTTTGACGCGATTGGTTCTCGATTTCCCCACCGAACCTGTCTCTGGGGTTTCCCGAACCTACAATTTTTTAGTTGACTTCGTTGTGTAATTCGGGGTGTGGCCTTTAAGATAGATAGCAGTGTAATAGCTGACCTAAGAAAGTTATTGTGCACGAAGCAATCCGTGCTTCAATAACAGCCTATGACGCGTAGCGGCGAGTTGAAGCGGAAGTGGCCTGCGGAAACGGAAGCGGAAGCGTTATCTGTACTTGATTGGTGGTTTGCACGCGTGGAGGAACCTTGAGTATGCGATCTGATTTGACATAATTAAATGGGGCGGGCGAAGCCGTTTCGAACAACCCACACCAAGCTGAGGTCGCTTGTCCTATGACAAACCAAGCCCCTCGGTTTGGGCTTGGCCGGAGCGGGCGTGTGGTTGCAGGGCTAAGGGCGGGTCCAGCGCGTACGTTTTCCGTACATTACAGTTCATCCAGTACGGTAATCTGTACTGCGTCACGGTTCAAAACGGTGCAATGTTTATACCGCTGTGCACCGTTTGATATCGTTTTTAACCACTACGAATGAACTCTATAGTACCTGGAAACGTACGCGCTGGACCCGCCCTAAGCTGCGGGAGCTTGGCTTGTCTGCGGGTTCAGCTCCTCTTCTTGTTCAATCTGTTGTTGGCAATTGCGGTGGATATTGAAGTCAGGCAGACAGGCACACGCAACGAGCGGCAGTGTCGGTGAAGACAGCGGCGCTCTGGCGGTGCCTCATGGAATAAGCACTGGTGATGATGCAAGGCCAACTGAGGCAATTAGTTCTCACATTTCTCGTGGATTCGCCTCTGCTATGGGAGCCAATATTCCAAAGGCGGCTCTTTTCTAGTTTGTCACGCGATTGGAGTATTTTGTGAGGGCGGTGGGATTGATGGGTGCTGTTTTTTGGCGTTTTTAAACGACCGCCTTGCATTTTGCAAGGAGTGATGCTTGAGATTTCCCTCGGGAAGGTATAGCGGTTCTGCTTTGAAGTATGGATACGAGCCTCAGAGACTCCCAAACTGTGGAGCTTCTTCGCAGAATAGGTGAAACCCCCCCGAACGACGTCTTTGCGTGAATCTCCTAGGCAGACGCCTCAGCCCTTGCACGCCAGCATGCATTACCGTTTCCTTGACTAACCTTTGAGGCCGACTGCGGTTTTTTCTCACCACTATCTCAGAAAGGTCCTCTTCGCGGTACCACATTCAGCCGCAATACTTACGTTCACTATGTGAAACTTCTTCCTACGATCTTTATATACGTACTATACTGAATATATTCATTTGTCGTTACTCGCGTCCCTCCGATTCAGCCAAAGCCCTTCAATTAGCCAATAACCGTCAGATTCAGCCAGTAACTCTTCGATTCAGCCAATAGCCGCCCGATTCAGGTATGGGGACGCGCGTCGCAGTGTCGTGGTGGATGCCTGCGTTGATAGCTTGGACTCTCGGGTGGTTAGCTCTCTCCATCTTCGTAATATGGTCCACGCGGAAAGCGGCGCTCGATCCGCTAAACGCGGACCTCACGTCGTGGTGCCTCGCGCGCGTGCGATACCTGGATCAAGAAATCGCGTCGAACTTGAACCACGCTGAGGTGTGTGTGACAGATCTCTCGTTAGGTCACTTCATGAGCTCATTCGCCGCGTACGGCGCACGCGCGCGAGCGCGCGCGCGTGTGGGGTTTCGTAGACCTAGGTTGCCTGCTACGCTGCCGCGTGTTCTGGTTTTCGCGTTTCCATCTCACTATCACAGATGATAGCATGCATCGTGTTTCCCCGTGTTCTAGGTCGCCTGGAAGCAAGATCTGTAAGCTACATTACGTGGAATCATGATGCGGCCTTTCGCGTCCTTCACGCCCTCCCGCGTGCATCGTGTTCCCTTTCCTCCCCGCGTGCATCGTGTTCCCTTTCCTCCCCGCGTGCATCGTGTTCCCTTTCCTCCCCGCGTGCATCGTGTTCCCTTTCCTCCCCGCGTGCATCGTGTTCCCTTTCCTCCCCGCGTGCATCGTGTTCCCTTTCCTCCCCGCGTGCGTCGTGTTCCCTTTCCTCCCCGCGTGCATCGTGTTCCCTTTCCTCCCCGCGTGCATCGTGTTCCCTTTCCTCCCCGCGTGCATCGTGTTCCCTTTCCTCCCCGCGTGCATCGTGTTCCCTTTCCTCCCCGCGTGCATCGTGTTCCCTTTCCTCCCCGCGTGCATCGTGTTCCCTTTCCTCCCCGCGTGCATCGTGTTCCCTTTCCTCCCCGCGTGCGTCGTGTTCCCTTTCCTCCCCGCGTGCATCGTGTTCCCTTTCCTCCCCGCGTGCATCGTGTTCCCTTTCCTCCCCGCGTGCATCGTGTTCCCTTTCCTCCCCGCGTGCATCGTGTTCCCTTTCCTCCCCGCGTGCATCGTGTTCCCTTTCCTCCCCGCGTGCATCGTGTTCCCTTTCCTCCCCGCGTGCATCGTGTTCCCTTTCCTCCCCGCGTGCATCGTGTTCCCTTTCCTCCCCGCGTGCGTCGTGTTCCCTTTCCTCCCCGCGTGCGTCGTGTTCCCTTTCCTCCCCGCGTGCGTCGTGTTCCCTTTCCTCCCCGCGTGCATCGTGTTCCCTTTCCTCCCCGCGTGCATCGTGTTCCCTTTCCTCCCCGCGTGCATCGTGTTCCCTTTCCTCCCCGCGTGCATCGTGTTCCCTTTCCTCCCCGCGTGCGTCGTGTTCCCTTTCCTCCCCGCGTGCATCGTGTTCCCTTTCCTCCCCGCGTGCATCGTGTTCCCTTTCCTCCCCGCGTGCGTCGTGTTCCCTTTCCTCCCCGCGTGCGTCGTGTTCCCTTTCCTCCCCGCGTGCGTCGTGTTCCCTTTCCTCCCCGCGTGCGTCGTGTTCCCTTTCCTCCCCGCGTGCGTCGTGTTCCCTTTCCTCCCCGCGTGCGTCGTGTTTCCTTTCCTCCCCGCGTGCGTCGTGTTTCCTTTCCTCCCCGCGTGCGTCGTGTTTCCTTTCCTCCCCGCGTGCGCGACGGTTTCCCCTCGTCTCGATTCCGCGTCTCGTAAATCCCCTGGATTTACCCCTACATTCATCCTCTCCACGCTTTCAACGCATTCTTTGCATTCCCCGCATTCTTTGCATTCCCCGCATTCTTTGCATTCCCCGCATTCCGCCCATTCACCACGTTCCCCGTAATGTAGCTTCCAAGCATCCCCCGCATCAGCCGCATCCCCCGCATCCCCCCAATGCTCCCTGATCCTGTGGAGCTAATCAGAGTATGTCTTCGGCCCGAAGAGGGCACCATTGAGTCGACCCCAAACCCGCATCTTCCGTATCCCCCGCATTCCCTCCATGCCCTGCGTTCTCTGTTCCTTCCGCTCTCCCCCACCTCCTAACCCCCCCGCAACTCCCGCCCCGATTTCCGGCGTTCCCCGCACTCCTCCCGCCGCCCCCCTTCCCCCCCGGGCGGGCAGGTGAACGTGGGGCTGATCAAGATGTTCAACGGGTTCGGCCCCAAGGCGCCGAACCTGGCGTACAGGGGGTACACGGGGTGCCTCAACAGTCATGTCATTCCCCGTATTCCCCGCATCCCCGCGCTCCCCGCGCCCCCACCCCCCTCTCCCCCCCCCCTCCCCCCTTCTCTCCCCCTCCCCCCCTCTTCCCCCCTCCCCCCCTCTCCCCCCCTTCCTCCCGTGGGCAGGTGAACGTGGGGCTGATCAAGGTGTTCAACGGGTTCGGCCCCAAGGCGCCGGACCTGGCGTACTGGGGGTACACGGGGTGCCTCAACAACCGCTCCTGGATCAAATACGCCGAAGAAACGCAGTACGCCAAGCCCTGGATGACCAACGCCTGGCTCGCCTTCGTCGACGGGCAGGACAGGTACATCTCAGTGGGCGTTATGTTTGGATGGATTCATATATACGTATACTATATCTTCATATGCTTATGTATATAAAGTTCGCAATACCCGTCCCTCTCCACACCCCCTCCCCTCCTTCCCCCCTCAACTCCAGGCTGATGATAGAGTCAATCCCTCCCCTCTCCCTCCGCACTCCGTCCCTCTCCTCTCCTTCAAATCCAGGCCGATGATAGAGAAGTCGCTGGGGTGCCAGTTTCAGGGCATCAACTATCTGGAGGCGAGAGTGAGCGCGCGCAAGGACTGCTACGTGGTGAACCTCTTCCAGTTCAGCCCCTTCTTCAACTGGCCGCAGTGCACCGACTACTCCCAGCCCACTCTCTCTCCTCACTCACAGCCCCCCATCCCTCTCCCCGCTCCCTCCCCTTCTCCTCCCTCCTCCCTCCTCCTTTGTCCCTCCTCTCCCCCCCTCCCTTCCCCCTTCCGCGTCCCCCTTCCCCCTTGCCTTTTCTCCTCAGGCCGATGATAGAGAAGTCACTCGGATGTCAGTTTCAGGGCATCAACAGTCTGGAGGCGAAAGTGAGTGCGCGCAAGGACTGCTACGTGGTGAACCTGTTCCAGTTCAGCCCCTTCTTCAACTGGCCGCAGTGCACCGACTACTCCGATCGCTTTGGCGAGGGCTGCAGCAACCTCAACACCAAGTGGAAGAGCCGCGGCAGCCCGCCGTACCGGTTTCGAAACGGCCACATCGGATTCAGTGAGTAGGTGGTTGGGATTGGGATGGGGTTGTGTGACTTGGGGGTTGGGGTTTGGTCTGTGGAAAATGGGTTTAGTGGCTTGGCTGGTTAGGTTTGGTGGGTGGAGGATCGGGTTGGTAAAAGGAGAAAGGTGATCGGAGGAGGGAAGGGTGTGGGCAGTGGTTAGGGAGTAGCGATGGGAGGGGTTGCGGTTGTGGTTGTGTCCATGTGCTCATGGAGTTTCGGTTGATTGTTTGAGAAATATATCTGCCTTTTGCGGGCTCGTGCTATTTGTGGACTTGCGTATGCTTTGTGTGTGTGTGTGTGTGTGTGTGTGTGTGTGTGTGTGTGTGTGTGTGTGTGTGTGTGTGTGTGTGTGTGTGTCCGTGTCTGTGTCTGTGTCTGTCTGTGTGTGTCTGTTTGTCAACAGGTTTTGGCATTCCAGTGTTGCGCCACCCAATCGACGACAACGCCAAGTCAGAGGAGGTTCTGGCAGCGCTGGCGGGGTTCCTTGCGCCTGGCATCGACGCCGAGGCGCTCATAAAGCACACACTCTACTCTGTACTCGATACAGGTACATTCTGTGTACTCGCTACAGGTATGTTGTCTGTACTCGACATAGGTGGCACTGTGGTGTACTCAATACAGGTAGATACACTGTGCTGCTGGAATGCTGTCATCCAAGTGAGAACAAAAGGTACAGATTCTCTCGTCCCCCTTGACTAACTTAACCGTCACCAACCCCTTCAGACGTCTCAAATCTTCCTTCTGGTCGCAATTCCCTTCAGACTCCTATCATCCCTACCCGCCGCCTCTCCTCCTCCCCTCTCCCATTCCGTATCACCAGCTCCCATTCCGTATCACCAGCGCCCTCCATCACCAGCGTACCATCTCCCTCCACCATGTATGATGTCACCAACACCTTGACACGTTCTAAGCCCTTCCTTCCATTCCCCTCCTCCCCGCACCTCCTCTGGCTCAACCCTTTCCCCCGCCCCAACCTTCCCCCTTTCATTGCCCAGGCAACTCGACCGCCATGTCCTTCACAATGTACGACGTCACGAACGCGTCCAACCCGCTCATGGTGTTCGGGGACACACAGCCCGCCACGGGCACCAACCCCATCTACCCCATGGTGCTGCCCGCGCCCATCCCCCCGGGCGACAAGGTCGTGCAGCCCTTCCCCGACGACTTCATCGGCCGCCGCTACGAGGGCCACTGCCGCTACCGCCACCCTCCCCCCGTCTGGGGGACCCTGTTTGCTCCCATGCTCCTCGGGCTCCTGGTGCTGCTGGTCGCGGTGCTGCTGACGTTTATCATAGTGTCGCTTGCGAGGAAGAAGGCGAGGATACGGCAGCAGATGGCGGAGGTGGAAGAGTATACTCTCGCGCTGGAGCAGGCGGAAAGGTCTAAGAGCGAGTTTGTCGCGAACCTGTCGCATGAGCTGAGGACGCCTATAACGGGGATGTTAGGGATGATGGATTGGCTGCTGGAGTCGAGTCTGTCGGAGTGGCAGCACTGGGATCTGCTGGACGCCAAGACGTGTGCCGTTGAGGCGATTGGGCTTCTGAATAGCGTGCTGGATTTGGCCAAGCTGCAGGTACGATTGAGGTTACGAGTATCTGTGTCTGTGGCAGCAAGGTGTGCTGTGGGCAACAGGTACAGCTGACAAGGTGGGTCTGGGCTGGGGATGCTGGGGATGCTGGGGATGATGGACTGGCTACTGGAGTCGAGTCTCTCTGAGTGGCAGCACCGGGAAGGCCATTGGGCTGCTCAACAGCGTTCTGGACCTCGCCAAGCTGCAGGTGGGTCTGTGGGCAGCAAGGTGGGGCTGACATGCTGGGAATGCTGGGAATGATGGGGATGATGGGGATGAGACGGATGATGGATTGGCTGCTGGAGTTGAGTCTGTTTCATGCCTTCTCCCTCCCCCACCAATCTCCCCCTCTTCCTCCCTCCTCCTGCTACTCCTCTGGCCAGGCGAACCGGTTGGTGCTGGAGGCCTTTCCGTTCAGCCCACACCAATGCGCGGACTTAGCTGTGCGCGCCCTCATGCCCGCTGCGCACAAGAAGAACCTGCAATGTGAGTGCCTCCTCACAGTCACAGTGTGCTGTGCTGCAGTGTGAGTGCCTGCTACACCAACTGAGTGATTCTGATTCCCAGGCAGCGCCTGAAACAAGTACCTGAAATCATTCAGCGCTTGAAATAAGTCTTTCACGAACCAGCTCCTTTTCAAAGCGCCTCCAAAAACTCGTTGAGTCTCTGAGAGAGAGAGAGAGGAGGACCATTCGAGAGGGGGAGAAAAAAAAAAAAGAGCCTCCTTTCCCCCCCCAAACCTTCCCTCCCTCCCCTTCCTCCCTCTGTCTTGAAGTGCCGAACCTGCTCCTATCCTATGCGACCCCCTCTAATGGGGCATGTCAAGCAGCCTCACATTGACTTCTCTTTGCTCTCTTCCCCTCCCCTCCCTCCTCGTGCAGTCATAGTCAGGATGCACGCCAGTGTTCCGGACGTGCTCATAGGCGATCCCACTCGCGTGGGGCAGGTCATGCGAGAACTCATCAGTGAGTGCAAGCAACCCTATCTCTCTCTTGCATACCACACCGCGTGCACCGTTTCTTGATTCCACTGAAAAATAGGCTTATAGGCGGCCAGCCCCACTCGCGTGGGGCAGGTCATGCAAGAACTCATCAGTGAGTGCACCTCGTGTCTACCCTCTAATTGCATCTGCTCCGTTACCATTGAAGCGACTTATCAGCGAGTGCACCTGGCCGTTTTTGTGCCTGCTCGTTGACCATTCTGCCTGAAATCCCCCCCGAGACGTCCCTTCGGTTCCTCTTCGGTTCCTCTTCGGTTCCTCCACTTGTCAAAGCCGTTGTCGAATCCGCCAAATCCTTCTGATTCCCCACCCCCCGTGTAGAAAGTGCATTTTTGAGACGTCTCAAAAAATGCACTTTCTACACGGGGGGTGGGGAAGAGACGTCCCTCCGGTTCCTCCACTTGTCAAAGCCGTTGTCGAGTCCGCCGGATCCTTCTGATTCCCCACCCCCCCTCCCCCACTTCCTTCTCCCCTCCCCGTGCCCCTTCCCCATACCCACACACACACCTCGCTCCCTCCCATCAACCCAACCCATCCAGGTCACGCCATTCGCAACACCGTGTCAGGTCGGGTGATCCTCCACCTTTGGTGTGTGCCCGCTCCCGTGCCTGTCCAAGCCGTTGCCGAGTCTACCGAACCTGACCTGGAGGCCTGGATCCAAGGTTTGGAGGTTAGGGGAGAGGACAAGGAGATTGAAGGAGGCGTAGCGGGGGGCGTGTACGGTGGTAAAGTGGCTGCTGCTGCTGCAAACGAGGATGCTTATATTGGGGATCAACGGCAAAGGGAGGAACTACTGGCTCGAATGAAGAGGAGTGGCTGTGCTGAATGCTGTGGTGCTGCTGCTAGGGATGCTGGTGGTAACGATGGTTCTAGTAGTGAGGATGCTGCTAATGGTGCTGCTGCTGCTGGTGGCATTGGCTGTTTTGGCTCGAGACAGAGCAGCGGGCAGGAGATGGGCGCCAGCGGGCGGGAGATGGGCGGCAGGAGTGGATTATCAGATGACTGCTGCGAAGCGAGCTTCAGATACAGCCTGTCCCAGGTACCCCCAATCCAGCCTGTCCCAAGTTGATACAGTTTTCTAGGTACTTCGTACTAACCAGTTCTACCTTTCGTTTGCCTTTTTCCTCCCCGACCCACCCCGCCTCCCACTCCTCTATCTCTCTCTCCTCACACACCCCTCTCCCTCTCCCCTGCAGGACGATCCACGCTTCTCCGATTCGCCAGTAGCTGGGGTCATGTGCTCCTGTACCCAACCACACACCAGTCAACCTGCTCAACCTGGTCAACACGGTCAACCATGTCAATCCACACGTGCCATGGAAGCTTTTCCAGCCGACCATGACCCCAGGCTCGGCAACGAGCCTGACTCGTTCCCCGAGCCTGAGCCCTGGATGCTTCACCCGCCCATCCCACACGCCCTCACCGCTGAGGCTTGCCGCGAGGTTCGGCGGTCGGTGACTCGGTTCTGCCAACCCATGATCTTTGCATCGGCAGTGGCTGAAACGGACGGGGAAGAGGAGGAGGAGGAAGGATCAGGGGGCGGGAGAGGCGGAGGAACGGGGGGAAGGAGTGAGGGGGGGAAGGGGAGGAGGAGGAGAGGGAGGAGGAGGGGAGTGGGGCGAGTTCAGCTGGTGATGGCGTGTGAGGATACGGGGTGTGGCATTCCGTGGGAGGAGATGCGCTGGGTGCTGGACCCTGAAGGCCATGGGGAGTTTGTGCAAGAGGAGGAGGTGAGTGGCAGCAGGAAGCATGGGTTCTTGCGACGTGATAAAAGTTGCTCTGCACTGGGGGCGTTGGTGTGGGCTTGCTTGCTGCTATAGGGGCGCTGTTTTTGGGTTCCCTGAGAGGAAAAGCGCTGGGTGCTGGACCCTGAAGGCCATGGGGAGTTTGTGCAAGAGGAGGAGGTGAGTGGCAGCAGGAAGCATGGGTTCTTGCGACGTGATAAAAGTGTAGTTTTGAGACGTCTCACCACCGCTACTCTCGCTTCCTTTTGCCCCATGCTTGCTCCTTTCTCACTGCTTCCCCCGTACCCTCCCTTCTCCTTTTCCTTTGTTGCTTCGCTCCTCCTCCTCCCCCCTCCCCCTCCTTTGTACGCTCCAGATGAATTCATGCGTCCACAATTTTGAGGCGCCTCAAAAGTCACCTCCCCCTCCACTCCTCGTCCCTTTCCTTTCCCCCCGTCCCCTTCACCGTTGTCTCGGAATCAGATGAACGCATACATGCAACCAGCAGGAGCTGCCAGCAGTAACTTTTTAGTCAATTCAACCGCCCCTAACCCCTCCCCCTTGTTCCTCTCTTCCCCCTCCCTCCCTGTCTCTCTCTCAGATGAATGCATACATCCAGCTAGCTGGTGCTGCTAGCAGTAACGTTTCAGTCAATTCAACCCCCCCTAACCCCTCCCCCCTTCTTCCTTTCTTCCTCTCTTCCCCCTCCCTTGCTGTCTCTCTCTCAGATGAATGCATACATCCAGCCAGCTGGTGCTGCTAGCAGTAACGTTTCAGTCAATTCAACCCCCCCTAACCCCTCCCCCCTTCTTCCTTTCTTCCTCTCTTCCCCCTCCCTTCCTGTCTCTCTCTCAGATGAATGCATACATCCAGCCAGCTGGTGCTGCTAGCAGTAACGTTTCAGTCAATTTAACCCCCCCTAACCCCTCCTTCCTTCTTCCTTTCTTCCTCTCTTCCCCCTCCCTCCCTGTCTCTCAGATGAATGCGTACATCCAGCCAGCTGGTGCTGCTAGCAGTAATGTTTCAGTCAACTCAACCCCCCCTAAACCCCTCCTTCCTTCTTCCTTTCTTCCTCTCTTCCCCCTCCCTCCCTGTCTCTTTCTCAGATGAATGCATACATCCAGCCAGCTGGTGCTGCTAGCAGTAATGTTTCAGTCAATTCAACCCCCCCTAAACCCCTCCTTCCTTCTTCCTTTCTTCCTCTCTTCCCCCTCCCTCCCTGTCTCTTTCTCAGATGAATGCATACATCCAGCCAGCTGGTGCTGCTAGCAGTAATGTTTCAGTCAATTCAACCCCCCCTAAAACCCTCCTTCCTTCTTCCTTTCTTCCTCTCTTCCCCCTCCCTCCCTGTCTCTTTCTCAGATGAATGCATACATCCAGCCAGCTGGTGCTGCTAGCAGTAACGTTTCAGTCAATTCAACCCCCCCTAACCCCTCCCCCCTTCTTCCTTTCTTCCTCTCTTCCCCCTCCCTTCCTGTCTCTCTCTCAGATGAATGCATACATCCAGCCAGCTGGTGCTGCTAGCAGTAACGTTTCAGTCAATTTAACCCCCCCTAACCCCTCCTTCCTTCTTCCTTTCTTCCTCTCTTCCCCCTCCCTCCCTGTCTCTCTCTCAGATGAATGCATACATCCAGCCAGCTGGTGCCGACAGCAGCGCCGAGTTGACTTTTGAGTCGACTTGAAAGTCTTCCTCTCTTCCCCCTCCCCGCCTGTCTCTCTCTCTCAGATGAATGCATACATCCAGCCAGCTGGTGCCGACAGCAGCGCCAGCGCCACCACACATGCGCCCAGCAAGCACGCTCCCCCCTCCACTGCCTTCTCTCTCCTTTCCTCGCTGCCTGGGAGGCTGCTGAGGAGTGTGATGGGTGGAGGGGATGACAGTGCGTCGGGGAAGTCGCGCGGTGGGAAGGGGTTTCAGGACGCGTGGACGCCGTACCCTGTGCGCTTCCTGCTGTCTGCGAGCCTGGTGAGTGACAGGGGTGGGGGAAGATGTGCATTGGGAGTGGGAGGTGCTGTCGCTCTGAGAAGGGGTTTCAGGACGCGTGGACGCCGTACCCCGTGCGCTTCCTGCTGTCGGCCAGTCTGGTGAGTGACAGGGGTGGGGGTAGACTGGGGTGACGTGTGAGTGGTATCAGAAGGATTCACAGTAGGAAGCAGGAAGGGGTTTCAGGACGCGTGGACGCCGTACCCCGTGCGCTTCCTGCTGTCGGCTAGTCTGGTGAGTGATAGGAACGGGGTGATGAGTGGGGGTCAGGAGTGGGCTGTGCTGATCTGATGCTCTCAGCACGGGTTTCAGGACGCGTGGACGCTGTACCCCGTGTGTGTGCTTCTTGCTGTCTCGTGTAGAGAGGGTATTTTTGAGACGTCTCAAAAATACCCTCTCTACGGGTGGACGCTGTACCCCGTGTGTGCGCTTCTTGCTGTCTGCTAGTCTGGTGAGCGGTCGGGGTGGGGAAATAGGGGGTAGAAGGAGGGAATGGAGGTGGCCACACAGGTGTTTGATCCGTCCCCCACCTGTGCTTCCTTCCTTACTCTTCTGTTCTCCCATCCAACCAGGTGAGTCTGATGTGCGGGTGCATGGGCGTGGCCACACAGGCATCTATTTCCCCTCTCCTGCTCGTTTCCCACCACCCAACCCTCACCTTTCCCCTCTCTCCCCGCTCTCTCGTGACCCAGGTGAGCCTGATGCGCGGGTGCATGGGTGTGGCAACACAGGAGCACGTGGGGTCCACCATCATGGTCTCATTCTCTCCCCCGCGCGCCCTTCCCCTCCCCACAAAACTTTTGAGTCGACTCAAAAGTCACCATCATGGTCTCATTCTCTCCCCCGCGCGCCCTTCCCCTCCCCACAAAACCCCGTCTCTTTCTGCTCTTCCATCCTCCCAGGTGAGCCTGATGCGCGGGTGCATGGGTGTGGCAACACAAGAGCACGTGGGTTCTACCATCATGGTCGCCCTGCCAATGAAAACGCGCCACGTGGCACCACCCACAGCAGCAGCAGAGGACGGGGAGGACGAGGAGGGAGAGGAAGAAGGGGAGGAGAGAGAGGGAGAGGGGGAGTGGGAGGAGGAGGGGATGGAAGAAGCTATGGCATGGGTGGAGATGAAGTGGGGTACGAGGGAGGTGGTGGAGGGGAAGCGTGCGCTCGTGGTGGATGGGGATGGCGTGCGGGCAGAGGCCACAGTCACAGCCCTCCGGTACCTGGGCATGCACGCTAAAGTCGCAGCCACACAAGAGGAAGCCACTCGGAAGATTCTGGGAAGGCAGCCGGAAGCTGCATGGCGGTTTGCAGAGAAGCGGATGGGGGAGGCGAGGAGGAGGGCGAAGAGGGGCAAGGGGAAGGGCGAGGGAGCGGGGGATGGGAATGGGGAGGGTGAGGCGAAGGGGGAGGAAGTGGGGCAGAGGGACGAGAAGGGAGAAAGGAAGGTGGAGGGGGAGAGGAAGCAGGAAGCAGAGAAGAATGAGCAGGAAGAGCAGGCAGAACAGGTGCAGCAGGAGGAGCAGGAGGAGCAGGAAGGAGAAAAAGTGGATGAGATGGAGGGGCCATGGGACGTTGTGTTTGTGGAATCCGATGCATTCAGCAGCGGGGTTAACTCCAAGCCACGGGGTAGCAGCATCACTGATGCTGGCGCACAGAGCATGCCCGGGAATGGGAACGGCTCAGATGCTGTGGCAGCGAAGTCAGGGATCGGTTTCGGCCGTCGGATCAAGTTTGACCACCGCAGCCTCGTTCTCTTCCACTCCGCCAGTGCTGCTGCGCGTGTTCCCAACTCCCCGCCCTCGCCTGCCTTACTCCCTCACACCGCGGGTCTGTCTCATGCAGCCCACAGTGTTGTCACATCATCAGCATCGTCTGGAGCTGCAACAGTAGCAGCAGCAGCAGCAGCATCAGCAGCAGCATCAGCAGCACAACTACCAGCACCACCATCACCATCAGCATCACCGCTACCATCACCGCCACTATCACCCCCACGGCAACCGCCTGTGCCGTGCAGTCTGCCCCCGCTGGTGCTCACAGGGCCGGGCTGTCCGGGTGTGAGCTATGCCAGAGCGCTCGCAGCAGGCTTTGCCGACACGCTCCCTCAACCGTACCTTGTTGCCGACCTTGCTCAGTGCCTGCACGCGGTGAGTCCCTTGATTCCCCAAGTCACCCCGTGTGTCTTGGCGCGCGCAGCAGGCTTTGCCGACACGCTCCCTCAACCGTACCTTGTTGCCGACCTTGCTCAGTGCCTGCACGCGGTGAGTCCCTTGATTCCCCAAGTCACCCCGTGTGTCTTGGCGCTCGCAGCAGGCTTTGCCGACACGCTCCCTCAACCGTACCTTGTTGCCGACCTTGCTCAGTGCCTGCACGCGGTGAGTCCCTTGATTCCCCAAGTCACCCCGTGTGTCTTGGCGCGCGCAGCAGGCTTTGCCGACACGCTCCCTCAACCGTACCTTGTTGCCGACCTTGCTCAGTGCCTGCACGCGGTGAGTCCCTTGATTCCCCAAGTCACCCCGTGTGTCTTGGCGCTCGCAGCAGGCTTTGCCGACACGCTCCCTCAACCGTACCTTGTTGCCGACCTTGCTCAGTGCCTGCACGCGGTGAGTCCCTTGATTCCCCAAGTCACCCCGTGTGTCTTGGCGCTCGCAGCAGGCTTTGCCGACACGCTCCCTCAACCGTATCTTGTTGCCGACCTTGCTCAGTGCCTGCACGCGGTGAGTCCCTTGATTCCCCAAGTCACCCCGTGTGTCTTGGCGCTCGCAGCAGGCTTTGCCGACACGCTCCCTCAACCGTACCTTGTTGCCGACCTTGCTCAGTGCCTGCACGCGGTGAGTCCCTTGATTCCCCAAGTCACCCCGTGTGTCTTGGCGCTCGCAGCAGGCTTTGCCGACACGCTCCCCCAGCCCTGCATCGTGGCCGACCTCGCTCAGTGTCTCCACGCAGTGAGTCCCTTGATTCTCGTGACTTGATGCATTGAGTGCCACTGCGAGTGCCGTGCAGTCTCCCCCCGCTGGTGCTAACACGGCCGGGCTGTGCGGGTGTGAGCTACGCCAGGGCGCTCGCAGCAGGCTTTGCCGATACACTTCCTCAACCGTACCTCGTGGCTGACCTCGCCCAGTGCCTGCATGCGGTGAGTGCTCCTTTCACAGGGTGCTTTCACTCGGTGAGTGTTTTCACTGGTCATTAGCCAACGCTACGCCAGGGCGCTCGCAGCAGGCTTTGCTGATACACTTCCTCAACCGTGCCTCGTGGCTGACCTCGCCCACTGCCTGCATGCGGTGAGTGCCCGTGGTCTCTGAGAAAGCCAAACGATGCTTTTTTCCCGCTGCGTGGAGAGTGTGTGCCGCCTCCGCCACGCAGTGAGTTCCTTTCTTTGTCATCACTAGGGTTTAGGGTGGCTGTCACTGGCTTGTGGCTGTCAACTGGGTCTCATATCGAGAATATGAGAAAATGCTTCTTTGCCCAAGAGTCTCCGTCCCACTGTCACTCACGAGTTTCAACAATTGTATGCTGTCAGTGTCCTGCATCCCAATCTTCCTCTCACTGAACCTCCTTTGTCTGCCACTTCTCCTCTCCTCTCCTCTCCTCTTCCCTCCTCTCGTCCCGCCCCTCTCTCAGCTCTTCGCCCCCATCGACCAATCAGACGACCTCTCCGACACCTCCACCAATCACATCGCGCCAGCGGACCCCTCCTCCATCTCCTCCCTCGCCCCCTCCACCCCTCCACGCCCCAAATCCCCACAATTCCGCTCCAAAGCCGCGCTCGGCCTCGCGAAACCCGAAGACGCTGCCGCTTTGCTAAAAGAAATGCTTAGCGGGCGGGAAGTGATGGTGGTGGATGACAACGCGGTGAACCGGATGGTGGCGAGGAAGACTCTTCAGGGGCTGGGAGCGAAGGTGGAGCTTGTAGAGAGTGGAGAGAAGGCATTGGAGAGACTTAGTGCTCCGAATGCGTTTTCTGTTCTTCTGATAGACCTGCACATGCCGCCTGGCATTGACGGCTACGAGACTGCTCGGCGCATTCGAACCCAGTTCCCTGGAGATACTGCAGCAGCTGCTGCAGCAACCACCACCGCCACTACGAGCACCAGCAGCAGCAGCGGTGGCAGTGGCAGCACCACTGTCACCTCCTCCTCGTCCACTCTCTCCTCCCTGCCGAAGCTTCAATCCCAGCCGTCGTTTGTGTTCCACCCTGGTGGCCTGCCATTGTTGGATCTGGATGCTCCAGCAGCAGCAGCAGCAACTGCAGAAGCAGCAGCATCACCAACAGCAGTAGCAGCAGCGGCGGCGCCAGTAGCAGCGGCAGCGGAGGCACCTGGCCCGGCATGCAGGCAGCTGATATTCGCGCTGACCGCCGATGTGGACACGCGGGTGAGGCAGGCGTGCAAGGAGGCGGGCATGGACGGCACTCTCTCCAAGCCCATCGCCCACCAAGAGCTGCTTTCGGCGATCAAAGCAACTGGCGTCACTCTGCTGTGATCCTTAGAAGCAATTTGAGGCGCCTCAATCATTGGGTTGGGCAGGCGTGCAAGGAGGCGGGCATGGACGGCGTCACGGCACACTTTCAAAAGCCCATCGGCCACCAAGAACTTGTCCCCGCCATCAAAGCTGCCGGAGTCACTCTGCTGTGATCTGTTAAACTATTTGAGGGGTGCGAATTAAGTGCATTAACTCGTCAGAGCTACTGCATGAGACGGGTAGTCAATAAGGAGGCATGCATGCAAGGAAGCAAGCGTACAGGGATCAGATCAGACGGTGCTTGTCTGATCTCATCGAAAAGAACTGCTGGTGCCATTCAAGCTGCTGGAGTAACGAATCACTAATTGGTGGACGTCTGATGAAGACATAGTGCAGCCATTGCTGCTACGTCAGGAATGCATGCAGTCATTTTTGGGAGCTTGCTGGCGCTGGTGTGAGAACGCTGAATAAAAATACTAATCCCCATAGACAACCTCCCATACTGTCCACCATAATCTCAAAATTTTTTTTTTCTGCCTTCCTGACTTATAAATGCTTATAGCTTCCTGCTTCCCCTTGCCTCATCCCTGTGAACTTCTGTTTGTGCACTTTTTGAGAGAGATATTTCCAACTTCTGGTGCTGGATTGCTAGCAGGGCATTTAGAAACAAGTACATGAGAGGAAACAGTTGGTGGGCGTGTATTGTTTGTGTACTGTTCTCTAGGGGCACCTGTAAATTGCTAGACCCCATAAGTTGAAGATACCGAAGGGCCACTTGGGTTCTTTGTTGGTCCAACGTATCATTCCCTTCAGTTCACTGCACCTGCCGTTCTGTAAGATGGACGCGGATACCGATGGTCCCACGTGACGAATAGTCCCAAACTTTATTACGAGAGCTGTGGGTGACCCGAAGTTGATACAGTGCCTCATTCTGTGCACGTGTATCTTTGTTTCCTACGGAAAAATGAAATGAGGTGAGGTGAGCTGAAAACATGGGTGTCCGTCTAAAGATGCGATGAAAATATTTCGGAGCAGAAAATATACTTTGAACAGAGATTTAGAAAGGAAAATCTCTCAAAATGAAGGTTTCGGTTACATGACACCCTCCTCCAACAAGAGAGGACGGATCGGTCAGTGTAGCGCATGCGGAGAATGCGATGATTGCGCTCTGTGTCCTCGCACAACACGACGAACCGTGGCAATGGCTATGGCGGTGGTGCTTCCCCCAAGCATGCGATGACAGCACATGCATATCCTCTTTCAAACTGTTTCGCGGTTGTGATGGCTTCACCTCGGATCAGATCGGGCTGGTCCTTTTCAGCGGAGCCCGAGCTCCGCACAACACAGCAAGGACAGGCAGCAGATGCACTTAGGCCGAGGGTATGTTGTTGGCTCATTGTCGTAAGAAATCCTCCGTATTCGCTTGAATCGTAATGGAACCGTTCGTTTACACACGAAACCTCAACAGACCGCATTACTGTCAACTCTTATGTCCTGCCCTAACCGTCCTTCCTGCCCTAACCCTTCCCTGCCCGTCACCCAAATTTTGCCCGCCACCACGACGAGCAAGGCGTTGAACCCCACCTTGGTCCAACCCAACCAAACCCAACACTCGAATTCCCAACGTGCAACCACGACGTGCTCGTAGATATGCTTGGTTAGCATCGATAAGATTCTGTTTTTTCCCGCGGCTGTTGTATCTTACTCCAAGCTTTCCCTTGCTGGACGCGTCTTCTTGGAGAGTCTCCTGTCCCTTTACCCGCACATCCATGGCCGCTACGCAACTAGGTGATGCTGCGAAACACGCGCGCCGAGAAATAACTTCGTCGCCGCGATGTACCAGGGTTCCTTCATCCGATGTTTCTAAAAGTCATAACACTACTGTCGCAGCAACTTTAGTTTCGCGGACAATGTGTGATCTCCAAACCTCGAGAATGAGTCATGGCGGCTGTGTTGCTCCGACGGCAGAGCTCGATTGCTCGCAGGCGTCGAAAACGACGATCATGGGCTCATCGATTGCGATGACGACGACTCCCACTCGTTGCGACGAAGCGCCCTCTGCAAGGCTGGCTTGTTTAGAGGCACAGAAGGCGTGCAGCCCTGTTTGGATCGACGACGCGCGCTCAAGAATACGGCAAGCGGCTTTGGCCGTGCTGGAGACGCAGCAGCAATCTCAGCACCTCGCTTCGATTGTGGACGACCATATGCTTTTAGACGACCCCGAGCCGCGCTGGACTGAGGCCGAATGGAGCATGGAGTACGCAGACTACAATATGCCGGCGTTTTATGTGGAGGAGGATATAGACGACGACGAGGACTCATTGACGTTGGAGGCATTGGGAGGGAAAGTTATTCGGCCTTCTGAATCAGTTCGTGGAGCTATTGTGAACTTTGTGAAGAGCTCTCTGCATTTAATAATGTAGTGATGTTTAGAAAGATAGTCTCCTTGCAGAGAGGTTAGTACACCACTCCCTGTGTAAATATACATAGATATGAAACAAACAGTCACCGAGTGAAGTGAGATAACAGCGTTTCAGGTTGGGCCAGAAAAGTGAGCGGCCTGTTCAGTACATGAAATTCAAATGTTTAGTAGGTGTCTTGAGTGGAAGCAGACTATCTGTGGAAGCTGAGCCCATAAACCCGATATATCGAGAATGTGTGATGTCGAGGATGAAGTCACAAGTGTATCGCACGTACAAGTCCGAAAGAAAGCCCCACACACCTTGAATTTGTCGTAGCCGTCGGATAGGGAAGGCTCCGATTGTAGAAGTTCTTGTACGACAGGTGTTGTTGTGACTATATCGCGCGCCCCTGGATCTAACCACATTTATGACATTTTTGTCACAAAGGCCTCGCTTCGGTGTCGAAGCGTGCACGTATGAGTCCATCTGAAATGCGCGATTCGAAATCACCAAACGAATCGCGCATTTTATGCTTCCCCTCACACCATCTTGTTGGTCCCTGCATTCGATCTATCACGACACGCAGAATACCTTGATTCGCGGCGACTCTCGTCGCCGAGCCGAACCCACCTGCTGACTCGTACTGCATACCCGTCCTTGTCAACAATCTACATACAACCAACCTTGGGGTGAAGGACGAACAACCAACCACCCAGTGATGAGACGAAGACCACAGCACGGCGCAGCACAGCACCCTTCCCGCAGGAATGAAGGGGACGGCTCTCGTCGCATTGAGCAAACAGTACGAAGCGGCTTTGTCATATCCGCTTGTTCGCTTCCTGTCCTTCGCTTCAGCAGCGCTCGTCGTCACATCACATCCCTCTTCAGGAGGCAATAACCAGCGCACAATCGGTTCCTCTTCAGACTAGTCACAATAACGGAGCGCCTTCTCCGCGGCGAATGAGAACACTCGATTAGGAGAACCAGGGTAGGAAGGGTCCGCACGCGGGTAGGGCCAGGGGAGAAACAGATAGCCCTGCACCTCCACTACGGCACAGCGGTGCTGGACGGTTAGGTAGGGAATGAATAAGCTTGTGCAATGCGCAAAGAATGCAACTCCGGGAAAACCAAGGGCGCCAGTCTCTTCATATGGATGTCACGCCTGGGGTGGCCGTTAGTCGTTGGTTGCCGCAGCCCAGCAGTTTCGAACGCGGACTAGGAGTAAGGCTTAAGTAACGTCATTCTTAGCTTCCGAAATCGCTGGTCGGAGGCAGAGTCAAATCGCGTGTTTCTTCCTCTTGAACGAGACATTAGTTGCTTCTTCTCGCCAGTCGCGTTGTGTCGGCAGTCGAAGGTGCTGCTGTCGGTGACCAACACTAGTATCTTGGGTCGACTCATCGTTTCTAGACTCATAAGTCGACTGGAGCTGTAACAGCAGGAAGCTCTAAGAGATAGGTCGACAGCTGTCGGTGACACAGCTGCGTTGGGTGACGTTCCAGTAGAGCATATGGTCTGTTTGTTCATCGCTGCAGATCCGAGTTGCTAGCGCCTGTAATCGATTTGACGGTCGACACGAGCGTGACTTCGTTGGCCACACACGCTTTATGAACATCTGGATAGAAAACAATCAAGTAGGTCATCAGCCTTTACTCATTTCGAATAGGCTGCAATAAATGGCTGCGCCGAAGCGACTCGTGCTGTCACTGCTGCTGCTACTCGTGTTTACGGCGGCATGTCCACAGCCTGCGTCAGCCAAGCTACGCGACAGAATCCGCAAGTGGATTGGGAGGGGTTCTCCCGCCCCTCCCGGCGGGCCTAAGAGCAAATCGGGACCAATCTCGATGGACAAAGTCAAGGAAGTCGCGAAAGTCGTGAAGTTACTCGCGCAAAACAAGGAGTTTGTGCGACTGTTCTGGAAAGGAGGTGAGTTTGCACGACAGGCACTCTGATAGGAATGAGCTGTGTTCTCCTCTGTTTCAGCACCTGCCCGCTAGTAAGCCTTGGAAACAACATATCTCCCGTTAACGCCTGTGGCGCCTCGTGAAATGGTTATTGGATGGCGCAGGAACAACAGCCCGACAGGCCACCCCTTCACCTTCTCACTTCTCGTTTCCCTTTCGCCTTTCTTCCTTCCCCTCCCATTCTCTCCGCCCCTCTTCCTCCCTGCACCTCTTTTTTTTCCCGGTTTCCTATCTTCCTTGTAGCCCATTCCGCCTATCTATTCACGAATACGCTCCTTTTTCCTTGTTCTCCTATCTCCCTTGTAACCCCATTCCGCCTATCTATTCGCAAATACGTCTTGCTCGAACTCAAGACGTCGCGGATTTGCTGCTGCGCGCGCTGCGGCGGTCGAACGAGGTGACGCTGCTGGCGCCGTCGCCCGACGCGGCGAAGGCGGGGCTACCAGACGACTCGCCGCTGGTGAAGAGCAAGAAGGCGATGCGCCGCCTCCTGCGCTACTGCCTCGTCTTGGGCCGCCTCGTATCCTACACCAATCTCGTCGAAGATCCCGCGGGGACCAAGGTACCGTTCCAAAAAAAAAAGACGAGATAACGTCTCGTAAAACCGGGTAACATGCCTGGTTCCGCGGTCTTTTTTTTCGCCGTGGTTTGTCGACATTCACTGTTTCCTAATTTGCGGCTCTTTGTTTCCTTTCGGTCGTGCCCCCGCTGTAACTCCATCCAGTATCCGACAATGTACGGGCAGCCGCAGGTCAAATCGGCGGAAAGCTCTTTTTTCACGGTGTATTTCCAAACGCCCTCGGGAAAAGAGAACAGCACGCTAGTAGCACCCAACCTGTTCGAGGGAAAGTTCCTCCAGGTGCACCTTGTATCGGATGTGCTTATACCGGATGGATTTTTCGGCTCCCCGTCACCCCCGCCGGAGGAAGACGATCCGGCCGATGGCTCGCCGCCAGCGGAAACGGGCAGCGCGGGCGCTGCGTCTACTCCGCCGGCTCCCCCGCCGCCCGCGTTCACGGGCATGACACCCCGCACACCATGAGTACGCCTTCTTTCCTCTGCCGCCATTCACTCCCTGTCTCCCCCATTCCCCTCCCTTCCCTTTCCCCACACCCCTCCCCGCCCCCCCCCCCCTTCACTTCCTCCCCCCCCCCCTCTCTCCCCCTTCCGTCCCTTGGCCTCCCCCCAACACTCCGCGCACTCTTCTCGTTCCCCAATCATCAGCCTTTTCTGCCATCCTCGCGTGTCGATCGTGGTCGTATTGCACTCTGAAGTAACTCTGCTCTGTCCCTCGCTCATTCTTGTATTGCGTTTTGCAAGGCACCGTGATCTGCCTGTTTTGTCATTCCCGGCCCCCACCCTCCGCGCCCCCTAAATATCCATTCCTCCCACCTGGCCCGCCATGCGGCATGTTCCCTCTTCCTTTCCCCTACCACCCCACCCCCCACCCCCTCTCTTCCCCCCACCCCCTCTTCCCCTCCGCTTCTCCTCCCCACACAACCTCCCTCCTTCTCCCCTTTCTTAACTCGACACGGCACTCTCATCATTTCCTTCCTCTTAAAATTCGTCTACCCCTCTGCCTCCGCCTCCCCCTCCCTAACCCCCTTCATTTTGCCGCACCCGTATATCCCCTCCTACCCGCTCCCACAACAGGAAGTGGTGAGACTTTTAGGGCGGCGAACTCAACACGTTACAAGAAGATCCATAATATGCGCGCAGACTTCAGAGCCTAACGGGCCTCGCTTCGTTAATGATGTGGCCACCAATAGGTCTGATATGGATAGGATTTGCTGAGAGTTAGGCGAATAAATTGAAGCGGATTTATTAACTGTAGGCAGTGTACTGCACTTTGGTTTAGCTTTAGTAGTTCAGGAATCGAGTGAAAATCAAGGCAAGCTTTGATGACACATTGGTGTTAATCCCTTGATATTCAGGTTTTGTGAGGTTAAAGCATCTCCTACGCTTCATAGAAAGCGGTTACCATAGAAACTTTACAGTGCCATTTCACTTTATGTTGACAGTAGTGCCATTTTACAGAGCTATTGTTGTCAATCCACTCGATATTCACAATAGTGCCATCTTATAAACTCTGGACAGCATTTCTTTTTAGCTGACTAATTATACTATTGAGAGAATCTATTTCAGCAAGGCCCACTGCCGGCCTCTCAGTCTTCTCCCATTCATCTCCCTCCGCCTCAACTCTCCCATCACATTCATCCCTTCCATCCCCTTTACAAGCTGCTCCACTTCAAGGCAAGACGGCCTGTGGGCAGGGTTGCGCTCAGTGCACCACTGCACCAGCGCTGAAGCCTGGTGGTACCTCACCGGACCAAGCCGGGCTGCGATATGACTAAGGGAGGGGTCTTCAGTGGAGTGGGTCTCCACAGCATGTGTCCTGCTTGGCTCCCCACGTGCGCCTGATGCTGGTGCTGCCGGTGCTTCTGGTGCTGCTGGTGCTGCCCCTGCTGCTGCTGACTCTCTTTGTGTTACGGTGTCAGGTTGTGGTTCGGCTGGAGAGGCATGTGGTCCGGGAAAAGACTGAGACACTGGAAAGGCCCTTGTAGCAGCGGCAATAGCGGCAGCGGCAGCGGCGGCGGCTGCTGTTTCAGACGAGCTATCCGAAGCTCGTGCTGATGTGTTCCGAGTGAGTCTTGTGATTGGCCGGCCGGATTTCTTCCCAGATGGCCCTGGTCTCAATATAAGCTCATTCATTATGACTCCAAGTGCGTAAACGTCGCTAGCAGTACCGTACCGGCCCGATCCCATAAATGCAGGGTCCATGTATTTGGCATCACCAAACACGACACACCCGAGGCTCTTCCCTTCCAAACCTTGCCCGTCCCGGGCCTGGCAGGGCATGCCGTAATCCGCGAGCTGCATCCGGACCTGAGCAGCAGTTTCGGCCCGAGCCTTCCGCCGAAGCATGTGGCGCCACCACCGTTGCTCTTGGTCCGAAAGATGGCTTGGCGGCTGGGGGCTGCAACGCGTTGATCCAACAGCGTGCAGAAGCACGTTGGCGGGACGGAGGGATGCGTGCAGAAAGCTGTGTGAATGGAGGTGAGCTAACCCTCCTGCTATCTGCCGAGCGATGGAGAGACGAGCGGACCAGGAGGAGAGAGCAGAGGGGGACCCCGCTCCACACAGCATTGCATCTGCGAATGGAAGAGAGAGGGGAGGGGATGAAAGGGAGGAACAGTTTAGTACGGTTGAGGGGTAAAAACGAATAATTCCATCAAGTTGCTATTCCATGATTGATCTCCGCAAGACGAAAGCTCGTAACAAAAAAGAAACAAAACAAAACACAATTGGGAGAAATACAGGGCAGAAGATTTTACCTCTTGCGAGGGCGTATTCGAGGGAGCGTGCAGAGGGGTTGGAGCGGAAGACCAGCAGCAGCTCTTCCGAGCAGCTGAATCCCACAATCGGCAGCAAGTTCGTGTGCGACGCTGCTGCTGCTGCCAGACGCCCCATCATCTCCCTCCCTGCAAAGGCAGACGAGTCCACCTCTCCAGAGCTCTGCGCCTGCTCGGGCGTATGAGACGGCATGCTATCTGACGCTGTTGGTCTCTGCTCGCTGCTCGTGCTTCCGCTGCCTGTCGTGTCGGCAGCTGCTGACGTGGACGGTGGGGGAGGCAACGAGGAAGGCAGGTAACGCCAACGCTTCACCCTCGCGCAGCCGCCTCTTAAAGTCACACACTCAGTGGCGGTGAGCTCTTGACACGTGGCACAGCAGCACTGGTCGGCTGGAGATTGGGCGCGTTTCGTCGAATCACGTGGAGCTTCCTCCTTGGCAGACGCCTGTAAGTGCAGACCTTCACCGCCGAGCCGCCCTTCCACGTGGCCCTTGCCCACGTGGCAGCACCCACGGTACACGGCGCCCGCCCAGTCCATTGATAGCATGGCATCTGGGCCGAATCCGCGCGTGCAGGCCGCCAGCTCACGCAGAGAGAACTCAACGGCCGGCAAAGGGAATTCGAGGGGCGGCTGGGATAACACCGGGAATGCGGGTGGTGCTGTGAGAGCGGGTACGGAGGCATCGGACTGGTCGTTTGTGGGATGAGTGCGCGAGTCGCGCTGGGGAAGCTCGAGGGATGAGCAGGCGTTAAATCCGGCAGCACAGGCCTGGTGATGCTGCCGCTGGTGCTGGTGGTGGCGATGCTGGTGGCGGCGGTGCTGCTGCTGACAGGAGAGCGACTCGTGGACGATCATTGGAAGGTCTCCGGTTGAGGAACCGTTGCGATCATGCCACGTGGTTGATGCCCATTGGACGACGCCTGGAAGAGCGAAGAGGGGAAAAAGATATAAAACGAGATAAGATTTCCACGGATTTCCGGACTTTACCAAATTCGTCATAATTGTCTTTTGGAACCCAACTTGGGGCCCAAGTTGGGTTCTTTTGAAATAAATGAGATTTTCGTCATGGTTCGGCCGCCGCGAAAAAGGGCAGTTGCGATTTTTGGCCTCCGAAGGTTTTTCTGCGTATGCCTTGCGTGAAAGTTGCGGAAAGCTGCGTACCCGTTATGAAATTCATGTAGTCGCGCGCTTTCCTACGGAGGCTTCGAATCTTAGTACTCTTCGCGACGCATTCGCGCCGCGGCGCCGCCACAGCAGCCTCGGCGACTAACACGCAGGCCGTGCCGCTCCGCGATACCCGGCGCGTGTTCATGGAGTCTCGTCACCTAACTCTTACGGAAAGCACAATGCTGTCTGTCGCACGCTCTTCCAGCGGGTAGACCAAGGGTGTTACTATCAAACAGAATTTGTGCAGTACTCAGCGCGTCATTCTAGTACACGATGCTGTAATCAGAGACATGCTCGCGTTTATGTATCAGGGGATGCGGCGAATGGTGACGGAACCTCAAAGGTATGTCAAAGGTATCCTAGCGTATTGGTTCAAGCTCCAGGCCTGCCGCAATGAGTAAAGCTGAGCTTTCTTGAGAAAGAAGATATTGCAGGCGCCGGCGATCAGGTGAGCTGGTTGTGCTGACAGTTATTGAGAGTACTATACCACCGTACGGTCGGTAGCCGTGACGACCGTACCTGATAGCGATTAAACCTAACAGTGATACATACGGATATACTGCAAGAGCATTAGGCACTGACGGACAATCACGCTCTGCTCACGTGTTTTTTGCGGCCGGGCTTGTGTTTTGATGAGTGGCCAATGATGAGCGGTTCGGGCCTGTCACCCCTCTCCCGAAAAAGAACAGCACTTGTTGCCCACGGAAGTCTCACGGCGTACGAAATGGGAATGCCAACGTTGATAAGGAAAGGGAGGATTGTACGAAATCGATCGCGATTCGCCCGTCAAGACGAGCCGCATTTGCAGTACACAAAATGGGAGAGCAGGCTCAGCTCAGCCCGTCATCATCAAAGCGCGGCGCGAAGCTACAGTTAGATTCAAACCAGCTGGCGCCGGTGGAAGAAAGTGAGGTTGGACATGTACCTGAGACCGTAGCCGTCCAGCCTCGGCTTTCCCGGCTACCGGCGAGCTGGCAGTTACCTTTCGGTCGTCCTCAGACTGACGGCTTGACGGTTGTTACAGCCGGTGACAGCAGGAAAACAGGCTACAATGACGTGGCATTTTTTCCTGGATTCCAGACAAGAAAACAAATTGATGGGGATATCACACGGTATTGAGGGTTTGTGAACGTTAAAAAGATTGATACTACGGTTCTCAGGGCCAAGAAGGTCGTTGCGCTTTTCCGAACCACTTTCATGCCTTACCAAGCGTATCCCCAAAGCTAGATAAGCGCCAGGCAGGCCAGAGCGCTGAGATGTTCAGCATGTTATGATGACTCGCCGGCGGTTTGAATGTAGGACAAGAGGAAGAAATTTCTTCGAATCTCGCGTGAGGGGGAGGGATGTCAAACGGAGGTTGTTAGATGGTTCATGCATTGGTGTTCAAAATGATCAAGGGTTCAAACGGGTCAAGATCTTAATATTACGTATGTACAGTGGCAGTTGTGCAATTCAAGTTTTGCCTTAGAAATCAAGAGAAGACACACGTAGTACCTGATAGTGGAGAGCGCACTGCGAGATTACTCAGCTTGCACACTTTTGGAGTTTTTTGTGCTGTCTTTTGGAAAAAACTGGTTTGACGGGTGCAACACTAGCTGCAACATTTCCAAGTTTCTCATTTCTGCAATTTAAAGACGTTGACCCAAATTGCACAAGTTTTAAAAGCTTGGCCATGGGGTTCGTCGGGTGGCGAGGGGGTGTGAAGTGAAAGTTGGGAGCCGACAGAAGGCACACCCAGTGAGTGATGCCGCGAAATATTTAGCGAACTGCCTAGTCAAACATGTGAACCCTGGCCCATAGAAAATGTCGCAGACTGCAAGCCAAACATCGCGGGCCAAAAACACACAACACAACTCTTGCGCAAACCACACACACAACACCTCGACCTGCATTCACTGGCTTTTCCAGTTCTTGATACTGCATGTAGCTGCCAAATTTAGTAGTCAGCGCGAGCAGTTACACTTCCGCCGCGTACGATAAACCTGTCACATTTTCAGGGTTACCACTGCCACAAAGGGTAGAACGTCAAGCGGTCGTCAGCCACAAACAGAAACGTATTGACAAAGACGGCGAGATAGAGATTATGGCTCGTCGACCTTCCAAGGGAGGGTCACGAAGGTACGTAAGAGCCACTCACAACCTCCAATGGGCACGAACGTCGGCGCATTAAAAAACGAATCGGAAACCAGCGGTAATTCAAACACATTTCCGTGAGTCCATGGTGGAGAACGATACCTGAGAATACGTGTCACTCCACACATTCGCCCATTAGTAAACTCGTCGTTACACCCATATGGCAATCGTGACTGCGTAACACATGACCACCATGACCAATCGCCACGACCTCCCCTCTCCACACGCCACCATCTTCAATTCCCCCTCCCGTTGTCCTCGCTTTTCCCTCGCGTCGCCTCCACTTCCCCCACCCGTCGCCCAACTTTCCCATCCCGTCGCCCCCACTTTCCCGTCCCGTCACCTTCAATCACACCTTCCGTCGCCTCCACTTCCCCCTCCCGTCGCCTCCACTTCCCCCTCCCGTCGCCTCCACTTCCCCCTCCCGTCGCCTCCACTCCCCCCTCCCGTCGCCTCCACCTCCCCCTCCCGTCGCCTCCACTTCCCCCTCCCGTCGCCTCCACTTCCCCCTCCCGTCGCCTACACTTCCCCCTCCACTCGCCTGATCTTCCCCCTCCCGTCGCCTCCACTTCCCCCTCCCGTCGCCCCCACTTTCCCTTCCCGTCGCCTTCAATTCCCCCTCCCGTCGCCTCCACTCCTCCCTCCCGTCGCCTCCACTTCCCCCTCCCGTCGCCTCCACTTCCCCCTCCCGTCGCCTCCACTTCCCCCTCCCCGAGAGGTGAGTTTAGGGTCGTTCTTGCAAGACTGGGCCGTCGCCTACCCTTTCCCTTCCCGTCGCCTGAACTTCCCCCTCCACTCTCCATACTTGCGTCCACTTTCCATACCTGCATCCACTTTCCATACCTGCATCCACTTTCCATACCTGCCTTCACTTCCTGCTCACTCTCTTCACCCCGCTTTCCCCCACTCTCGCCCATTTTCACTCTTATCGCTCTCTTTCCCCCTCTGCTCGATCCTCTTTTCCCGGCTCACTCCCACGCCCACTCTCTCCAACCCTGCTCACTCTCACCCACCCTGCCCACTCTCTTCCCCCATGCCCACTCTCTTCCCCCATGCTCACTCTCACCCGCCCTGCCCTCTCTCTTCCCCCATGCTCACTCTCACCCGCCCTGCCCACTCCCTCCCCCCATGCTCACTCTCTCCCCCGTCCAATCCCACACTACCCCCCGTCCAACGCCCCACTTCCCATTGCTACCCCTGTCATCCACCCATCCCCTTGCTACCCCTGTCATCCACCCATCCCCTTGCTACCCCTGTCATCCACCCATCCCCTTGCTACCCCTGTCATCCACCCATCCCCTTGCTACGCCTGTCATCCACCCATCCCCTTGCTACCCCTGTCATCGCCCCACTTCCCCTTGCTACCCCTGTCATCGCCCCACTTCCCCTTGCTACCCCTGTCATCCACCCATCCCCTTGCTACTCCTGTCATCGCCCCACTTCCCCTTGCTACCCCTGTCATCCACCCATCCCCAGGCTACCCCTGTCATCGTCCCACTTCCCCTTGATACCCTTGTCATCCACCCATCCCCAGGCTACCCCTGTCATCCACCCATCCCCTTGCTACCCCTGGCATCCACCCATCCCCAGGCTACCCCTGTCATCCACCCATCCCCTTGCTACCCCTGGCATCCTCCCATCCCCTTGCTACCCCTGTCATCCTCCCATCCCCTTGCTACCCCTGTCATCCTCCCATCCCCTTGCTACCCTTGTCATCCTCCCATCCCCTTGCTACCCCTGTCATCCTCCCATCCCCTTGCTACCTCTGTCATCCTCCCATCCCCTTGCTACCCCTATCATCCTCCCATCCCCTTGCTACCCCTGTCATCCTCTCTTCCTCACCCTGCTCACCCCACACCATCCTAAATTGGCAGGAAGACAAAGGATACAACTGCAAATGAAGCCAGTCCAGTAGCGGGGCTTAGTGCCGAGCATGACAAGACCACTCACGGTATATCCAAGCACATGCGGCCAGTCCTATGCCTACAACGCTGCGGGTTGTCGGCTTTGATGGGTGGCAAGAACGAGGCTACAACATCGGACGTGCTGTACTACTTCATGATGAATGCTCCAGCCGCGTATAAAAGGCTAATGCGGGCAGCCAAAGCCGCAGGTACATGGGAGAACCGATGGTGGGAGGGAATAGGGGTTTACGGGTGAGTGTTGTGAGGATAGCATGGCGCCCATACCACACGCGTATTCCTATGTGCCTCTACAACCCTCATCGTATATCCAGATGCACACGGGGGAGAAGCACTAGCAACAGCGGAGCTGCACCTTGAGGCATACGGGCGACAGTTCGACGCTCGGGCGAGCAACGGGCCTAATGCAGTCACAGGGATAATTGGGAACGAGGACATCCAAATTGAGGGCCTTGTTTACAACTTCCCGGCCTACAAAGAGGACAGACGGGGCAGATTACGCCCTGTCCGTGGGGTTGGTTGGGGAGGGGCCCGAAAGGGCAAGGCCTATGAACGTGCGCGCACACAAGGTGAGAAACACTGGAAAACTCAAAATGGAGTAAATGTAGAGTGGGACAAACTGAAGTTGAGTCTGCATATACTCGTAGACTGCAAGTTCGTATATATCCTAATGAGGCCCCAATCCATGGCGTGTGTGTAGAAGTTGCCCAGCCAACAAGAGCTGAAACAGAGGGGAGGGCTCCTACACAGCAGCCAGACACATGCACGATTGATAGAGCTCAATGCAACCAAGAGCCCGCCGCACTTCATGACGACGTGGTTCCAGATGGAGCCCAAAGGTGAGACTGTGCATGGATGGGGTTGGTCGAAGGAGTTGTGAAAGTGGGAGTGGAATTGTGTCTCTGGCCTCTGTAGCGAACGCTCGTGTGGTGTATCGGACATGTGCCTAGAGCTGTTGTGGTGTTAATGACATGTGATCAATGACTTTCTACTGAGTTCCCTATGTTGTTTGGATGTGCAACAACCTCCAGATCTAGTCAACAGGACGAGCCCCTCAAGGATACACCAGTGCCTGTCCCGAGAGGGTGGCCACGTGCACCAGCAGTCACGGAGATGTCTCCGTGGAAGGTATGTTTTCTGGAGCCAAGGCACATTCTAGAAGCATTAGCACCACTACGGATCGGTTGCACAAGAGAAGGCTGCGGCGGGAGCATGTTCCTCGTGTCATGGAAAACTACATGGGCTTCACTTGGACTGTATTGGCACTGTAGTACATGCCCTACCCGCACGGAGATATGGACAAGCCCGAAGAAGGAAAACCCCCCCAATGGGAAGCGGACCGGACCAAGGTCTATATAGCTGATGCAAAAGTTTGTGGGTGCGTTTGCCCTCGGAGGGTTAGGGTTTCAAGTGATGTGGGAAGTGTGTCGCAACCTCGGAATGCCAATTCTTGGAAAACCGACATTTTACCGACTGTTGAAGGGTGAAAAGGGTTTGTGGAAGGCTATCATTCGTGCAACCCAGGTTTCTATGGCAGCAGTACGTGATAGCATGTCTAAGAGGGCAGGTGGGGTGGGATATATTAGCGTAGATGGTAGATTTAGCCAAGCTCGAGAGGCGGAGTGGTGCTGTGTGTCTAATCTGCATCCCGAGAGTAGGAAAATTGTGCATGTAGAGAATACGAAGAATTATGTCCATGATCCTTCATCCCCTAGGCTATAAAGCGTTGCATTCAACTTAGGCATGGACTATTTCAAGAATGTGGGGTTTGAAGTGGTTGGTATTGTTACGGACGAGGGTAGTACATTCAAGACTGTGGCTGCGGACAGAGGGGTGGGACACCAGCACGACTGGTGGCACAAGAGGCGATCAGTGGTCAAGAGCTTCGAAAACGATATGCAAAACCGTGTAAGGGCTGTGGTCCAAATTGATGAGGCTCAGGTCGTAGAGGACCTTCATATGCATACGGTCGTGAAGCTAAAAGGGTGGTTGCAGAAGAAGGCCCCAAGCAAGGTGGGTGGGTCCAATGGAAAAGACAAATTGATCGAGGACGTTTGCACTGAGCTCGGAATCAGGTACCGGTTTGTGGATCTGGCAGATGCAAAATGGGAACATCCTGACTTGCAGAAGGTTGTGAACGCAACAAGCGTGCTGGGGGCCGATCAAGGAGTGAGGGAATTGGAGGAGCGAGATGAGGAGGAGGAGGCGGACCAAGTGGACGTACCTGTTATGCTGTCGCTAATACATAGTCGTGGCATGGGGGGTCATCAGGATGGGCCTAGAGAGGGCGGTGATGCAGTGGAGATGCTAGAAGGACCAGTGCCGGTGGATGTTTGTTGGCCGGATGTGGAAGAATTGTGGCAATACGACATCCACCCAGTGCACGGATTGCGACCGTCATCTCAGGCGTCATTGGTGGTAACACTTGCGTGCAATGGTGCACGCGAAGAGGCGGATTTCATGGAGCGTGTGGCATATCTTTTACCCGCATCAGCCAATCAAGAAGGTAAGTTTAGCACTCTTACACATACTCACATTGCTAGCACATGTCGGTCACACCATTTCAACCACTCTCACAGCTCATTCCCACCATTTCAGCCCCCCCACAGAGCTCATTATGTGCACTCCAGCCCCACACAAACCACCACTCCAGCCCTGGACATAGCTCATTACCACCACTCCAGCCCTGGACATAGCTCATTACCACCACTCCAGCCCTGGACATAGCTCATTACCACCACTCCAGCCCTGGACATCGCTCATTACCACCACTCCAGCCCTGGACATAGCTCATTACCACCTCTCCAGCCCTGGACATAGCTCATTACCACCACTCCAGCCCTGGACATAGCTCATTACCACCACTCCAGCCCTGGACATCGCTCATTACCACCACTCCAGCCCTGGACATAGCTCATTACCACCACTCCAGCCCTGGACATAGCTCATTACCACCACTCCAGCCCTGGACATAGCTCATTACCACCACTCCAGCCCTGGACATAGCTCATTACCACCACTCCAGCCTCGCATACACCTCTTCAGCCATGAATGCACATGACAAGTGTGGTGTGCACTACCACTGCAACACAACCAGCCTCTAATGTCCTGATGCTCATACATTGGGGACTTGCAGGAGGGCAGGATGGCATCTCCAGCATCAAGAGCAAGGATCAGCGACGGTGGTCAAAACGTAGCTCAAAGAAGCGGGCACGCGGGGAAGGTACCAGTGCGACCCCTGCTGGAGGGAGCGATGGTAGCAAGAAATTGGTGTTCTCTGTTGGTCAACGCTTTAGCGTGCATTTCAAGCACTGCATGATGCGGGCTGCCACCAAGGCCAGCGAGGGACACCCGATGACGCCGGAGCAGGTGTCTGAGGAGTTGGTGCTTGCGGCAGATCACTGGGCAAGTGACCATACTCGCTGCCGACGTGTGGGAACCATGCCTCCACGCTGTATTTCGGAAGGGTGGGGGGAAGAGAGTGCTGTATACGCTTCTGGATCACCTACCCACTTGGCTGTTCGTGAATGGTTCAAATCACGGCTCGGGCCAACCCAAGTGGCAACATTGATTCTTGGCGCAAACAGCTCACTGAACGAGTCTTTCCACTCACTTGTTTGCAAGTATGCACCCAAGCGGCTGCGATTCAGAGGCAGCATGGAGGCACGCATAGCCTTAGCCGTGCTGCATTGGAACAGCTGTATGGACCGGCTCGTCAAGGCATATCGCATCCGGGTGCGAAAAGTGACGCGTGTGCAGGGGGGCCGAAAGGAGAGGATATTAGGACCCATGGACTGGTAATGGGTGGACAGCATTATGCGGGAGTGGTTGGCACAAGGTGCAGCGGATGCTGGGGAGGCTGAGAGGAACGGAGAGGGCGAGGGTGTTGATGCTGTTGATGATGAGGAACGAAGTGAGAACACCCGTGCGCAGCGCCCACGCACCGTGACCGGACCCTCGAGCACCGTTTCAGTTGAGCCTGAAGGCAGCAGCCCGATTGTGCCCACTGGCCTCGTATTTTCGCCTGGATGCCAGGGCAGCACGACTCGGTCTGGTGCACCCAAACCCAAGAAGTGACCTACACCTGCACGTCGCCGCTTGCTCGGTTCATTGTCGTGCTTAAAAAACGTAGTTGCTAAGTCCCAGGTCACATAAAAAAGTGGCCCAGCCCACCTATGAGTCTCAATGCCTTCCATCTACCCGTCTTTGTTGTGGTAATCCCTCATGAGATATGCCACTTGCAGGGCAACGTGGTCAGCATGACATACGGTAGAGTAATGCTCAATGTGTCCATGTGTCCATGTGTCCATGTGTCCATGTGTCCATGTGTCCATGTGTGTGTCCATGTGTCCATGTGTCCATGTGTCCATGTGTCCATGTGTCCATGTGTCCATGTGTCCATGTGTCCATGTGTCCATGTGCCCATGTGCCCATGTGCCCATGTGCCCATGTGCCCATGTGCCCATGTGTCCATGTGTCCATGTGTCCATGTGTCCATGTGTCCATGTGTCCATGTGTCCATGTGTCCATGTGTCCATGTGTCCATGTGTCCATGTGTCCATGTGTCCATGTGTCCATGTGTCCATGTGTCCATGTGTCCATGTGTCCATGTGTCCATGTGTCCATGTGTCCATGTGCCCATGTGTCCATGTGTCCATGTGCCCATGTGCCCATGTGCCCATGTGCCCATGTGCCCATGTGCCCATGTGTCCATGTGCCCATGTGCCCATGTGTCCATGTGTCCATGTGTCCATGTGTCCATGTGTCCATGTGTCCATGTGTCCATGTGTCCATGTGTCCATGTGTCCATGTGTCCATGTGTCCATGTGTCCATGTGTCCATGTGTCCATGTGTCCATGTGTCCATGTGTCCATGTGTCCATGTGTCCATGTGTCCATGTGTCCATGTGTCCATGTGTCCATGTGTCCATGTGTCCATGTGTCCATGTTTCCATGTTTCCATGTGCCCATGTGTCCATGTGCCCATGTGCCCATGTGCCCATGTGCCCATGTGCCCATGTGCCCATGTGCCCATGTGCCCATGTGTCCATGTGTCCATGTGTCCATGTGTCCATGTGTCCATGTGTCCATGTGCCCATGTGCCCATGTGCCCATGTGTCCATGTGTCCATGTGTCCATGTGTCCATGTGTCCATGTGTCCATGTGTCCATGTGTCCATGTGTCCATGTGTCCATGTGTCCATGTGTCCATGTGCCCATGTGTCCATGTGTCCATGTGTCCATGTGTCCATGTGTCCATGTGTCCATGTGCCCATGTGCCCATGTGCCCATGTGCCCATGTGCCCATGTGTCCATGTGTCCATGTGTCCATGTGTCCATGTGTCCATGTGTCCATGTGTCCATGTGTCCATGTGTCCATGTGTCCATGTGTCCATGTGTCCATGTGTCCATGTGTCCATGTGTCCATGTGTCCATGTGTCCATGTGTCCATGTGTCCATGTGTCCATGTGTCCATGTGTCCATGTGTCCATGTGTCCATGTGTCCATGTGTCCATGTGTCCATGTGTCCATGTGTCCATGTGTCCATGTGTCCATGTGTCCATGTGTCCATGTGTCCATGTGTCCATGTGTCCATGTGTCCATGTGTCCATGTGTCCATGTGTCCATGTGTCCATGTGTCCATGTGTCCATGTGTCCATGTGTCCATGTGTCCATGTGTCCATGTGTCCATGTGTCCATGTGTCCATGTGTCCATGTGTCCATGTGTCCATGTGTCCATGTGTCCATGTGTCCATGTGTCCATGTGTCCATGTGTCCATGTGTCCATGTGTCCATGTGTCCATGTGTCCATGTGTCCATGTGTCCATGTGTCCATGTGTCCATGTGTCCATGTGTCCATGTGTCCATGTGTCCATGTGCCCATGTGCCCATGTGCCCATGTGCCCATGTGTCCATGTGTCCATGTGTCCATGTGTCCATGTGTCCATGTGTCCATGTGTCCATGTGTCCATGTGTCCATGTGTCCATGTGTCCATGTGTCCATGTGTCCATGTGTCCATGTGTCCATGTGTCCATGTGTCCATGTGTCCATGTGTCCATGTGCCCATGTGCCCATGTGCCCATGTGCCCAGTCCATGTGTCCATGTGTCCATGTGTCCATGTGTCCATGTGTCCATGTGTCCATGTGTCCATGTGTCCATGTGTCCATGTGTCCATGTGTCCATGTGTCCATGTGTCCATGTGTCCATGTGTCCATGTGTCCATGTGTCCATGTGTCCATGTGTCCATGTGTCCATGTGTCCATGTGTCCATGTGTCCATGTGTCCATGTGTCCATGTGTCCATGTGTCCATGTGTCCATGTGTCCATGTGTCCATGTGTCCATGTGTCCATGTGTCCATGTGTCCATGTGTCCATGTGTCCATGTGTCCATGTGTCCATGTGTCCATGTGTCCATGTGTCCATGTGTCCATGTGTCCATGTGTCCATGTGTCCATGTGTCCATGTGTCCATGTGTCCATGTGTCCATGTGTCCATGTGTCCATGTGTCCATGTGTCCATGTGTCCATGTGTCCATGTGTCCATGTGTCCATGTGTCCATGTGTCCATGTGTCCATGTGTCCATGTGTCCATGTGTCCATGTGTCCATGTGTCCATGTGTCCATGTGTCCATGTGTCCATGTGTCCATGTGTCCATGTGTCCATGTGTCCATGTGTCCATGTGTCCATGTGTCCATGTGTCCATGTGTCCATGTGTCCATGTGTCCTTTCCCCACACCACTCCCGCAGGGGAATTGCCAACCAATCTGCGCTGATGCAAGCGGCACGAAATGGCGGTGCGGGCGTAAACGCAAGTCTCAACATGCATAGGTGGGTACTCCGACCATGGTTGGTGTGCACACCACGCCACACCACCGTTTGGGCTTGGAGCTTCGTGGTGTTCTAAGACGATGACATGCCCCTTTAGGTATGTGATCCACGTCAGCATGGTCTTCGGAGCTGTGCATGATGCTGATTTTATGGTGGTAGGGCTTGTGTGACAGATTTCAGGCTGCCGAATGTTGTAACCATCATATGTACAACGTCACACTCGTTCTTTTCCATTCCAGATTTCTCCTCCTTTTTATCACTCACTCCCCTCTTCCCACACATGGCTCCTTTCATCCGTGCTGTTGCCAGAATCTCGTTTCAACCCAGCTGTGCCATTGTGCGTGAGGCTTCTCAACAACGCCCAAGACAAGAAGATTAGCCCATCCAAGCAGGAAAGGCGTGGGCCCATGGTGGAGACTATCTCCTTCAATTCGACATCATGTGCTACGCCTTTCTGTTGCTCCGCGAACAGAACATTTCAATCACTCTTCATATAACTCTAACAGCATCCCACCCGGCATGGAAGGTTGCTAGGCAAGACACAGGCATGTGCTCATGGCATCCCTTTTTTTCCGGGTGTTGCAACCCACCGATGATTGAGTGGGCTATATTATCGCGTGTCCATAGAGTACAGTTGAAGCATGCTCTTACTAAACCTTGTAACAACACAAGTCTCATGCAATAGAGTTGTTTTGTAGCCTGTGTTGTACTAGCATGGATCTACTGCTTGGCGTGACTATTTATGTAGGGTGGTCTGGCTGTTGGAGGTCCACATCATGCTGAAGACAGTTGCTGCTACTGGTTACGTGAAGGCTGGTCCCTGTGCCATGCAGACATGTGCAGGAAGGACAAGGAAGATAGGGAATGAGGTAACTGGGCAGATGGGGAAAGAGATAACTGGGCAGATGGGGAATGAGATAACTGGGCAGATGGGGAATGAGATAACTGGGCAGATGGGGAATGAGATAACCGGGCTTCACGTGTGTCGCTTCACGTGGGGAGCCATGGGGGAGGGTGCAATTTCGCAGCACTATGGCTAGATGGCAGGCAGCCGAGCATGCAGCAATGCGAGACGCATGTGCAAACCTGAGATCACGAGCAATAACCGGATGACAGCTGCACCCTCCCCCTCTGCACCCCCCCACCCTGCACCCTCCCAACCATTCAACCCCCCCACCCACCCCCCCACCCTGCACCCTCCAACCCTGCACCCACGAAAATGTCGCTCCACCCTTGACTTGCCCATCACATCCGGCACCCCTTACCTCCTGCATGGACAGGATGGGGGGGGCAAGTCTAGGGAATGTGAGAACAGGAGAGATGGCACAGGTGGCACGGGGTGAGGGAGGGTAGTGTAGTGGATGGCACAGATATTCTCACGTTGCAGCACCTGGACCGCACATTCGCAGCCCTGATCGCCCGCACCACCCGCATGGAGTTGCCCTTCCTCCCCCGCAGCCGCCGCCCCGGTCGCGGCCGCCCTGAGGCTGATCCTGAGTCAGCCGCGGGCGCGAATTTTGCGGCGTACGGCACTACCAAGGCAGCGCTTGGCGGGGAGCATTGCCTTCGTGTTGCGTGTGGTTCCACGCTTCCATGTGCCGAGCATACGTGCTGCTCGGTATGCGCCCGCCATCTCCTCGCCCACCGGCCCCCACTCCGCCCGCTGCTCACCCACCCTGTTGCTGGGGAGGAGGGTGGGGTGAGAGGGGGACGGGAGTGGAAATCAGGGGGAGAGGAGGTGAGGAGGTGAGTGGGAGAGATTGTAGGCGGAGTGGGGACGTGAGGAGGGGGGACGTGTGGTTTGGTGTTTGTTGTCATGATGGCTCACTGTTTTCCTCTGGTTTTTGTTTCGTGTGGTTTGGCCCGCCAGATCGCCACTCCTGGGTTGGGAGGAGAGTCAAGCCTGGGATAGTGGGAGGAGGAGGAGGGGAAGGGGGGAATGGAAGAGAGAAATGGTGATATACCCTCATATGCGGGGCCCCCCCGGCCAACCTGGACGGCGAGGAGCACGAGAACGACAGCAGTGCATGATGGAGAGGGGGAGGGGCGGCTTGCGTGGAACGGCTGAGAGGAGAATACAGGGCGTAGGCGATGGTAGGCTATGAATGGTTGCGGCGGAACGGAGAGAGAAGGAGAGAGGAGGGATTGGAGGTGAGGAGAAGGGAGGGGCGAGGGGAAGAGGTGGGCTCGGATGGAGATGGGAGGGGTTGAGGGAAAGGAGACGCTTACAAACAAGGCGAGGAGAGGAGGGCGTACGAGCCGTTGACGGCGTGGGGTGACGCTCTCCGAATCCAGCGATGCCCCATCCCTATTCCACAGACAGACGGCGGGGAGAGAGGGCTGCAAAGTGGCATGGGGCCAGTGGGGACGCATTCGAAAGGTGGGAAGGGGGGATTTGATGGGAGGATATGAGGAGGTCTTGAGGCAGGAACTCTCGGACACGACATTAGGTATGCGTTGGTAGCCATGACGACGAGGTGTCTGATTCGCAATCACATGTCGAACTTGGTCGCGACACCCTAAACCGATGCGCGTGCTTGTAAGCGATGCGCGCATTTCCGGCCATTCGCTCCACCGATGTAATGACGAGTCGGCGTTTTACCCGTCCGTGTAGTTGGGAGCGATGACGCGTTCATTCAAAAACGATGCACCACGCAACCTCTCACCGCGCCATAAAACTATGCGCGACGAATCACAGCACGGCGGGACGCGGCGCGTAAGGGCGAAGGTGGCGAGCAGAACGAGGCTACATGGCCAGTCCATGGCGTGCCGCCATGGCTGTGATTATCATGGCCTTGACGGCGAACGCGACCATCGTTACAACGTCCGTTTAGATTTATCCTCTATGCGCTACTTCCAAGACACTTCCCGTACGACCATCATTCTAAACCGTAGGATTTGCTGGTTGCGCCCTATACTCCATCGTGATGGCGTCTAAATGCTATCAGGCGTGCCATGGGCAATCGTGGTGTGCCAGAGATGTGTGTGGGCCTTTTGTACGACTCTGCAGCTGGTGCTAGTTTGTGTTTTGAAGTTCCAAATTGCGCACAATCTGTTTCAAGTTTTTGGGTGAGTGTTGGCAAGCAGGGTTCTTCAGAACCCTGGTCTGCGACGGAACACAATTGTGTTCAATTTCTTTGGCACCCATCGCGAGGGGGTATGATCTCATTGGTTCACAACCTCAATTGTGTCGCGCGGACATCCGTCGCTGCCAAACTTGGTAACCAGATAGTCAGTGTTGCCAAACTTGGTAACCAGATAGTCAGTGTGTCAAGTTTTAAAAGCTTGACGCGCGCGGCTTGCAATCTGGGTCAACGGTTTTAAGACTTGCTGTTCCCTAAATGCCGTTTCAGCTGACAACCCAATATCAAACTTCCAATCACAAATATATGTAGAATCATATGCCAAGCAGAGCATTCCCCCGACAGCATCAATACCTGGCCTTGCATTGTCAAGCACCTCCTGGTTTTGCTACCGTAACCTTATCGTCTTCAACAAAAACATGCTTCAGAGCTTCATAGCACATGAACGATATCCCGGCAGCAGGCATTAGCTTGACGCACGACGGCACGAGTCCCCTGTAAAGCCCTTGAATTCCCTGCTCCTGAACGATCCTCTGAATGCAGTCCAATGTCCCCTTGTACACTACACGGCCCTTGAGCGCACCCACTTGCATCTGCAAGTGTAAGAACGGGAAGGGGAAGGGGGTTCACATGATGGACAGAATGAAGGAGGTTGATACAGGTGAAGCCTGAATTTGAACCACAGACTGAACCATTACCAACTTAAAGCACCTGATGTATGACCTCCTGATTTAGGCGGCACCAGTAGCAGAACTTGCAGCACTGGCAGCACCAGCAAATCCAGAAGCAGCACCAAGAGGCTAAAAAAACACACTGCCGCCCAGCGAGCACACCTCCTCACCCCCATCCCCCCCCCTCCTCCTTCCCCCTCCCCCCTCCTCCTGCCCCCCACCTGTTTCCGAACAACTTTGAAGGTAGAGGGAGCCAGCATATGGCACGATGCCTATCAGGCTGGGCCCCAGTCCCCGGTAGAGCTCGTGAGCGCCCCATAGAATCAACCACACCCAACAACATCAGGTGGTGACTCATGAGTCGACTCAAAAGTCATTCGGTAGAGCGCATGGCCGCCCCATAGAATCAACCACACCCAACAACATCACCCACACCCCAAACCACCCAGCGAGCACACCTCCTCCCCCTTCCACCCCCCCCCCCCCCCTCACACACACACACACCTGTTTCCGAGCCACTTCCAAGGGGAACGTGGCCGAGGCAGCCGCGGCACCAGCAAGCGACCCAATGATGAGCGTCGCCAGCGGCTCGATCTTATCCTTCTTTGCAAGCCTCTTGTAGAGCGTGCGCAGCGTGTCGTATGCAAAGTAGTTGGAGCCCGCATACGGCACGATGCCTATCAGGCTGGGGCCCAGCCCGCGGTAGAGCTCGTGAGCGCCCTCCTCTGTGATGATTCGGTAGAATGCATGCAGGATGGAGCGGTACTCGCCCGGCTGCTCGTAAGGGGGGGAGGGGGGTGGTGGAGGGTGGGGGGAGGAGGGAGGAGGGAGGAGGGAGGAGAGAGGAGGAGGGAGCAGGGAGGGGGAGAGAGAGATAGAAGGCACAGAGGAGTGGCACAGCGGCACGGGTGGGACATGTTGAGGGCACAAATCAATCACGATGCCTATGAGGCTGGGGCCCAGTCCGCGGTAGAGCTCGTGAGCGCCCTCCTCTGTGATGATTCGGTAGAGTGCATGCAGGATGGAGCGGTACTCGCCCGGCTGCATGGAGAGAAATGGTGGGGGGGGGGGGGGGGGGAGGTGGAGCGGGAGGCGGGGGAGGTGGGGGTAGAGGAGGGCGTTAGAGATAAAACGAGTAGAAGAGAGGCATATCTGCATGCCCTCTCTGTGATGATGCGGTAGAATGCATGCAGAATGGAGCGGTATTCGCCAGGCTGCACGGACAGGAGGTGAGGATGGGGGGGGGGGGGGGGGGGGGGTGGGGAGAGTGAGAAAGGCACAAAGGTTGCGAAGGCCACGAAATTAAGATGCCTATATGAGGCTGGTAACCAGCTCGTGCACGCGCTCCTCTGCGAGTCAACAGCGGTTCTTCCACGGCTGCGAAACGAAGGTTCATGAGTCAAGCCGTGCTGGTGGTGCTTGATGTACGGCTGGGATGTCATCAACGACAATTGACATACGGCTGGGGTGTGGCGGGGGAGGCTTGATCTTGATGTACGGCTGGGATGTGTGAGCGGGCGCTTAAGTACTGAGCTCACCGGGTTATGATGAGTTCGAGGGGGTACGTTCATGAGGCAGCAGGCAGCCAGACCAGCAGCAGATCCCGCAATACACTCGTCAATCCAACCAGCACTGATTAGCTCACGCTCACCTGAATGGTCAGCCGCGTCTTGACGAGCTCGAGGGGGTACATGAGGCAGCACGCTGCCACGTCAGCAGCCGACCTGGCAACTGGCTCGACAACTCAAAACTGATAAGCTACAAGGGGTACATGAGACAGCAGGCCGGGACGCTGGCAGCCACCCCGGCAGTGGACTCGTCAACCCAACCAGCACTGATATTCTCACCTGGATGGTCAGCCGCGTCTTGACGAGCTCGAGAGGGTACATGAGACAGCAGGCGGCCACGCCAGCAGCCGATCCGGCGATGGAGGAGGGCGGGATGGGAATGATGGGCTTGCCCCCGTCCGGCGGTGTGAGCAGCTTCTTGACAGTGTCGTACGTGAATAGCTGGTGGTGGAGGGTAGTGGGGGAGGAGAAGGGCAGAGGAAGAAGAAGGAAGGCGGACTGAGCGCATGGTGAGCAGCTTCTTGACTGTGTCGTACGTGAATAGCTGGTGGCGGGGAGAAGGGGTAAGGAGGAATGCGCGTATGGGCGCAAGGGTGAGAAGGGGATGCTGGAGCACAGAAAGGGATCGCACAGGTTGGTGCTTCCTTGTCTCGTGCCTTCGACGCTCTATTTCTCTTTCTTATTTAGCAAATGGGTTGTGGTCGGACTAGAAATGTAACATGGGTGAACGGGCACGTGTCACTCAGCGTCACAATGCATGCGGTCAATGCAGCAGCTATGAGCGTGAGCAAGCCCACAATGGTTAACTGAACCCTTTCAGGTAAGAGCCCATTGATCTCCTCACATGTGCACCTTTCACCTCCACCGCCTTTTCACTCGACTCTCACCTCCACGGCCTTGCCGGGAGCCACGCGGATGACGTTGATGGCGTTGCCGCGGAACAGCCCGCGCCACCCCTCCTTCTGCATGATCCAGCGGAACACGCCCACGATCGTGCGGTGCCCCGAGCTCCCCACCATCAGATGCGTGCGAATCGTCTCCAACGGCGCCACCACTGCCACATCGCGCAAGTGTATAACAATATAAATATCACATTGAATGTTACCATCAGTTGCCTGGGCTCCCCACCATCAGATGCGTGCGGATCGTCTCCAGCGGCGCCGCCACTGCCACATTGCGCATTTCCATGACCAGTTGATTTGATTTAATCTGTTTCGTTTCGTTTGTTTGATTGTTTGTTTTATATTTTTCCAAGTGCCAGACAAACGTTCAGGCAGTCAATGTGGCACTTTGAATTAAACACTTCCGAGCGATGCGTTGTTAATGCCGGCAAACGAGGAACGTGCCGCCGCATACGGCGCTTCAAAGACCGAAAACACATATATTAAAAAAGGAAGAGAAGAAGCCATGAATCCACACGCACCTGTGCGTGACACTCCTCCGGCAATGGCTCCGCTGACAAGCTTCTTCGCCGCTCCCCCGAGGCGAATCTGCACTCGAAAACCTCGATTCGCCTTCCACGCCGTTCCCACCACCGTCCCTTCGCCAGCCTCGCCAGTTTCCTCTCGCAGCTCTTCGCCGAACTCGACCTTCTCCAAACCACCTGCGGGGGTCGGCGCTTCGGACGACGAATCCGAAGCGTATTCCGACCAGCTAAATCCGAATTCGCCATCCACGCACTCTAGCGTTTCCATCTCGTCCAGCGTCTTTTTCCGTCTCAGCTTTTGTCGTTGCCGCTCTGAAAACGTCACCTTGGATTTCATTCGATTTCCAAAGATCGGCTTCGCGTCTTCCTCTTCGAGCTCGCCTGCTTTTCTCAACCGCTGACGCTCCGAAAAGGTAACTTTATCCGGCTTCATGCGATGTCCACGGAAGCCGAAAGCCCCTCCATTCGGACCATTTCCATTTTGAGCCGTTGGTGAACCGGATGCATCGCCATTCGAAGAAGCGGCGAGGGATCTTCGGGAGCCGCGACGTCGCTGCTGTTGGCGTTCGGAGAACGACACTCTGCGAGATTCTTGAGGCTTTGAGCTGATCGCTAAGCCTTGAGACGAAGCTGGAGGGTCCATGACGAAAACACCTATATATTTTCACGCAATTTGTATTTTTTTCTTTCACTTGTGAGATAAGGCTTGGTAAGAAATAAGAGGTCTTCTCTAGAACACAACCGGAAGTTTTATCTAACTGATCCCTTTACGTTGCAAACACGCGGTTAGCTGAGAGATGGCTGGTCTGTAACAGCCACAAGCAAGTCCAACAGGACCGCGTCTTTCGCAGGTGTAACGCGTAATCAGTTCATGCAATTTGGCTTAGATGCCCTTGCGAAGACGCGCTGCCAAAGGCAATATCCGTTAACTACTTCGGAATTCAGCAGCAAAGCACTAAGGGCGACTGCGGAAGAACTTACGCCTACTCTAATGGTCACTGACCTTTACTCTGGTTTGATCTGTACCGCAATGGTCAGTCTCTGTCTAGCACTCTCAAGTCAAGCGCGTGTGTTATCAGTTCACAAATCACGGACTGTCCCGGTGCGTTGCGGTGAATAGTGGTGAAAGCGTGTTACCGTGTAGAAGCGTGGTGAACCGCACTGGACGATGAGCGAAGAAAGCCCGTTGGGCACGGCATGAGGCATTCAAGGATGGTCGTGACAAGAAGACCAAATGATGGGTGGACGGGAGCTGACGGGGTGCCCTGGTTCTGACGTAACAACGAGGGAATTGTGACCGATCTGAAGGAGATTCTCTGTGGGAATGAGCGCTGCCCAATGAGAGCTAGCGCCGTACGCTGACTTGGGCGCCACGTGCATGATTTTGAAGAATCTTGCTCGTTTCTGGGGAGCAAGATGCTTTCTGGGATGAGGACGTGGCGCTAGAACTTGGGAAGCGCACAACGGATTTGAGCAGGGAACATGTTCAGTGCTTGAACATGCACTGTTGTGGTATTGCTAAATAGCTAATTTCCGGTATGGTATGAATAAAGTAGCCATTTTCCAGCCTTCTTCGCTCCAAAATGGAAGAAAGGCATGTACGGTACAGCCATTAACAAGTTGTTTCGATAGCTTGGTCTACTTCGTGAAGCACTTTATTCAGTATCAATTATGCAGCAAAATTCATGCGGTAGGGTCTGTTTCTGGTACAACTGAGGCTACAGCATGAGTTGAGTGTGTTTAATGAACTAGCAAGTTATGCACACTATTGGTTTACACAGAGACGAAAAAATGAATAAAGTGAGTAGTAACCACTTGTCATGCCTAAATGGGCACGTCGGCTACTCTCACTACCACCTCCACCATAACTCATCCGAACGCAATTTAATAGCTACATTTCATGAGCCACTTCCTCCTTGAGAATATCCCCAGCTCGTGCGAACGGTCCGCCTGCTCCTAACCGACCTCGGGGAGGAGTACTGCAAGCTCTCTGAAGGTGTGTTCCCGTGAAAGCATGCCGACGGAAAAAACGAACTGGTGACGCCGTCATTGATGGCGAACTGCGGCCGTCAGCAGTTGACGGTCGGCTGTCACATCCTGACGACCAGCTGTGACGGCTGAATGGAGCAGCCGTAGATGGAGACGGGTTTGAGTCTGAAAGGGGAGGACCTGAGAAATTCCACTCTTCCTCCATGGGGGAGCGTTGAACAGACTCTCCTCCAGGGCCATTTGATGGAATGGCGGGGTTGCGACTCAGTGAGATCGACGGTTCCAGGGATTTGCGCATGGAGTTATGACGTTTGACAGCCGGACGACGTGGGGCCGGGGAGAATCTGGAAGTGGTAAGCTGCTCATTAATAATCGACTGCGGAGGACTGTGCGCAGTAACTATCGACATCTGCGTATATATGTTTCGAATTAGGTATATGAAGGCAGCTGGAAGTAAGGATCGAGTGTGAAGGACCGAAGAAGTCACTGAACGGAGTGAGAAACGTGAATAAAGAATCTTCACTTGAAATGGTCGAGAGCAAGAAGTCGTAATTCTAAACACCACTTGAGAAATAAGTACCGCAGAGTGTGCGCTGGAGCGCTTGGTTGGGATGGGAATGAGGTTCGTGAAAGGATGAACTATGAAACGAAATTTGAAGTGGAGAGGAGCAAGAGTGAGGTGTGCGAGGGTGATGTGAGAGAGAGAGGGGGGTGTGAGGGAGATGTGGAGGAGGCTGGTGAATGAAAGCTGGCATGGAGGGGATGAGGTCCGTTAGACATGATGATGGTGGTTATGCGGTCGCTGATTCGTTGAGTCAAAGGACGAGTTAATGATACACGTCACTACAGTCGACTTGCACGCGGAGCCGCTGTTTTGTGCGCTTGTCCTAGACCACCGAACCAAGTCCAAGACTGGCCCAGAAAGCAAGAGCAAACATAAGCTCACTGTACACCCGACCTGCCCGTTTGATTGAGAGCTTGGCGTTCACTGTACTGCAATGGAAATACGGGCATCACACAACACAACCAGAAGTTTCCAGGGTCTAGAAGGAGCAATCACTTCAGGAATCGTGTTTGCTGCTGCTCCACAACTTTCAGGATGACCGATTTGAAACCTACAGTGCAAATTACAGAAGAACGCAGAAACTGTCCAAACAAATGACAGCTGTTCGGGCATGTGAACGAGGAACAACCTGAGGCCGTTGATCGAAGTTCCACGGGCAATTTTCTGTTGTACAGCTGTACAGTATGGTGGTGCAAAATCAGATGGGGAGATCCTCCAACGTGCCTCGATCGCAACGATTTTGTCTGGCAAATGCACCAACCATCGGTGCTCCTGGTTTGGCGGAAGCTGCCCAAGTTGCCCACATAATTAACATGGCACTGTAGTGCTTCGCTGTTGCCTTCACGCGGTTTTCTTACAAACAGCTGCGAACACCTCACACGTCTATGGTTCCACACTGTATAGTTGTTAGGAAGTACTACACTTTCACGTAGGATCAGTCCGCCAAATATCAGTCAAGCCCAAGTGATTGTCGGACAAAAGCCAATAATCCTGCATCATGGGAGGATCGGGGACACATGAAGCACAATAAAAGCAAGTACGTTACGTTATACGTGCAAGCTACCATATAAAACAAACGAACCAGTGCGTACAGATCGGGGGAGCGAATGAACAAACAATTACAATCATCACCCAAAGCAAACCAGTAAGTGGTGCAAAAAACACTTTGATACGGCATGCAATAGTATATCCAGCCTTGCCGCACTCACCACTGGTTCGGCGGGAACAACTCTCATTGGTCCGGCTGTGTCCACTGGCATTCCTGGCATTGTCATCCACGTGTCCCCTTCCCCATCCCCCATACCCATAGCTCCTCCGCCTTCACTCCCCCTCCCCTCTCCACATCCCCAAGTCCCAGGACTTGAGTCTACTCCCACCCCTGCTACCATAGCTGCCCCCTCCTGCCCTACTCCCCCTCTGCCTCCTCCTCCTTCTGCTGGCGCTGCTACTGCTGCCACTTCACCAGCAGTCGTTGCTGCTGCTGCTGCTGCTGCTGCTGGTCTTGTTTCCATTACAGCACTCTCGGTTCCCCCAGTTGCATTCTCAATAGCAGGCGCAGCAGCAGGAGTGGCATGGTCGGTGCCACCGTCAAACTTCTCCTCAAACCGGCTGGGGATGCACAGGGACAGGACAGGACAGGCACACGAGAGAGAGCTTAGCTCCGGGGCATCTCAGAAATGAAAGAGAACAGAGCAGCTGAATAAAACCACAAGAGGTCAGAGAAAGGACCTTAAGAATGAGGGATCACAGAATGCAGCTGAGTGGAGACCGAGTGAGAAATAGGGAGGTTGGGACCCCGGGGGGTGGGGAGGGAAGGCAGGAAAGAGGTATAATCTGGGGGACGGAAAGGATAGAGAGAGATTAGAGAAGGATAGAGAAGGATACAGGGGTGGGGGGAGGGGAAAGAGGTGGGAGGAAAGCGGGGGGGAGATGGGGGAGGAGTGGAAGGGGGGAAAAGACAGGGTACAAGGCAGAGGCAGGATGGTGTGGTCATACCTGACAAGGTAGACGTCAATGGGGCCATTGGCGCTGCGCAGCAGGATCTGATAGCGCTTGCTGCACGGCGATGGACCGCTGTGCGCCCTGCCTGCCTGTGTGACTCACATGGACGGTTGCAGGGGAGGAGTTGGGTGGTGGGGGGAGAGAGACAGGAGAGAGGACGGTTGAGACTTGCAGCAGGATCTGGTACTGGTTACTGCAGGAAAAAGGGGAGGAGTTGGGCGGATGTGGGGAGAGGGGAGAGGGGGCATCGGAGGTGTGAGCGTAATGAGGGGGGTCGTTAGGTATGATGATGCGGATGGGATGGTGGCACATGATGTGGATGGTGGCACATGATGTGGATGGTGGCACATGATGTGGATGGTACCCATACTTGGATAAGGCAGCACAGAGCACCACCAGCAGGAATCACCCCAGCAGGCATCACATCAGCAGGGCTCACTTCATTAGAAATTTATTTCATCAGGAATACCCACGTCAGCACTGACCACGTCAGCACCCACCCTATCAACTCACCTCGTCAGGGTCGGGAACTTCCAGCATGGTGCCATGCGGAGCGCGGATGGCGATGAGCGTCTCATTCTGGCATGCAGTAGAGGAGAGGGAGGATGGGGTAGGGGACGGAGGATGGGGCAAGGGAGGGGAGATGGGGGAAAGATTAGAGGATGGGACATGGAGGTGTGGTTGTGAAAAGACATGTGAATGATAGGTTTCGGTTTTATGGGAATCAGAGAAACGCAACAAGCAGGCCAAGGGTATGCACAGAAAATGCAGACATTGTCATATATACCAGACACAAATCTACAAGACACACATCTACAGACATTGTGGCAATTCCTCAAAAGAGGGCACGCCGAGATGAAGAAAAGACACCACGGGTTCCATCCAAGAAACCACTCTCTACATGGAAGCGTGGCAGGCTCTGAAAGTCATCTTCTGTCACGAACATCCACTGCTTCATCATTCCCCCTTGGGCAACCATCTAACCTCGAAAAGTCGCACTACTATCTACCTGGAAGCATGGAAGGCCCTTGATATCATCCTCTGTGACGAACATCCACTGCTTCTTCTTCCCCTTTTCAGAACCCCCCTTTAAGAACCCCAAGAGTCACACTCCCTATCTGGAAGCACGGAAGGCCCTTGATATCATCTTCTGTCACAAACATCCACGGCTTCTTCTCCCCATCTAGGAACCCCAAAGGTCGCACCACTATCTACCTGGAAGCATGGAAGGCCCTTGATATCGTCCTCCGTGATGAACATCCACTGCTTCTTCTTCCTCTCCTGAGAACCCCTCCCCTATGCACCGCTGTGTACCTGGAAGCATGGAAGGCCTTTGATATCATCTTCTGTGACGAACATCCACTGCTTCTTCTCCCCGTCACTGCCCGACAACCGTAGCCGCTCCTGCATGGCCCTGTGGAGGTAGCAGAAGGGGGGAGGTAGCAAAAGGGGGGGAGGTGGCAGAAGGGGGGAGGTGGCAGAAGGGGGGAAGGTGGCAGAAGTAAAGGGGGGAAGGTGGCAGAAGAGGGGAAGGTAGCAGAAGGGGAGAGAAGTTACTATGACGCGCCTCAGAACTCGTGTGTCTCATGACATCTACAGCTACAGCTACAGCTGCAGCTTCATCTCCTAATGTCTGAGAAAGGCAGCCTCAACCATCAATGCGCCTGAGAAAGACAGCTGCAGCCACTCATTATGTCTGAAAAAGCGACTGCACAAAGAAACGGCACCAGAAATCTGTTCTCCTTGTCTCATGCTCCAGATGATGATAAACCGGTCGAGGAGAGGAGAGGAGGGTAAGGAGAGGAAGAGGAAGAGGAGAGGAGAGGAGGGAGAGGTAGTGCATACTTGATGTCTTTGTCTAGCTGCCCGTCTTGCTGCCTCAACTCGTCTAGCTGAGCCTGGTGTCAGCACAGGGAGGAGGAACGAGGAAGAAAAGGAGAGAGGGATAGAGAGGGGCGGACGAGGAGGAGAGGTGGAGGAGGCAGAGAGGCAGAGGAGCGAGGAGGAGAAGAAAAGTAGCTATTGATTGAAGTCACTTTTGAGTCGACTCAAAAGTCACCTCGCAGAGGAGTGAGGAAAAGAAGAAAAGTAGCTATTGATTGAAGTCGTGTGGGACATGGAAAACGGGCGTGATGGAAGCGGAAAATAGTGGATGGACTGATTTCACGAGAACAGAAAGATCAAACAAAAAGAAATCGCAAAAGGCGTGTTAGTGTTTGGATTGGAAATGCAATGATATGGCGGGGAGGAGGGGGGTCGGCAAGGATGGAAGGGGGGAACCGGGGGGAAAGGAAAGGGGGTAAATGGCGGGAAGGGGAAGCAAGAAGGTTGGGAAGGGGAAGCAAGAAGGTTGGGAAGGGGGAGAAGGAGGGGAAGGGTGGGAAGGGAGGAAGCGCAGGAAAGGGGCGAAGGTGGGGAAAGAGAACTAGACAACATGCCAGGTCGAATCCATAACATCCCGCACCCAACCCTCCCCAACCCTGCTTCACCCTCCCATACCCCTCACTCCCCCCCCCTCCCCCTTCCCACCCACCCCCCTCTGCCCCCCACCAAGCACAGCACCGCACAGCACCGCACCTGGGCACTGGTCACGTCGTGTTGCATGCGTGATGCTCCCTCCCCTTGCAGGTTCATCCCCCTGTCTCACACAAGCACAGCACAGAGAGTGGGGTTCGAGAGTATGAGGGAAGTTCCAACCTCTCTGACTACAAGCCTTCTGATCAGAGAGGTTGAAATCAGCTGGTTTCGATCTGCTGCAAGCCTTCTAAGAGATTACAACCTCTCTGTCTACCATAGCACAGGGAGGGGGATCGGAGCACACAGTTTTGATACGTCTCAGAAATCTGTCTCAGAGCTCTGCCTCACACACTCCTGAACCCAAGCAGAGTCCCAACCCCTCGCAGGCTCACCATTCCCATCCCGCCCCAAGCAATCATTTCCCCCTCCTCGCATACACTCACCCCCACCACCCCACGCACTGCACTCACCCCCACCCCCTCATGCACTCACCCCCACCCCCTCATGCACTCACCCCCAACCCCCCATGCACTCACCCGCCCCCCCCTCCCCATGCACTCACCCGCCCCCCCCTCCCCATGCACTCACCCGCCCCCCCCTCCCCATGCACTCACCCGCCCCCCCCTCCCCATGCACTCACCCGCCCCCACCTCCCCATGCACTTACCCGCCCCCCCCTCCCCATGCACTAACCCGCCCCCCCTTCCCCATGCACTCACCCGCCCCCCCCTCCCCATGCACTCACCCGCCCCCCCCTCCCCATGCACTCACCCGCCCCCCCCTCCCCATGCACTCACCCGCCCCCCCCTCCCCATGCACTCACCCGCCCCCCCCTCCCCATGCACTCACCCGCCCCCCCCTCCCCATGCACTCACCCGCCCCCCCCTCCCCATGCACTCACCCGCCCCCCCCTCCCCATGCACTCACCCGCCCCCCCCTCCCCATGCACTCACCCGCCCCCCCCTCCCCATGCACTCACCCGCCCCCCCCTCCCCATGCACTCACCCGCCCCCCCCTCCCCATGCATTCACCCGCCCCCCCCTCCCCATGCACTCACCCGCCCCCCCCTCCCCATGCACTCACCCGCCCCCCCCTCCCCATGCACTCACCCGCCCCCCCCTCCCCATGCACTCACCCGCCCCCCCCTCCCCATGCACTCACCCGCCCCCCCCTCCCCATGCACTCACCCGCCCCCCCCTCCCCATGCACTCACCCGCCCCCCCCTCCCCATGCACTCACCCGCCCCCCCCTCCCCATGCACTCACCCGCCCCCCCCTCCCCATGCACTCACCCGCCCCCCCCTCCCCATGCACTCACCCGCCCCCCCTTCCCCATGCACTCACCCGCCCCCCCCTCCCCATGCACTCACCCGCCCCCCCCTCCCCATGCACTCACCCGCCCCCCCCTCCCCATGCACTCACCCGCCCCCCCCTCCCCATGCACTCACCCGCCCCCCCCTCCCCATGCACTCACCCGCCCACCCCTCCCCATGCACTCACCCGCCCCCCCCTCCCCATGCACTCACCCGCCCCCCCCTCCCCATGCACTCACCCGCCCCCCCCTCCCCATGCACTCACCCGCCCCTCCCCTTCCCATCCACTCACACGGGCCCCCCTTCCCGTGCACTCACGCCCATCGCACAGTGTTCTTGCCCTTCTTCTCAATCAACCCAATGCCCAACCCCATACACGTCCACTCTTTCCCAACCCCGGACCCCCATCTTGCTGCGCCTTACTCATCCCCATGCGCTCATCCCACCCACCCCCCCTTCCCCGTGCACTCACGCCCATCGCACAATGTTCTTGCCCTTCTTCTCAATCAGTCCTTTACCCCCATCTTACTACGCCTTCCTCATCCCCCTGCACTCATCCCACCCACCCCCCCTTCCCCATGCGCTCACGCCCATCGCACAATGTTCTTGCCCTTCTTCTCAATCAGTCCTTTACCCCCATCTTACTACGCCTTCCTCATCCCCCTGCACTCACCCCGCCCGCCCCACCCTCCCGTGCACTCACGCCCATCGCACAATGTTCTTGCCCTTCTTCTCAATCAGTCCTTTACCCCCATCTTACTACGCCTTCCTCATCCCCCTGCACTCATCCCACCCACCCCCCCTTCCCCATGCGCTCACGCCCATCGCACAATGTTCTTGCCCTTCTTCTCAATCAGTCCTTTACCCCCATCTTACTACGCCTTCCTCATCCCCCTGCACTCACCCCGCCCGCCCCACCCTCCCGTGCACTCACGCCCATCGCACAATGTTCTTGCCCTTCTTCTCAATCAACCCGATCCCCTCAAGCACGTTCGTGATGTCGTAGATCCGCCGCTTCTGCACCTGCAGGCGCGAATAGAGGTTAGGGGCAGGGATGGGGGTGAGGGTGAGGGTGGGGTAGGGGGGTGGGGGCGGGGGCAGGGTTGGGATTGGGGGTGGGGGAATGTGAGCAGGGGAAGGTTATGCTAGAAGCACACTCAATCAACCCGATCCCCTCAAGCACGTTCGTGATGTCGTAGATCCGCCGCTTCTGCACCTGCAGTGACGACAGCAGGATTGGGGGTTGGGGTGGGGGATGGGAGCAGGGGAACGACATGCCCGCAACACACTCAATCAGCCCCATGCCATCAAGCACATTCGTGATGTCATAGATCCGCCGCTTCTGCACCTGCAGTGACGACAGCGGGGTGGGGGTGGGGGAGGGGGCGGGGGGGGGGGTGGGAGCAGGGGAGGGTTATGCGGGGAGCACACTTAATCAGACTGATACCCTCGAGTACGTTGGTGATGTCGTAGATCTGTCGCTTCTGCTCCTGCCAACAAAAAAGCAGGTGGTTGGGGTTGGGGTAACGAGCAACAGGAGGGGCACGGGGAGCAGTCCGGATTGACCCTTAAGAACTTTCCAGGTGGAGAGAGCACGGAACGTTCGGAGCAATGGCATAATGGGTGTCAGGAAACGCACACTGAGGGAGGCAGCAGCGGCGTTGAGACCGACGGAGCAGTCGGGTCTGGCCTTGATGAGATCGATGAAATTCGTAGAGGGTACAGAACACTCGGAGCAATGTGACAATGGGTGTTCACATCAGGGAAGGGGAACGCACGCTGAGGGAGGCAGCAGCGGCGTTGAGATCCACGGAGCAGTCGGGACTGGCCTTGATGAGATCGATGAACTTCCGAGTCAACAGCCCTGGAGATGACGAGCAGCAACGGTGGCAACAGCATGGTGGCAACAGCATGGTGGCAACAGCAGCAGGGTGGCAACAGCAGCAGGGTGGCAGCAGCAGGGTGGCAACAGCAGCAGGGTGGCAGCAGCAGGGTGGCAACAGCAGGGTGGCAGCAGCAGGGTGGCAGCAGCAGGGTGGCAACAGCAGGGTGGCAGCAGCATGGTGGCAACAGCATGGTGGCAACAGCATGGTGGCAGCAGCATGGTGGCAACAGCATGGTGGCAACAGCATGGTGGCAACAGCATGGTGGCAGCAGCATGGTGGCAGCAGCATGGTGGCAGCAGCATGGTGGCAACAGCATGGTGGCAGCAGCATGGTGGCAACAGCAGCAGGGTGGCAACAGCAGGGTGGAAAGGACGGCAGCATGTGACTGAGCTCTGACTATGAATGAGTTAGAACCATGAGATTGGTTGGCGGCAACTGTGTGATGCGAGAGGAAAGAGGCGGGATAGAACGAGACGAAGTTGGGGTTGAATGCAAAGGGAGGACACCGGAACTCGATTCACACACTCGACTTTCTGATTGACCTCTGGCCCTCCGTCTCCCCATACTCTTTACCGAGAGAATTGTCGAATCTGCATGAAGGTTGCTGCTTCTGATGTGGCTGCAAGAATCTTGTGTTTGTCTTCAGATGAGGTAGCTCTTGTTGCTCTTGTTGCAGCTGCAGTGGTTGCTGCTGTTGCTGATGATGATACTCGAGGGGATGCTGCTGCTGCTGCTGCTGGTACAGCTGCACTGCCTGCGGTTGCTGTGGCTGCTGTTGCTGCAGATGAATTTCCTGCTGAAACGGAGAATGCTGCTGCTGCAGTTGCTGCTGTTGGGACTGTTGGTGTTGCTGCTGGTGCAAGTTCTGCTGCTGGTGGTGCTGGTGGTGCTGCGATGGAAACTGCACATGCTGCTGGTGCGACGGCAAATGGTGGTGACCTTTCTGTGGCGGTTGTTGGTACGCTGATAGCTGGTTGTGCATCCTCGATGTAGCAGCAGCAGCTGCAGCTGCATTGACAGTGGAAGCGGGATAGGCCTGGGAATAAGGGACGGATATTTCCGCCTGAGACCACCCACCTGCACGGAGCCAAATCAGGCAAAGCGAAAAAAAAAAAAAAACCGATTACATAAGGCCAGAAATTGTGATCCGCTAGTAGCACTGAATCCTCTGCAGGAAAATTCGTCAATATCATCATCAAGATCCAGAGTCACTTCTTGGAACGAACCTAAAGGGTCGGAACGATCAGGACCTCCAGATCTGCAGCCTGGTTTATCAAGTTGCGAATGCACCTTCTACTTTGCGCCGGACACGGTAAGGGATGCATGCAGAATGCTGCATTGCTACTTGAAGTGACTCAGACATCGGATTCACGTGCTGTACTGTGCTGGACGTGGTAAGGGATGCATGAAGAATGCTGCATTGCTCACTGAATGAGCAAAGAAGCGACTCAAACATCGGACTCACCTGCAGTCCTGACCCGGACGGGGTAACGAATGCGTGCAGAATGCTGCATTGCTCATTGAGTTGAATGACGAAGCGAGTGAGACATCGAATTCACCTGCGGTCCTGTCCTGGACGTGGTAAGGGACGGCTGCGGCGGAATGCTGCGTCGCCGTTGCCATCACGGCCGTCGCGTTGATAGCTGCTCCAATCGCAGCGTCACCCAATCCGACCACGCTCCCCGTCCTCCTGTTAGGTATAGCGGTAGCGCTCCTCCATTGCGTGTCCTGGACGGGATTCCAAATGGGTGCAGAATGCTGCATTGCTCACTGAGTTGAATCACGAAGCGAGTGGTTTTCCGCGTCACCCAATCCGACCACGCTCCCCGTCCTTCTGTTAGAAATAGCGGTCGGGCTGCTCCATTGCGTGTCACGCTGCTTCAGCGAGGAAAAAAGGGCAAACGAGCACAGAATTTGAAACGAGAGAATCAGACACAACCTGCATTGCAGGCCTTCGCTGTTAAGAGAGATCCGGTGGGTGGAGGATTCAGTGTAAGCCCAATCAGGAGCCTCAACTCTCGCGATAACGACGTTTCTGCTCCTGGTTGGCGATCAGTGATTACCGTGTAGCTTGACTGGTATGCTGCATTGTCCATTCCACCCCAATATCCTTGGCTTGCTGACGAAAGCGGAGTCGAATCAGGGAAAAAAGGCGACTGGTGAAACGCCTGCTTCATCGGTGAATGTTTTTGCTACAGCCGCTACAATGGAGATCGTTCGTGGAGATCATCAAACCAGCCTATGACGCCAATGTTTTGAGCTTTGTTGTTAATACTAAGTTTAGTTCCCGCGTGCCAACTCTTCGAATGAACCGAATGTGTGTGCTGTTGCTGTCATGTAAGCTTCGTCACTCCCTAGGTTAGCTATCTTCCAAGCGTGGCGCTCCTGGAGCTGCTCCTCCTGCTGCTTCAAAAACTCTCCAATCTCTGGTCCCTTGAGTCCCGACTCCCGACTCCCAAGCCCTTCATTCAAGAGTTCTCAAGTTCAGAGAATATCTCTTGGGAAATGAAGGGCGTTCTGTTAATACTATCGAGGATGATCATTCGTGGAACAGTTCGTACCGATTGGCTTGTGGATTCGAAAATCTCGGCGGGAAGTCTTGCCTTTTGCTCCATCCTCATCGTTGGATAACAGAAATCGCTTATCCAACGGCGCATCATCGAGCTGGCCAACAATACTAGCACCCACAGCACACAGAAGGAGCAACAAAAACACTGGTGGCAAGAAAACTGTTTCGGCCTTATGCCGAGGTGTTTCGACCCCAGGACAAGAGGAGCCAGCCAATGAAGAGCTCACGACCAGGTTCGTGGGTGCTAATTGATGATCCCTGACACGCTGGATGCTGCCCATGCCACATCGATTGGTTCATTGGTCGCTGGAGGTTGGGCCAGACCGTAACCCCTTATTGACTGATTCACGAGATGTTTGATTATACATTTAACTCGGAATGCTTATGAATAACGAGTTTGAAAATGTGAATGCTGTAACACTTCAAGAATTCACACCACTAGTGTACCCTCCACGGGGCAGGCGGCAACCAAATTCTGTCAGCAATCGCGTCGGCATCGCACGGGGCGCCTACCGAGTCGTCCTCGCGAAATGTCTTCAGTCCAATCCAATTCTTCCCGCATTTTTCCTCAGCGTTCCTATCTGTCGTTGTTTCCTCCCCTCGTGTTTCTTCAACCTGAATCCTTCCGTTCCGTATTTCTCGTTTGTCTTCGACCTAGCATGGCTGGCCTGGCCGCGTCTCCCACTCACACAGCCCTGCTGCTACCCACTCTCTCACTCTTTGTTATTCACAGGAAGTCCTCGCGTTGACTCGTCAGAATGTGGGAGGCTGAAACAGGGAAGAGCTGGCGCCAGTTGCACCGATCTTACCAACCGACAAACAGCCGCTTTGGCCGTCGGATTCACAAGCAAACTACCAAAAAAAAAGAGCGAAATAGGGTGCCGCACGACATATTGGCACGTCCTCTCCACTTCTTCTTCCACGGTATGCTTACTTTTCTACCGATCATGTCGCAACGCGGTGGTACAGTTACAGTTGTAGTGGACGGCTATCGTAAAAGGCCTTAAGCATAGCGTGAGCTGGCGGTTTTCTATCCAACTAGAACTTGGATCTCAGCACTTTGTCCCGGATGAAACCTACCGACATCGAGCCGCAGTGGCTTTCCATTTCCGCGACTACATGAGCACGTACTTCCCTCGTGCCAATATCTTAGTTAAAATGTGTTTGGTTTTCGTAAGAGAATAGTACGTTGTCCATTAGGATCACACACCCGCAACCACGCTGCCCTCGTTCCTTCCTCGCTACCCTACACCTTTAATGTTAGATCTTCAATCAGCTATTTTCCCTCCTAGCTACCTCACGACCTGATTTGGATAAGCTTCGGTTGTTTTCTGAACCGACCTGTAGGATCAAGGCAACCTAGACAATCCGTCATGGCGGATTGTCGGCGGAGGGATCAACTGCGGAATTGTTTCGAGTCGCCAGCGCCATCAGCATCGCCATTGTCTATGGTAGCGTTTTCTCTAGCTTTCGTGTTATTTTTACTCGTTCTCTCCGCCCTTCCCGCGTCAGCTCCGTCCCCCAGCGGAAGCTCAATCACCGCCGCAGCTGCCGCCGCAACTACCGCCACCGTAGCCGGCGCAGATGCCGCTGCCATGAGCGCTCGATCCGTTGCGATTGGCGCCCTCAATGGGAGAGGATATCCGCGCGTAGTAGCAGCGTCACCGGATTCTAAACTAGTAGGCATCCATACTAGCGCCGAGAAGCGTAGCAGTTTCAAGAGTAGCAGCGGGAATCCCGTAAACTCGGCGTCGAAATCGCCGTCAAACGCGCCGAATTTCTTCAAGCCCCGGAACGTAGAGGAGAACTTCGCGGAAAAACCGCCGCCAGAGCCGCCGTTACCTACGGCGGCGAGCGCTGCGCGATCCAGAGAGACCATATCGCTGCTCTACACCGAGCTGCTGAAACGAGCGCGTCCGTCGCCGCCGCTGCCGCCGCTGGCGGTTCCGCGGCCCGGTTCGACCAAGAAGAGTCCTAAGCTTGGCAGCAGATTAATTAGCGTTATGATCAGAGCGTCCCCGCCACCTAAGAGAAAGACGCCCTCGCCGCCGAAGAAAACGGCTAATCATTCGCCGAAGGTCCCCACGAAAAGTCCTGCAAGCGCATCTAATACGTCCCCGCCTAAGCGCGGAGTTTCCCCGCCGAAGCGGGGAACTTCCCCTCCGAAGAAGCGCTCGCCGATCCTCCCCAAGAAGCGTCCCCCCCCGCCGCATTCCTCCTCCCCGCCTAAGCAAAAATCCCCCAAGCAACCGCCCCCCGCTAAACGGTCTCCGTCTAAGCGGTCTCCCCCTAAACCGTCTCCCCCGAAGTCCCCCCCGCCTGCTTCTCCCCCGAAGCGGCGCAAGCCTTCTTCAGCGCAGAAGTCTCCGCCTCCGCCCCCGCCGTCTCCGCCCCCGGGGAGCGGCGGAGTGGACCTGGGGAACGCGCAGAAGGTGCTGAAGATGCTACAGCCGTACTTCGACGACCCGCAGTTCATGATGTTCGCGATCAACGGAGGTAAGGCTTTTTTCTTTGGGCTTCATGAAGCTCTTCAGGACTTTCAGGATTCCGCAAGGCGCTTGAACTGTTCCATACGGGAGGTGCTGACCTACGGGAGGTGCTGACGATGCTTTAGGCGTACCTAAACGACCCGCAGCTTATGATGTTCGCGATCAGCTGAGGTAAGGCGCTCCTTAAATATTGTAAAGTGTTTCCCATCTCCCCTGTCAACCATCACCCCCCATTCCCTCCCTACCTAAAGTTCATGGTATGGTGGCATGGCCCCCTCCGTAGTCCCCTCCCAATTTGCCATCCTCCCGCAGGCCTGCTCATTTTCTTGGGCAAGGCACTCAACTCGACAGAGAAAGTCACCTTCTATAAGGGAGGTGCCAAACCCCGACATCATCAAGGACGTGTAATGAGGTTATCTTTGAGACGTCTCAAAAATAACCTCATTACACTTACCTTCTATAAGGGAGGTGCCAAACCCCGACATCATCAAGGACGTTCCCACCTCGTCCCCGATTATTCCTCTTATCCTATCCCACAACCCAACCCCTCTTTCAGGTCTCCTGAACCTCATGGGTAAGGCCCTCAATTCCACCGAGAAAGTCACCTTCTTTGTACCCGACCCCGACACCATAAAGGACCTGCCCGACGATTCGCCGCTCATCATTGTCCCCTCGCATCCCCTCCCCTCGCATCCCCTCCCCTCTCACCCCCCAGGTCTCCTGACCCTCATGGGCAAGGCACTCAACTCGACAGAAAAAGTCACCTTCTTCGTGCCCGACCCCGACACCATAAAGGACCTACCCGACTCGTCTCATCCCCTCCATTGCCCCATCCCGGTCCTTCCCACACACTGATTCCCCTTCCAGGCCCCCTCACGTTAATGGGAAAGGCACTCAACTCGACAGAAAAGGTCACTTTCTTCGTGCCCGACCCAGACACCGTCAAGGACCTGCCCGACGATTTGCCGCCGCTCATCAACGACCCAGCAATCCCCTCCTCTCCCATCCCTTCCTCTCCCATCCCTTCCTCTCCCATCCCCCCTCCCTCTCACCCCCCAGGTCTCCTGACCCTCATGGGCAAGGCACTCAACTCAACGGAGAAGGTCACCTTCTTCGTACCCGACCCCGACACCATCAAGGACCTGCCTGAGTACCACTCATCCCCCCCATCTTCCCTATTGCGCCCCATCCCGCCCAGGTCTCCTGACCCTCATGGGCAAGGCACTCAACTCAACGGAGAAAGTCACCTTCTTCGTACCCGACCCCGACACCATCAAGGACCTGCCTGAGTACCACTCATCCCCCCCATCTTCCCTATTGCGCCCCATCCCGCCCAGGTCTCCTGACCCTCATGGGCAAGGCACTCAACTCAACGGAGAAGGTCACCTTCTTCGTACCCGACCCCGACACCATCAAGGACCTGCCTGAGTACCACTCATCCCCCCCATCTTCCCTATTGCGCCCCATCCCGCCCAGGTCTCCTGACCCTCATGGGCAAGGCACTCAACTCAACGGAGAAAGTCACCTTCTTCGTGCCCGACCACGACACCATCAAGGACCTGCCCGACGACTCGCCCTTCCCACTGCCCCCTCTCATCCCCTCCTGTGGTTCCAGGTCTCCTCACTCTCATGGGCAAGGCACTCAATTCGACAGAGAAAGTCACATTCTTCGTACCGGATCCCGACACCATCAAGGACCTGCCCGACGACTCGCCCTTCCCACTGCCCCCTCTCATCCCCTCCTGTGGTTCCAGGTCTCCTCACTCTCATGGGCAAGGCACTCAATTCGACAGAGAAAGTCACATTCTTCGTACCGGATCCCGACACCATCAAGGACCTGCCCGACGACTCGCCCTTCCCACTGCCCCCTCTCATCCCCTCCTGTGGTTCCAGGTCTCCTCACTCTCATGGGCAAGGCACTCAATTCGACAGAGAAAGTCACATTCTTCGTACCGGATCCCGACACGGATCCCGACACCATCAAGGACCTGCCCGACGACTCGCCCTTCCCACTGCCCCCTCTCATCCCCTCCTGTGGTTCCAGGTCTCCTCACTCTCATGGGCAAGGCACTCAATTCGACAGAGAAAGTCACATTCTTCGTACCGGATCCCGACACCATCAAGGACCTGCCCGACGACTCCCCCCTCATCAACGACCCGGCCATCGCCACGGCAGTGGTCAATTTTCATGTGGTGCGGGGCAGGCAGGTCACTTACACGGAGTTGACTCAAGCCGCCACTGGAACCATGGTGAGTGGGGTTCAGGGGGGTGGGAGGGGGATGGGAGGGAGGGGGATGGGGCTGTGGTGCTGCGGCTTCATGCTCTCTCGTTTGCTCTTCATCGCCCTCCCCGACCTACCCTCCCCACTTTCTCCCCCTCTCCTTCCGTTGCAGTACCAAACGGATCAGCACGAACGAGCCCCTGGTGAAGGATGCAGCGAGCTTCCTCTTTCAACGTAGTGCTACGGCTTCCTGCCCTCTCGCCTGCTGTTCTTCCCCATTTCATTCTCCCCCCCTTCCACTGTCCCTCATTCCGCCCTCCTTCCGCTTCAGTACCAAACGGATCAGCACGAACGAGCCACTGGTGAAGGACGCAGCGAGCTTTCTCTTTTAACGTAGTGCTGCGGCCTCATTCTCTCTCACTCCCTCTTCTTTTTCCTTGTCCCTACCCCTCCCCCTCTCCTCTCCTGCAGTACATGACGGATCAGCACGAGCCACTGGTGAAGGACGCAGCGAGCTTCCTTTTCAACGTGGTGCTGCGGCCGAGCCAGGGGCCTTCCCGTGCCACCATCACCATGCCCAACGCGTACACGGACGAGAGCATGCAGGTGAGGGCTATGGGATGAGATACGCATGAGTGCACACTTGAGAAGGACCTGCTGTCGTGGTGCTGCGGCCGAGCCAAGGGCCTTCCCGTGCCACCATCACCATGCCCAACGCGTACACGGACGAGAGCATGCAGGTGAGGGTTGTGGTATGGGAGACACACGAAAGCACGTGTGTCAAGGACTCACTTTCATGGTGCTGCTGCGAGTGCAACCAGAGGGCTCTCCCGTGCCACCATCACCATGCCCAACGCATATACGGACGAGAGCCTACTGGTGGGGGTTATGAGGTGGGGGTTTATGGGACGAGAGCTCTCGGACACACGTGAGAGCATGCAGGTGAGGGCTATGGGGGAGGGGGCTATGGGATAAGAGCTCTCGGACACACGTGAGAGCATGCAGGTGAGGGCTATGGGGGAGGGGGCTATGGGATAAGAGCTCTCGAACACACGTGAGAGCATGCAGGTCTAGTGCCTTACCGTGCCACCATCATTATGCCCAACATATACACGGACGAGAGCATGCAGGTGTGGGATATGGGTTTGAGGGATATCCGGCACACGTGAGTGCATGCAGGTCTAGCACTCCCCACTCGTCCTTGCTGCCGTATTCCATGCACATCCGGCCAGTCCCACCCTCTACTGCACCCCACCCCACTCCACCCCGCCCCACCTGATCCCAACCCACCAAACCCCACCTCACCCTGCTCCATTCCACCCCACCCCACCCCACCCCACCGCACCGCACCCCACTCCACCAGGTGCATGTACTGGACTCGCTGCTCATCCCAGACTCCGTCTACTTCGCCCCTCCAACAACATCCCCTACAATATCCTCTCGTCCAAACCCTCCTCCAAGCCCTCCCCAGCCATCCCCGTCAGCAACCCCTACCCCACCATCCGCACCGTCAGCCCCTCCCATAGCATCTCCACCGCCACCACCGGTGGCAGCAGATAAGCAGATCCCAGCCGTGGCAACAGCAACTTCTCCTCTGTCCAGTTCAGATCCCAACACCACAGTGCCAGCACCACCTGCGCAGTGACTCTTGCCACGTCTCCAAAGGCCCTCGCTGCACGGTGACTCTTGAGTCGACTCATAAGGCAGCAGTGAAGCAGCTCCCACTTGCCCGCGCTCACAGCAGCATACGATGTTCTTGTTCTATGGACACATCTGCTTCCCATTCTTCGGCTTCCTTTTGGAGATTATTTGGCTGGTCACTGCCATGGCTGTGTAACTAGTGCTACTTTCCCTTATGTCACAGGGCGTGCCACTTTCCTTGTAGCACGTTGTGGCCTTGTTCAGTGTATAGTGCTTCGTTATAAACAGATGCAACAGCCATCTCACTGACAAGTACACACTTTTGTAGAGATGTCACATATGTACCTGGATTAATTGCTATCAGTCTAATACTCACAACAGTTGGCCTGCTGCTACATCATCAACGATGCAATATCCACGGTATGGATTGCCCATACCAGGATTGGGTGCGTCGTACTGAATTAAAACGGTTTGTCTAACAATATTAAATGATCGTGGTAATATCAGCCTTCGCTAGGACAAGATGTCAAGGACCTATGGCTGACACCGCTGGGCGTGCAAACGTTGTGATGCATGGGCTTATGCCACAAATTCCACCACATCCCTGCTATGTGAAGACAAGAGGGCTGGCTGGGCTTTATGCTAATGGCTTATAACAAGTACAATAAACCACTACCTATGTTCATAAACGTACAGCACACAAGTTATGGTGCTAATTTTGTTCAACGAATCCAGGCCTGGTTTGCGAAAGAAACGGGAAGAATCTCGAGCCTTTTACCTATCTCAGCCGTTCATATTTTGCGATTCCCGTCGCCCACTTCAGAATCTGTCATCGTGCATCCTCCAGCACCCACCTCCCGCGCCATCAATTTTGCTTCCCAAACAATCTCAAGGCGCCTCGACGTTTGCGAATCGGTCTCACATTGATGGCCGGATGCGGTTCGGGATGAAAAGCGGGGCATGGCAAATTCAATAATCCCCTCCACCTCGTTTCCCCAGCCCAACAGCCGACATCGCACAATTTGCTATCGACAGCATGAATTTCCTCACTCCCCCAACTATCCCTCCGTCGTTTTCGCACCTATCAACCACCTTCCCGATGTAACCGTGAATACTCCCCCCCACTGCCTCATGCAAAGCCTGTTACTAATCAGCTACCTCGCCATAGTTGACCCGTCAGCTCCAGTATCACCCTGCTCACACATCGCCGACCGACATTGGCGTGCAATCACCGCGCATCCCTGTCCATACGGATGTGGCACCCGACTCTACTGTTTTTAGATCCAGGCGTATAATACTTCCGCTCACTCGCTGCTACCTTGCCAAATTCCTTTCGAGTACAACTTATTTCTCGATCCTTTTGTAACTACGCCGCTTCATTCACAGTTCGAACTTGAGTCTCCTTTAGCTCCTCACGGCTAGGCCGATATAGAGTAATATTTTCCACGAACCATTGTCAGGGTTGCTTATAGATCTCCGTTGTCGATCTGACCATGGCGGGCCGAAGGGCGGTGGTCCTGGCCGCCGTTCTCTGCATAGTTATATTTCTCGCTATCTGCACGCCAGCTCCTGCACTCAGTAAAGCGACAAAGCCTTCAACTAAGACCACGGCAAAACCTGCCACCCGACCCGCCGCATCTCCAGCAAAGAAACCGCGGCTAGTAAGGGGAGAATCTGCGGGTGAGGCAGTCGCAGGGGCGAAAACAGTCGCAGCGAATTCCTCATCGTCGTCGTCGTCAGTGAAATCCGCCGGAAAGAAGGCTGCGACGTCGGCGAAATCTTCTGCGAAATCAGCGAATTCGGCTGCGACGAAGCAAGTGAAGTCGACTACGGCGCAAACTAGCCAATCCTCGAAAAAATCTGTAACGAAATTGACGAAGCCGAAACCGCTGCCGCCGTCGACCAAGTCTCTGCCCAAGACCCCGAAAACTCCGACAAAGAAAACCACCTTGCCGTCAACAAAGCATCCATCATCGCCAACGACGACAAAAACGCCAGTAAAGTCGCCTGCGAAATCCCCGGCGAAACAAAATGTTTCGCCGCCTAAGAAAAGCCCGTCGCCACCGAAAGCAAGCCCGTCGCCGACCAAGAAAAACTCGCCAACGACAAACCCACCAGCGAAGGAGCAAACGCCGTCTCCGAAACCGTCAGTCTCGCCTCCAAAAACACCGTCAAAATCGCCGTCGAAATCTCCGTCCGAATCACCGTCAAAATCGCCGTCGAAATCTCCGTCCAAATCGCCGGCCACCACCGAAACGAAGAAAAAGGGGAAGCTCCGAGAGAAGCTGTTCCGCAAGAAGAAGAACACCACTTCAACCTCCTCCTCCACCGTTCCCAAGCCCAAGGTCATGGTCAATCTCGCGGAGGCGCAGAAGGTGTTTAACCTCGTGCAAGGCCTGAGCAAGCAGCAGCAGTTCGTGAAGTATATTAGTAACGCGGGACTTCTCTCCGTGCTGCTCGAGTCGATCACGAAGGGGAACGGCGCCGGCGCGACGTTCCTCGTGCCGTCCCCCGACGCGCTGCAGTCGCTGCCGCCCGCGTCGCCGTATTTCAATAACCCGTCGCTCGCGCGAACAACGCTGCGGTACCACATGATTTTGGGGAAACAGATGGACTACACGGCGCTCGTCGAGCGACCCGCGGACACCGGCGTGAGTGTATAGGGCGGGCTGTGGGTGTGTTGGTGCAATTCGGACGAGAGCGCCTTCTTCACTGTCGTCTTCCGTCCCTCCCATCTTTTCTCAACACCGACTCCCTCCGTCCCCACATGCAACCCATGTGCGTGCCCCCCTCTCCCAACCAGTTCCGCACGCTCGCCAAGGAGTCAATGTTCAAGTCGGATGAGAGCGCCTTCTTCCGCCAATTTCCGCACCTCACATGCACCACTGCATGCCCCTCTCCCACTCCTCCCCTTGCGCAGTTCCCCACGCTCGCCAAGGAGTCAATGTTCAAGTCGGATGAGAGCGCATTCTTCACGGTCGTCTTCCGCTCAGGCAGCGGCCGCTCTAAATCCACTCTACTCGCGCCCAACCTCGCCAAGACGGAGTTTTTCCAGGTGCGTTTTGAGTCTGGCTCAGAATCCTCTTGGGGCTCGAGTCCACTCCACTTTACGCACTCACAGCCCCGCCAAGACGGATTTTTTCCAGACGTGTACCTTGGTGGCTCGCCGCGCTGAGTTTTGCTTTCATCCTCGTTGCACACCACGTGTCATGCCCGTTGTCGTTTTCATTCGAGGGCCGACTGATCACCTGTCCTCTCCGTTCCCGTTTCCATTTCTCTCGTGTGCCTTTTTCCAGGTGGACCTTGTTGACTCGCTCCTCGTGCCCGACGCCATCCTCCACTCCATGCCTGGTGTCGGTGCTGGTGCGGGTGGGGTTTTTGAGGCGACTACAAATCCTCTCCACTTGTTCTCTCCATACCTGTACTCTCTGCACTCGCTTGTGTTTCCAGGTGCACCTCGTAGACTCGCTCCTCGTGCCCGACGCCATCCTGCACTCCATGCCCGATGGCGGTGATGCTGCCGGTGGGAGTGATGGGAGTGATGGCACTGGGAGTGATGGCACCGGGAGTGATGACACCGGAGGGAGCGGTGGGAGTGATGCAAGTGGTGGCACTGGGAGCGGCGGTAGTGGGAGCGGTGGTGGTGGTGGCACTGGAAATGATGCAGGCGGGAGCAGCAGTGGTGGCGACTCTACCGGTGCTGGCAGTCTCTCTCGTCCTCCTCCTCCTCCTCCCACTGTCTCGTCACCTCCTCCCGTCAACCCCTCACCTCCTCCCCCTAGCCCTTCCCCACCCCCGCCTGAATCTTCCCCTCCTCCTCCTGTCTCTTCGCCTCCCACCCCTGACTCCTCCTCTCCATCTGCTCCTATTGAATCCACTCAAGCCACAACCCCGCCCTCTCCCTCCCCTCCCCCTCCAACCAACGAGTCAACCTCATCCGCAACACCATCACCGCCCTGACTCTCCTCCCCCCCTCCCTCACCCCTCCCCCATCTCTCCTCTTCCTGTCTCTTCGCCTTCCTCCCCTGACCCCTCCTTCCCTTCCGCTACTGAGGCCACTCCAGCCACAACCCCTCCCTCTTCCCCTCCCCATCCCCTCCCCATCCCACAACCCCATTGTCGAGACGTTCGACGTATACTCTTTAGAAGAATGCCAACGGCTGGCTGGCCAGAATGGCATGCTCTTATGTAAACTAGGATAGATTCAATGTGTCGTATAGTTGTGAATGTACATCAAGTATACAGGCATTAAGGATTGCATCCAGCACAAACATGAAGCATGAAACGCCAGCAGCACATACCACTACTCTCTTGTGTCTAAAAGAGACACGGCAAGGTGGGTTCAAAGCGATCTGCCCACTGTCTAGATCTGTGCTGGTTGTGGAATTGTAGAAAAGCTTGAATTCGTTTTTTTGCAGCACATAGCAGAGTGTACAGCAGTGCTCATTCAAACGTTCCTGTGCAAACTACTGTATCAAACCCTTCATGCCACACACGTGCAGCGTGTTTTTCAAGGTGTGATGTGGCCGATCTCGACAGCATTTCCACAAACACCGGTGTGTACAGCAGTGCTCATTCAAAAATCATGGTTCAGCTGCCAACTATTAACCACTACAATTTGCACATTCACTATAACGTGAGCTAGATCATGTCCCTTGACCTGCAACACTGGCCTTCTAGCAAAAATTACGCTTGAAATATGTGTTATGCCTGCAGACATGCAATAAGCACAATACTGCGTTTATATTGAGATTATACAGACTCTTACAGGTCTCAACAGAACTTCTTTATGCTAAAAGTGACCATGAAGCAATTGAACAAAGACAAAGTGGGGTTAGCATTACACCTGATGTAAGAAAAAAAATCCTTTTCCTTACTTAGCGCCCCTGCTCAGCGCGTACACCACTGTAGCACCACAGTCAGCACCGTTACCACTCGCAACCCTCGTATCGACAATCCTCCCGCCACCTTCGCACGTCGGACCCCGACCTCACGGCTCGGCGGGTAACCCGCGCTCCGGGCCTCCGCCTCGACATTTTCCCAACCTCAGCTCCAGGCGCGTCATCCACAGTTCATTACCGTTACCACTATAGTTTCGCTATATATTCTTCGTTCATGCCTTCGCTCATTGTACCTTTGCTTCGATAGTGCAATTATCGCTCGCTCACTCAATTGCACTCGTAACACTTGGTATTCAGAGCCTACGATCTCTTCTCGGACCGCACCCACACCTTCGCTTCCCCACTATTTATTTTTTTGGGGGGGTAGACGTCTCTCAGCGACACAGCACCGCCGCTCGTAGTGCTCTCTCGTAAGCACGCACGGCCATGACAGAGGCTCTCGCTAAGCTTGCCCGACACCCCCGCCATGGCCGAATTTACTCTCGGGACACTGATGCAGGAGCAACTCGACCGACTCGTGCGCCAAGTTGAGGAGTCGGCGCTCGAAATTGCGACGCTCACGGCGGAACGTGACTCCGCGCGTCAACAATCCATGGTGAATACTCCAACGCCACCACACGCACCTGCAAATGCACCCGCACAATCGGAGGAGCCGATCATCATTTCATCAGGCACACCGACACAGAATGACAGCGTGGGACAACGCTTAGGTGCAGCCAGTGATGGCGCCGCCCATTCAATGCCTGGCATGGAAAGGAACGGGGTCGCGCCAAGCCCGCGGGAGCCTCGCGAAACCCGTCGGCACGTGGAATTTGCGGCGACAAGTGGCGACCACGCCATCATGGCGCCAATGCCACTCAAGCCGCAATGCACGCCCTGTTTCGACCCGAGCCAGCGTGGAGGTCCGACGGTTCAATCGTGGGTCTTCACGATGAACGTATTTTTCGACGCAAACTACGTCGAGTCGGACGCAACGAATATCAGATATGCCGTCTCGCTGCTGAGGGGCCCCGCCATGGACTGGTGGCGAGTCATCGTGACGTCGCCACGCGCCTACGAGCCACCGTCGCAAGAGGAAGGGCCCGCAGGTCCAGCCGTCACCTGGAGTTCATTATGTGAAACCGCCCAGTGTAGCACGTGGGATGTGTGGTGCGCAGGGCTTCGGGTGCGCTTCGAGCCAATCGCGGCTTCTATTTTGGCGAGTCAGAAACCGCGTACTTAGCGGCAGCTCGGGTCGGTTCAAGACTATACGAGTGGTTTTATCGCATTATGCGAGCAAGTCGGCTACATGCACGAAGCGGAGCGGGTGGACCGTTACGTCAGAGAGCTGAAGCCGGACATCTTGCGCAAAATTATGCTACGCGGACTCTCGAATTTCAATGAGATTCTCGCGCTCGCCGAGAAAATCGACATTTTGCGTCGTCCGAGACCGGGGTCCTACTACGGACATCGCCCTCGGGGACCGATCGAGCACGCCACCGTACATGCCATTGTTACAAATGCAGCTACCGCGCCGTTTAAGGGGCGCTGCTTTGCTTGCAATAGGCCGGGCTATCGCAAGAGTGAGTGCCCAGAGGAGCTGAGGCGCCGCGGAGCAGAGCAGGGGAGGGAGTCTTCAAGGCAGGGAAACGACAGCAGTCAGTAGGAATCGGGCCAACTACTGACGAGACTGCCTGCTCGCCCAACCCCACCGACCCTCACCGAGTCACAGTACCGATTCACGCCATCGATCGGGCTCGGACGAATAAGGAGGGTACATCGACGGATTGCCCAGTACCGATCCACGGGAAAATACACGGAGCAGCAGTGAAGATTTTTATCGACGGAGGAGCAAGTCACAGTTTAGTTAATACCGCAACCGCGCGAAAACTGCAACTGACACTTAGCCGGTGTTCACCAGAGATAGATGCACGCTTAGTTGACGGCACGCCACTGGCCATACGGGAAAAGGTGGAGAGAGTCGAAGTCCGCTGCGGGGGAAATTTCGGGTTTACACAGGAAATGCTCGCGACGACACTTGATGGGCACGACATATTACTCGGACGTGATTGGCTGCGACGGTATAACCCGCGAATTGACTGGACGACGGGCAGCTGCACTGTGCGAAGTAGTGGTAACAAGGTCGAACTACCTCGCTGGCAGTCGCCTGAGTCTTCAACGGTACATGTCAACGCCGTCACCATGAAACGGGCTGTCGCCGCTGGAGCTGACGTGTACGCAGTAGACATTGCAGTGGTAGAGGAAGCAGAGCAGCCGAGTGATTTCAAGAAACTGCTGGCAGCGGTACCGCCCGAACTACAGGAACTGTTGAAACGATTCCCGTGGATTTTTCCTGACGATTTACCGGAGGGACTACCACCTCAGCGAGCACATGACCACCGAATAGAATTAGAACCGGGGGCACAGCCAACCGTACAGCGCCAGTTCAGACTGACACAACCCGAGCTCGACGAACTGAGGAAGCAGTTAGATTACTTGTTAGAGAAGAAATTCATCCGACCGAGCTCGTCACCATTCGCCGCACCGATACTGTTCACGCCGAAAAAAGACAGAGGGTTTCGCATGTGCATCGATTACCGAGCGCTCAACAGGGTAACAGTCAAGTCGCGGTACCCCATTCTTTGTGCCGACGAACTGATAGACCAACTACGAACAGCACAGGGTTTTTCGAAAATAGATTTACGGGGGGGTTACCATCAAATTAGAGTCGAACCATCAGACTGCGCCAAGACAGCTTTTCAGACTAGATACGGGTCATTCGAGTACACCGTGATGCCCTTCAGGCTGACCAATGCACCGGCGACATTTCAAATGACCATGAACGAGGTGTTTAGGCCACTTTTAGATAAATGCGTGATAGTTTACCTCGAAGGCATCCTCGTTTACAGTCGCGACAAGCAGCAGCACTTAACAGATCTGGAAGCAGTGTTTACAATTTTAGACGAGCATCGGCTACTGACGAAGGGTTCCAAGTGCGAGTTCTTTCAGGACATGCTAGAGTTTTTGGGGCACGTTATTTCGGAGGCTGGGGTCGAAATCGACCAGAGGAAGTTAGACACGGTAAAAGCCTGGCACCCCCCAACGAATATCACGGAACTGCAGAGCTTTTTGGGGTTCGTCAATTACGTGCGTCGGTTCGTCCCCGACATGGCACGGTTAACTGCGCCGCTGACGGACTTACTACGGAAGGGGGTCGCTTTTACGTGGGGGGAGAAAGAGCATGCTGCCTTCTCTGCCCTGAAAAATATCCTCTGTTCACCGCCCGTACTGCGCATCGCCGACCCACACCGCCTATTCGAAGTAGTTACAGACGCAAGTGACATCGCCATCGGAGCAGTACTGCTACGGGACTTCGGCAACGGTCTACAGCCCATCGCATACGAGTCACGAAAACTGCATCTGCTCGAGAAAAATTACCCGATAGACGACCACGAAATGCTCGCAATCGTGCACGCATTCAAAGTGTGGCGCTGTTACTTGACCAACGCAGACGTGACAATACGGACAGACCATAAATCACTACAGTACCTCCGCGGACAGCCACACCTCAACCCACGACAGATTCGCTGGCTCGATTTCCTCGAGTCAAACTTCCACTACACAGTCACCTACAAATAAGGGGCATCGAACATCGCCGACGCACTGACCCGCCCCACTACCCAGATCCACGCAATACTACTCGCCCAGACCAGCCCACTACTGACACGCCCATTTACCCACGGGTACCAAAAAGATCCATTCTTCACAGGAGGAAATTCGCAGCAGTTCGCAGCAGCAAAGGGAGTCTATTACGTAAATGCCGGGACCGACCGCATCTGGGTACCAGGGTATACACTGCTACGGGAATTACTGTTATAGGAGGCACACGACGGAGTTACCTCGGGGCATTTCGGGGTAGAGAAAACACGGCAGCAGCTGCAGCGGTACTATTACTGGCCCGAAATGTTGACCGACGTACAACGACACGTGGCATCGTGTCCCACTTGCCAGATCATGAAGTCATCACGAAAGCGGCCGGCAGGACAGTTGCAGCCGAGCGTGCTTGGCAGCAGGTGACGATGGACTTCGTCACGGGGTTACCGGTCGGGGCGAGTGGGAACGACGCGATCCTGGTCGTCGTCGATCGACTGACGAAAATGGCACACTTCGCGGCCTGCAAGAAATCAATCACAGCTAAAGAAACAGCACGCCTCTTCATCTCCACCGTCGTTCGACTGCACGGGATACCAGCAGCGATCATCAGCGACCGAGACACGAAATTCACCAGCAACTTTGGCGGAACCTGTGGCAGCAATTCGGCACGCGACTACAGTTCAGCTCTTCGTACCACCCCGAGACCGACGGACAGACAGAGAGGACAAATCAGACCATGGAACAACACATCCGAGCCACGTGCGACGACCCAACCACCTGGGAACAGCAACTGTCACTCATCGAGTTCGCGTACAAAAACTCACCTTCCGCCACGACCCAACAGTCACCGTTTTACCTGAACTACGGACAAGACCCGACAGTACCCATGACCCCGAATTCCGACAACCCGGTGCCACGAGCACAACAGTTCACCGAAATTTTACAAGCAGCACGGACCCGGGCAGGAGACGCAATTAAATATCGAACATCATCGCTAAACGCAACGCCGACCGCCACCGCCGACCTGTCACCTACCAGCCCGACGACCTAGTTTTACTTGACACCCAGAACCTCCGCCTACCCATTACCCCAAAACTTCGCCCTCGATACTGTGGACCATTCCGCATCAGCCACATGATTACACCCGTCACCGCCCACCTCCTCCTCCCCGCTGACTGGTACGTCAGCCCGTCTTTCCACGTCAGCCTGCTTCGCCCCTACGTACCATCCACAAGCCAATTGCCACGCAACCGCCCAACCAGCATGACACGACCACCGACCGAGCCACTCATCACACCCGAGAAAATTCTGAGCCACAGAGTTCGTGACCCATGAGGAGCTCGACGGATCGAGTTCCTGCTCCGCTGGAGAGACCGTATACCCACCGAAGACAACTAGGTTCCCCTGGACAAAATCGAAAACCACCCCGTCCTCACAGAGTATCTGCGCAGCCGGAATTTTCGGGATGTACACGCGCTTTCGTAAGGAGGGCCCCCTTAAGGGGGGGGGGGGGGGGGGGGGGGTAGTGTAAGGAAAATTTCCTTTTCCTTACTTCGCGTCCCTGCTCAGCGCGTACACCACTGTAGCACCACAGTCAGCACCGTTACCACTCGCAACCCTCGCATTGACAATCCTCCCGCCACCTTCGCACGTCGCACCCCAACCTCACGGCTCGGCGGGTAACCCGCGCTCCGGGCCTCCGCCTCGGTATTTTCCCAACCTCAGCTCCAGGTGCGTCACCCACACTTCATTACCGTTACCACTTTAGTTTCGCTATATATTCTTCGCTCATGCCTTCGTTCATTGTACCTTTGCTTCGATAGTGCAATTCTCGCTCGCTCACTCAATTGCACTCGTAACACCTGAGCATAAATGTTTTCAATAAACATGTTGAACGTAAAAAGGGGCTTGTTATCACGTACATTAGATCGCTTCGATGATGCCTGACGGCTGTCAGAATTTCCGACAATCCCTCTGCCGACACCTCAAGAAACTCGTTTTTGTGCCACGAGGACACCGACAGGGAGAACCCACATCACCTTCCGTTCCCCTTATTGGTTGCGTGAGATGCGGAGCCTCTCAAAGCACATTTCCGTGGTTTTGCGCCCAATGTCGCGGTTCGATTCTCACATTGAAATTTCTGCGGCTCGGGCGTGCCATATGTCCCGCAAATCTGCTGAGTGTATCGTGGCTACTTGGTTTCTCATCGCTTCTCCTTCCAACTTCCCAACCAAGCAGACGTATCGCCCCACTTCCTTTCCCATTCCAAGAGAGCTCACATTCACAGCACTAGCCGTTTCAGTGCACCTAGCTTCTAGGAATATTTTTTCCACCAGCCATCATCGGCAAAAAAACAAATTCCACAAGCAATCGAGGCGCAGATAGCCGACACTGAGGCCTTAGAAAAACCTGAACGCTGCACATCACGATAGGAAGTGCCTGCCTGCCTTTCGTAACTGGCGCGCGGGCTGGTCGGACACCACGAAGGTATCGAGCCTCCAGCCACTTCCCTTCTAGTATTTACACCATTTGCCACCACAAATTCCTTCGCTCGAGTAAGAAGCCCTCTGATTGAGATACATCACGCCACTTAGGTAGGACAGTAGTAAGTGCATCCACGGTAACTACCGGGCCTCCGCTATACTTAAAAACCGTACAGCAACGACCTTCACTGCCAGTCCGGAACCCCGATAAAGTCCTTCGCATATAACAGCACTTTGCTCTAACACCATCCACGGCCCATGGCGCGTATTCCGCGCCTAGCTTTCCGGGCGTGCCTTCTCCTTCTGGCCGTCGTAGTTTTGTGCGCCGCGCCATGCGCGCTGGGTAGGCATTCCATGGCTGCGTCGTCTCTACCCACACAGCTGGAAGCAAGCAGTGAGTTGAGCGGCAGAGAGCTTCTGTCGATGTCGAATGCAGCGGGATCGACCGTGACTCCGCTGGCGACTTCAAGCGATAAATCACCGCCTAAAAAGTCGCCCCCGAAGTCCCCATCCCCGCCAAAGAGCTCCTCGCCACCCAAGACAAGCTCACCAGCGCCGGAAAAAAAGAAGGGTCTGATTAAACGGCTCATTCCGAAGAGGAAGAAGAAGGCTGAAGCCGGGGACGGCGGACCCGCTATGGTGAACCTCGCTGACGCGCAGAAGGTGTTTACGCTGGTGATGTCGCTGAGCAAGCAGAAGCAGTTCGTAGAGTTCTTCCAAAAAGCAGGTAAAAATATACTATTTCAGATGCCTCAGGAGTGAGTGTTTACTCTGGTGACTTTGCAGAGAGAGCGAAAACAATTCGCGCATCTTTTCAAGAAAAAGGTACCATCGCATGCGTCAGGTTTTCTTCATGCGGCTTCGAAGGCCGCGTCCCAATTGCACCAGTGTTTATTCTTCCTCACCTTCCATGCGGCCATCAGGTCTGCTGCTTACGTTCCCAGAGTCAATTGTCAAGGCCGGCACCAGCAGATTTTGCTGATGCTTTCTCATTCCTTCCGTGCGTCTTCCAGGTCTGCTGGCAACCCTTCTTGAGGCGACAGTCAAGGCCGGCACCAGCGGCGCAACGTTCCTCGTGCCGTCCCCCGACGCGCTGCAGTCACTGCCGCCCGCATCGCCTTACATCAATAACCCGTTGCTCGCGCGCGCCACGCTCCGATACCACATGATCCTCGGAAACAAGTTTGACTACACGAAGCTTGTCGAGTTCTCGGCCAATAGAAAGGTATGCTTGTAGCGGGTCAGATGTCCAACAGAAAGGCACGGTGACGGGCATAATGGCATTAAAGTCCCCGCCTTGCTGAGATCAACTTGCTATATCGCATATACTCACCCCGTTTCCCCCTGCCTCCGCACTTCCCTGTCCTCCTGCATGTTAATCTCCTGCGTTTCCCCTCTATTCCCCCTTCGCCAATCGCGTGCGAACAGTTCGCGACGCTCGCGAAGAGGCCCGTGTTCAAGTCGGACGAGAGCGCGTTTTTCACGGTCGTGTTTCGGTCGGGCAGCGGGCGCTCCAAGTCAACGATGGTCGCGCCCAACCTCGCCAATACCACGTCGTTCCAACTGCACCTCGTCGACTCGCTCCTCATCCCCGATGACGTGTACCGCGCCCCGCCCGCGAATGGCGGCGGCAACGACGGCGGTGACGACGGCGATGACGGCGACGCGTCCCCGCCCCCGCCTTCCCCCAAATCCCCGCCCAAGTCCCCGCCTCCGACCCCTCCCGCTTCCCCCAGCCTTCCGCCTCCTGTGGTCAGCTCTCCGCCTCCGCCCACGCCGGTTACCGCCTCTCCCCCGCCTCCTGTAGTTACACCGTCGCCTCCCCCCGCTGTTACCGCGTCGCCTCCCCCCGCTACTACCGCTTCTCCCCCGCCCCCCACGGGCGGGGTGGCGTCCCCGCCTCCCCCCGTCTAATCGAGCCCGTGCTTACTCTAATAACCAGGGCGTGTTACACTTGTATGGCCCGGCCTGAGTGTGTGTGTAGTCGATAACACGGTAACTGACCAAATGGGAATCGAGTGGGATGCAGCAGCCTTCTCCTCCTCTCCTCCTGGTGTTTCTCCTGGCCCTCCGCCTGCTCCTCCCTCTCCTCCTGGTGCTTCTCCTGACGCTCCTGTTGCTCCACCTGCGCTGCTGCTCGTCCCATTATAGCAACTACACATGCGAAGTGCTGAAGTCAATCAGGATGGGGAACGTTGGACACTTGGTTGCGTGAGTGGCAGAAGTGGGCTGATGAATAATGTATACTTGGTCATAATGTAAAAGCATACCAGTACCTCCGTCCGTTTCCTTGACATGGAGGTTTCATTCAGGGTTACAGTACCCCCTGAATATTGATAGAAAACAACAAAGAAATGCAGATCAGAATGGCCGTACCACAATCCACTTCCTTCACAATCCATGCTCTTCGTTTCTAGAATCCAGACAACCCCATCAATCCTAAACCCTAAACCGTGCCCCTATGAATCTGCCAAAAAGCACACACTATTCACTTCCCCCACTATGGTTCAGCCCCGGTTCAGGCCCAGCGCACCAGCCAGCCATCCTCATACGGTACTACCGAGGTGACTTCTGAGTCGACCCAAGAGTCACCTCGGTTCAGCCCCACTGCACCAGCCAGCCATCCTCCTCGTACGGTATCGAGGTGACTTTTTCCTCGACTCAAAAGTCCTCAGAAGTCACCTCGGTTCAGTTCAGTCCCAGCACTCCTCTTCCTCCCCAGCACTCCTCTTCCTCACACTGTACCCCCCTCCCCCCGCCACCACCACGACCACCATCACCACCGCAAGCAGCCCGAGACTGGTCAGCATCAAGCCACTACAGGAATGCACCCGCTAAAGTATCCCTCACTTCTTCCCTCCTCTCTTCACCCTGTTCGAGTTAACCTTCAACCCCAGAGCCACAGCCATTCTCCTTGTATCCCCGCCAGCCGCAATCGTAGCCACCACCGCTCGGCTGTTCACCGCCCCCCCTCCCCCCGCCTTCCCCTCGCCCACCTCATCAAAGAACGTCACGAAATCAGGTGCCAGCACGTCAGTGGGTTTGCCCTTCTTCTTGGTGAATCGCCGCCGGCCGTTTTTAGGGAGGAGCTGGTCTTCCCTCAAGACAGGGTCCTTGGCTGCTCCTGTCCTGCCCCCCTTGGGCATTGGCAGGGAGAACTGCAGAACACAGGGAGAAAGGAACAGGGTAGGGTATGGAGTGGAAGAAACAGGATCATGGGTGATAGAGTGAGGCGAATGCGGGTCAAAGAGTGAGTCTGGTGCCAGCACGTCGGTGGGTTTGCTTTTCTTCTTGGTGAATCGCCGCCGGCCGTTTTTGGGCAGGAGCTGGTCTTCCCTCAAGACAGGGTCCTTGGCCGCTCCTGTCCTGCCTCCCTTGGGCATGGGCAGGGAGAACTGCACGTGAACAGGGAGAAAGGAACAGGGGTTGGGAAAAGAGTGAGTCAGGTGCCAGCACGTCGGTGGGCTTTCCTTTCTTCTTGGTGAGCCAGGTGCCAGCACGCCGCCGGCCGTTTTTAGGGAGGAGCTGGTCTTCTCTGAGAACGGGGTCCTTGGCTGCTCCTGCCCTGCCCCCCTTGGGCATGGGCAGGGAGAACTGTGGATGGGATGGGAGGGGGGTAGGAATGAGAAGGGGGGTAAGAGAGTCAGGTGTCACGAAATCAGGTGCCAGCACGTCGGTTGGCTTGCCCTTCTTCTTGGTGAATCGCCGCCGACCGTTTTTGGGCAGGAGTTGATCTTCCCTCAAGACAGGGTCCTTGGCTGCTCCTGCCCTGCCTCCTTTCGGCATGGGCAGGGAGAACTGCGGATGGGACGCGGGGTAGAAATGAGCATGGGTAGAAGAGCCAGGCGGCAGAACGCCAATGGGCGGACTCTGTCTCATAAGTCACCGATAGTCATTGGGTCGTTGCCTCTACCTGGTGACGTGTATAAAGATTTATTTTGAGACGTCTCAAAATAAGTCACCGATATAGTCATTGGGTCGTTGCCTCTACCTGGTGACTCTACCTGGTGACTCTACCAGGGTCGTTGCCTCTACCTGGTGTTGTATCACCATTTCCCTCCCTTGCCGCCTCGAATGTTGTGTTGCTTGTGCACCCACCCACCTGCATGCACCACGCCATCCCTTTGCAATCAGCAGCACCCCTCTGTCCCACCCACCCCTCTGTCCCACCCACCCCTCCTTCCGTTCCCACCCCTCCTTCCGTTCCCACCCCTCCTTCCGTTCCCACCCCTCCTTCCATTCCCACCCCTCCTTCCGTTCCCATCCCTCCTTCCGTTCCCACCCCTCCTTCCGTTCCCACCCCTCCTTCCGTTCCCACCCCTCCTTCCGTTCCCACCCCTCCTTCTGTTTCCTCTAGCGCTCACCTTGCTGCCTCGAATGTTGTGCCGCTTGCGCACGCCCGCATGCACCACGCCATCCACTCCCACCGTTACTGTGACCTGCCAAGAGAGGGAAGCGCGGAGAGAGTATGAGGGAGTGGGATTGAGCATGAGAGGGCCTTTTCAGGGGCACGCCTGCATGCACCACGCCATCCACTCCCACTGTCACTGTCACCTGCGGAGGGAGTTGGGGACAGAGTGTGTGTGTGAGAGAGAGATGGGGAAGAGAGTGCGCGTGTGCATGTGATGTGAGGTGAAGGTGAAATCACCTTGTTGAGAGACGAAGTTCGAACGGAGAGGTCACAACACCTTGTTGAGTGCTCACCTTGTTGAGTGCTCACCTTGTTGAGTGTGGTGCCGTTGCCGCAGTCAGGGCAGAAGACACGCGTCATGTCAGGCGTGACAGCAGAGCACGCAGAGCAGCGCTGCACCCACCTGGAGAGAGGGAGAGGTGGGAATGGTCAAAGGGCAGGAGGGAAAGGGCAAGGGGCAAAGGGTAGCAAATGGGGAGTGGAGACAGAAAGGGGAGAAAAGAAGGGATGAAGGATAGATAAGACCTGCTCCGCAGTAGGCACATCCTGAAGACACCTGTAAGCTACCTACGGCACCTGTCCTCCTGAGTTTTCACCTGAACGCTGACTTGTGCACCTGAAGGCTCACCTGTGCACCTGGGCGATGCGCATCCCTGATTGGGCGGAGAGGAGGCGCAGGCCCATCTGAAGTGCCACGTTCTGCATGGCGTAGTCTGACGTCATCAGGGCCACTGCTGACGTGGATAACGATGATGATGACGTGGACGCTGCTTCACTGCCGCCGTCCAAACTCCCCTCCTCCTCTCCGTCCTCCTCTCCCTCCTCTCCTCCCTGCTCCTCTCCTTCCTCTTCCTCTCCCTCCTCTTCCTCTCCCTCCTCTTCTCCACTTCCCTCCTCTTCCTCCCCTTCCCCTTCTGCCTCATTCACTTCCCCACCTTTCCCTTGCCCCTCCTTGTCCTCCTCTCCCCCCACATCACTATCACCCGCACCGCCGCTCTGCTTCTCCTCATCCCCAACATTCCCCCCTTCCTCCCCATCCTTTCTCTCCTCTTCCCCGCCCTTCCCCTCCTCCCCGCCACCATCACCCCCCATTGCGCCCGTCCCCCCCGCCAGCGCGGCTGCGCGCTGCGCCTGCTCCTGCGCAATCCGCGCCAGCTCCTCCATGGCCGCGCGCTTCCCCGCCCTGCGCTTCCACCTCCGCCGCCCGCTCTTCCCCCTCGCCGCCTCCCATTCCCGCTCGTCCTCCTCCTCACCCGCTCCCCCCTCTCCCTCTCCCTCCTCTCCTGCTGTTCGCCCTGCTGACTCAGCATGCCCTCCCGCCACGTCAGCCGGCTCTCCTCGCTTAGAGGCATCTACCCCAGCCACTACTAATTTTCCCTCGAACCGCTCTTCAGCTACGACCGGCTTTATTTCCCGAGGCGCCCATCTGCGTCCCCCTCTCCCTCTTCCCCCGCCTCTCCCCCTTCCCCACCCAACTGTCCCCCACCCGGGCATTTCCCCCGCCTGCTCCGCTTCCCCGCCTCCTCCACCCTTCCGCGCCTCATCTTCCGCTCCTTCCCCCCCTTCCGCTGCTTCCCCATTTCCGCCCAGGTTCATCTGCTGAAGCTCCGCCTCCACACTTTCCGCGCCCCCGTTCCCGCCAGTCTCCGCCTCCCCCGCACCCGGCTCCTCCCCCGCCTCCTCCCCCTTTTCTTCACCTTCCGCGTTCTCATCCCCCTCCCCCAAAACCCTCACCCCTAGAATCCGCGAACCTACCCCCTTCCCCTTCCCCCTCCCCCCATCGTCCGCGACCGCGTCGATCCCCGCCCACTCGTCCGGATTCGCCACGTTTTCCGCCCCCCACCCGGGCAGCGCCTGGCGCATCGCGACGTTTGTCCTCTTCTGGAAGACTGGGCGGGCGGGGGCGGCGCGGAGATTCACGCGGCCGTGAGATCGAATCTCCTCCATCACTGCGAGCGCGAGCAGCTTGGAATCGACGGCGGATAGAGTGCCCACGTCACCCGTGGCGCGCGCGAAGCGGAGTACTGGGGAAGGCGGAGACAAAGGGGCGGAAGGAAGAAGGAGAAGTGTGGGGGGGGGGAGGTTAGGGGGTTACGGGGAGGCGGTGGGGAGGGGGGGAGGGGGGGGAATTTGCTCTGAGCCATTGAGCTGGGGAGCCGCGCCGCATGCAGTTGCGGAAAGTACGTAAAAAACCGAAACCCTGGGCAACCCTGAACGGCACATCTGAAGGAATACTCGATCTCTTTAGAAGACAACCCTCCTAATCCCGCCTAACCTAGTTAAACCCCTTGTGCTCCTTAACGTACCCTCCTTAATCGCCTCATCACTGGGCTCTCGACATTTGATATCGAAAGGGAGGACGGACAACTGCTGCCGCGCGGTGCGATCCCGAACCTCCGCCAACACCTCGCGTATAGTCACAATCTCCGCCTCGCTGGCAAATTTCTGCAACGAGGTCGTCCCCGATATAAGAACATTCGCGTCCACTACAAGACACTGAACCGCTCCGGCAGTGGCGGCGCCGGACGCGGAGGGTATCTGCCCGCGCGGGGCAGCGTCCGCGCTAGACCCGCTGGCGGGTTTCCCGCCTGATGCCACGTCAGCTCCGCTCGAGACCGAATTGGCTCCGTGCGAGAACGCGGCGGAGCTTCCGGATCCGCCTTGATCCGCTTCCGCGGATTCGCGGAGGGATTCGCGCAGGGACACTGCGCGGGGCGCCCCCCAAGCGGGTTCCGGGTTGGGGAGCTCGGATGGCGCTACAGCTTCTTGCGCAACTAGCGGAGGGAAGTCGTCATCTGGAGCCGCGGCCATGCTGCAAATTGCAGACGACGGTTAGACGGATTTATTGATAGTGCAGTGGTGGTGGGTAGCTTGGCTGGAAAGACGGAAACTAGTAACGCCTGGAGTATATCCTGCGTGCTTCCTGAATGTGAAGACAAGGAATAGGGTTTTGAGGGGGTATGGGATTGTGGAACACGAGGATGTCTGGAAAGAAATCGAGCGTAAGCAGTGAACCAAAAGTTTTGCCTGGAGTTTGTCATTGTATAATGTTGATAATATTGCTCTGTATAGAGTACGGTTTTTCCCAGTCTTCGCCTTCTTGTCAGGTCAGGTTCCCGACTCTGACAAGCATAACAGCACTACTGATTTTCAATTGTACCAAGTTCAACGGGCAGGATGCTTTTGGAAATTTATCCGCTGACAGTCGTTGATCACCAGGATTTTTCCGGTCAGACCGTCGCGTCAGAACCTCGAACCGAAGCGCTCTTGCCTGAAAATCAGACCTTTACCCCTGGCCGTTCTGCAAGCACCCTGTGGTTCGGGCCGAGCAATCACAGGGATAGCCAGCCAATAAGAAGCTCGTTCAGTCATCGAAGCGCAGGTTTCCACAACCTTGGGATCAGCCCAGAGCCAAGTCTCTTCGCGTTTGCGCCCGCCAGCACGGGGCATGGCTTCTGAAGATCTCAGCGCGGGGAAAATCCCCGTCTCCCAGACCACCATCCCTCTTCTCAAATCTCCCCCGCACCATGCCACTTCTGTTAGCAGAATGGGTGCGCTACTGCGGTTCCCCACCCCCTTCCCCCCGCTCTCCATGTTGCTTTGGGCTTTCCGCTGCCGCAATCCCGAAACAAGCCCCTCCCTCCCCGTTCAGTTTGCGCGCAGTCAGTCAGTCAGTCAGTCAAGTCATTCCACTCAACCGCTCTTTTCAGTCAGTCAGTCAGTTCTCGAGGGACACAGACCGACACTTTCTCGAAAACAGCTGCTTTCTATCTCCAAGAATTTCTCAGTTCCAGCCTTCAGGAGTGAGAAATCGTTCTGCTCTTCAGTGCTTGTGGCCTCTAGTGAACGGACTCCTGCAAACGGTCATCATTCCACGATTTAGCAGATTTGGAGTGCAAGGGTAATAGAAGTAGTCGTGTTTTTTCTCCTGTTCAATAACAAGAAGTTGCACGTCTGGCGTCGCACAAGGATAGTCGTCGCACGTCAGTCGTCGCACACTCGTTACAATGTCGGCCATAGAGCTTGTCCAGGGCCCCGGATTCTCCGACTATGGCTCATCCCTGTCCGCGGACGGCGGAAAGGACTCCCTCCGCTCCACAGAATCCGCGGGTTCCGCCGGTTCCGCCTCCCCGCACCCGCTGCAGCACAGCCAGGACCGCTTCCTCGACATGGGCGCAGGCCGCCACGGCTTCAAAGGCGCCTCGTTCTCCTCCGCCGTCTTTAATCTCGTGACCACCGTGGTTGGCGCGGGAATCATGGGCCTTCCCGGAACGATGCGCGTGTTGGGAATCCCCCTCGGGATCATCGCGCTGGTCGCGATGGGGATATTAACGCAAGTATCCCTGGAGTTACTGATTAAAACGACGACGGTGCAGCAGGTGTGGTCGTACGGTGACCTGGTGCTGCAGGAATGCGGGCCCAAGTGGAGGCTCGTACTCGATATATCCGTCCTCATTAACAACTTCGGGTTGTGCGTCGTGTATTTGATTATTATCGCGGACGTGCTAGCGGGGACGTGGTCCACTATCGGGTCGGCGCATCCTGGGCTGCTGAAAGAGTGGAACGGCGGGGAGGCCGCGTGGTGGAACACGCGGTTCTTTGTACTCGTTGTTATCACGCTCGTTGTGCTCATCCCGCTGGCGTCCTTCCGCCATGTTGGTGAGTCGCATGAAAAAATGTGGGTTACGATATTTTTTTTCACGGCGTGAATTTGCTTGACATGGATATGCTAGAAGTTTGCAAGGATAGCAGATATGATGGTTGCCCATGCACCACACGACATTTACCATACGTGCTGAATTCACCACATGAAACGTCGCATATCAAATATACCTCACGACACCCACCACTTCAAACTCAGAGCACCGCATTCGACACATCGCCGCATCTTGTGCACTACGTCACATTCCGCATCACACTCGCCACGTAACATTCGCCACGTCACATTCTCCACGTCACGTTCACCCAATGACTCCTCTCTCTTTTCCACCATCTCTCTTCCCGATCCTCCTCGCTGCCAGATTCACTGCATTACACGTCAGCGATCGCCGTGATTCTAGCGGTCGTCTTCGTTGTAATCACTCTCATTATCACCATCATCAAGCTGGTCGAGGGCACTCTCCCTTCGCCTCGCTGGTTACCATTCGTCAACGCGCCTAATTTCTTCGCTGCTCTCTGCTCCGTCTTCCCAGTACGCTCCCCTGCCCTTCCCTCCCCTGCCCTTCCCTCTCCTGCCCTTCCCTCCCCTTCCCCTCTCCCAGCCGTTTTCTCCTCAGCCATTCTGTTTCCGTCCCTTCCCCTCCCTTCCCTTCCCTTCCCTGCTCCCCACTCCTTCCGCCCTTCCCTGCCGGTCCTGCCTCCCTCCGTGCCTCCCTCTGCACCGCCAAAATCTACCTCTTCTCTGTGCCGTCCTGCCTCCGTGCCTCCACTTCCCCCACACCCCCCTAACCTTCGCCGTCCTCCCGCCTGAAGTGAGTTAGAAAGGCAGATAGTCATCCCGTCCTGTCCGCGTCCCTCCTCCACCCCAGTTTTGAGTCGTCTCAAAACTAGTTTTCAGCCGACTCAAGACTTCGCTGTCCTCCCGCCTGAAGTGAGTTAGAAAGGCAGGTAGTCATCCCATCCTGTCCGCGTCCCTCCTCCACCCCCCTCATCGTCGCCCTCTTTTCCGCTCTTCCCCAATTGTGCCGTGCCTGTCTGAGCGTGTTCAGGTCATGGCCACTGCTTACATCTGCCACTTCAACAGTGAGTAACGCTCCTAGCAGGTGCCACCCACACCAGGTGCTACCCACACCAGGTGCCACCCACACCAGGTGCCACCCACACCAGGTGCCACCCTCCCTTCTTCCTCCCTCTCCCTCTTCATCTCCCCCTTCATCTGCCCCCAATCTCCCTCTGTATGGCGTTCCCTCCGCCTCTGCTCCCTCTACCCCTCCTTCTGTCTCTGCCCATTCCCCACACCGCCCCTCTCTCTGTCGATTCCTCTGCCCCTCCCTCTACACACGGTCCTCGCCAATTTCAATCCCTCCAATTTTACACGCCTGGGCATTTGTTTCTGGTTTACCCGAAATCAAGGGTCATTCGGACAGCTAAGGCTTAAAGTAAAAGGTTTTCCAGACTACCCTCATGAGTCAGCAAGAAAACAAAAAACATGGTCGCAGCGGAAGATCCAGTCCATGCGCTGCAGTCACTGCGGGAGAATTTCGCGAGATCGACACTAAAGGATGTCATGAGTAGCCTGTAGTTACTGAATGTTTGATCCCTAAAGCCAGAAACGGTCAAGGGTGATTTGTGGAAAATCTCAGAGGACATGAAATTGGCGAGGACACGGTGTATCTCTCCCTCTGCCCCTGCCCAACCTCCCTCCCTCCTCCCTCCACATTCACCCTCCCCTTCCTCTCCCCGCCCCACATCCCCCACCCTCCAGTCCACCCCAACTACGTGGAGTTGAAGGACAGAACCGAGCAGAACCTGACAGCCGTAACGCGTTTCTCCATGGCGACGTGCTTCGCCATCTACACGCTCACCTCGCTCTGCGGCTACCTGCTCTTCCCTCGCTCCCTTAGTCGATTCCTTTGTCCCTCCCTCTGCCCCTCCCTATGCCCCTCCCAATGCCCCTCCCTCTGCCCTTCCCTCTGCCCCTGGTCCCTCTACCTCTCCCGTCTGGCCACTCCCTTCCCCACCCCCTCTCAGTCCACCCCATCTACGTGGAGTTGAAAGATCGCACGGAGCAGAACATGACAGCGGTAACGCGCTTCTCCATGGCGACGTGCTTCGCCATCTACACGCTCACCTCGCTCTGCGGCTACCTGCTCTTCGGCGACGAAACCGCGCCCGACGTGCTCGCCAACTTCTCCACGCCTATCCTGACGGGGCAGCAGTGGCTGAACGACGTGGTGCGCATCTCGTACGCGCTGCACGTGGTGCTCGTCTTTCCCGTCATCTACTACTCGCTCCGGAACGTCACGGACGATCTGTTTTGCTACAACGCGGAGAAGTCGCTCGCGGAGGATGATCGGAGGTTCTGGATTATCACTGGAGTGCAGCTGGTGGGGATCTGTATCATCGGCACGCTCGTGCCCAACATCTGGGTGGCGTTCGACTTGACCGGGGCGACGTCTACCATGATCATTGGCATGGTGTTCCCTGCTGTTATTGCACTGAGGTGAGCCCCATTTACCGCCCCAACATCGGGGGTGCAGCTGGTGGGGATCTGTATCATCGGCACGCTCGTGCCCAACATCTGGGTCGCGTTCGACTTGACCGGGGCCACCTCGACGATGATCATCGGCATGTTGTTCCTGCTGTCATTGCTCTCAGGTGAGCGAATCTCTTCCCTCACCTCTTCCTTCACTTATCAACTCACCTCTCCTCTCCCGTCTCGCTCAATCACTCACCAACAGGGACCGGTCGGGAGTGGTGCATGGGTGGGAGCGCAAGACCTCATGGGCCACGATCGTGTGGGCTGCTATCATCTGTGTGACGAGCACTGACTCACTGCTGTATGCCTGATTCACTCTTCTGCTTTTCCTCCCCTCTCCCCTACCCTTGCACCAACAGGGACCGGTCGGGAGTGGTGCATGGGTGGGAGCGCAAGACCTCGTGGGCCATGATCGTGTGGGCTGCCATCATCTGTGTGACCAGCATTGCTTCGTCCATCTACATGCTGGTGGTGGGTATTGCCAGTCAACCCGGCTCGCAGGACACCCAAGGGTAGAGCGGAAAGAGGGTGGAGGAAGAGAGGAGACCAGGAGGAAAGGGAATGGGGGAAGGGGGAAAGGGGAAAGGGGAAGGGGAGCTCCTATCATCTGTGTGACGAGCATTGGTGGTGGGCATTGCCAGTCAGCCCGGTTCACAGGACACGCAAGGGTAGAGAGGAAGTGGGCGGAGGTGGAGTAGGAATGGGGGAAAGGGGAAGGTGGAAGGGACAGAGGGAGGCGTCTAGCATTGGGTCGTCCATCTACATGCTGGTGGTGGGGATTGCCAGTCAGCCCGGTTCACAGGACACGCAAGGGTAAACACACAGGAGGGATGGAGAGAGGAGGAAGAAGAATGGGGAAAGGTGAAGGGGAGTTGGCACATACTGCCAAGTTGGATCAGCTTTGAAGAGCCATAGAAACTACCGTACGCAGTTTTTGAGTCGACTCTAAAGTCAGCAAGTTGGAATAGTTAGCTTCGAGGAGCCATAGAATACTGCCGTAAGCGGTTTTTATCTGGTACTGGCACGTACCAAATTATAGAGTAGTGGAGTGGGCAGCTGTTGAACATGTGTGGAGGTGACTATTTCTTAGGATAGAATATGTTTTTATATGGCTCTTGCACGCACACGTGGCAAGGTGACTGTGAGCAGTTTATTGTAAGTCACTAGTGACTGCCTGCACTGCACTTGATCCAGACTCTGAAACATTCAACCGTCCAGACTCTTAAAACCGTTCATTCAACCCTCCTTCCTGGCATACCATACAAATGACACTGCTTCGGTCTGAGGACCCTAAACCCTAAACCCGGGACTCTTGGGTTCCATTGGTACAGCTACAGCTGCTGTTGCTGCATTTTCTCTAGCATCTCCAGGGCAGCAGGCGGAACCACCTTCCGCCCGCCCTTCTCAGCCATGCCGCACGAAGCCATGCCTTCTAGAATGTCAAACGCGGCACACCATGCCGCCTCCAAGTCTCCAAACCACTCCTCCCCGAATGCCCTCTGCAACGCCTCTATGAAGCCAGTGCGGGAAATCTGCACGGAAAGAAAGGTGTGAGGGAAGGGAAGAAAGAGAGATTGAACTTCTGGACGGATGTCAAACGCTGCACACCACTCTTCCCCGAACGCCCTCTGCAACGCCTTCATAAAGTCAGTGGGGAAGATCTGTAAAGGGAGGAGTGTGGAGGAGTGTGGGAAAAAGAAAGAGAGAGAGGGGTTGAGCAGTCTGGCAGCACACCGAGCAGATGCTACAGCAATGGCAAGCAGCAGCAACGGCAAGCAGCAGCAACGGCAAGCAGCAGCAACGGCAAGCAGCAGCAGCAGCAGCAGCAAGCAGCAGCAGCAGCATCAAGCAGCGGCGGTGGTCGCAGCAAAGCACTTCAATCACTGGCATCTTCATCAGTTGTCCCAGCTACACGAGCAGCACGCATGACCACTGACCAGCATTGTCTGCCCCACTGTTACCGTACCATCCACTGCTGTCCCACCACTTCCATCACCATCAGGTGCACACCTGTAACTTCCATTCACTCAACTCTCCCACTCCAGTCACTCACTCACTCAATCACTCACTTCAGTAACTCACTCACTCTCACTCAATCCAGCCACTCACTAACTCGGCTACCCTTCTCCGTTCTAACAGAGAACTTACAAGCTCAAAGGGTTTGAAGGAACCCCATGACACAATCATCCTGCTCCATGTCCCCCCACTTCATGGCGTGTGCACCAAGGTCTAACCTCTCCTGCTCGACAGGCTGCTTGCTCCGCTTCTCCCGCTCCCCCTCCCAGTGAAACGACCGACCAACAATGCGGTACAGAGTCAGGGATGAAAACTGCCCCTGCAGCGACACCAGCAGCTCGGGCTCGCACTGCCGAGTCGGAAAGAAGATACATTCCAGCTCTGGAGCTCGAATGAAAGGAAGCCTTGTCACCTCCAGCTTCCGAGATTTAATAAAAGGAAGCCTTATCGTCTCCACCACACAGCTGTTCCTCACTCTTTCCTCCACAGTAGCCGGTCTTATCCTCTCCCCACCACTTCCCCAGCCTTCCACGCCAATCCCAAGGCAGCGCAGACGGCACCACTCTGCATCCACATTCTCCAGCGGCCACCCATGCCTCACTATAAGCTCCACTGTAGGCGCTATGGTGCTGAGCAGCTGGGTCAAGGAGAGGGAACGCCAGAATTTATGATTCAGGACGTGTGGTCCATTCAAGACGACCGTGTTGGCATAAGCTAATGGCGGGAAAAGACAATGAGCTGCATGCGGCCACTGAGGGTGAGAGAGTCGAGGGAGAGAGGGGAGGCGCCCTTGCAGTTGAACTCCAACTCGTCTGCCTCGATAGAAAGCCTCTTGAGAGTGGGAGGGAGGGAGAGGTTGATTATTAGCAGCTTGTTCTCGAAAGTGATGGTGACAGCTCGAGCAACAGAGAACTTAAGCTCTAGTTTACAGAGATGACCTAAACTCTTACCCCCCGAGGAAAAAAGAGAGAAATCATGCAGCTGCGGAGCAACGGAAGACAGGAAGTTGAGGTCGTGTTTCTGGCAATCAACCTGCGCGATGGTCAGACTCCTTAGTGCCTTGAACCATGCCGCATCCACATCGCCAAGTTGCCACCTCCCAAACCCTAGCTTCAGCCGCTGCAGCTGCTGAAACCCCTCGAGAAAGGCCGGATTTACCAACTCGTGCTGAGCAGATTCGTACTGTTCAGTCGAATCCCTCACTATGGTCGGGGTCTTCACAAGGCTCAGGCTTATGAGGGAGTGAGCAGACGATGCCATAAGTTGGTCGAGGCTCTGCAGATCCGTCACGTTGGTGAAAGTGAGGTCAAGGGACTTGTGACCTGGGAGTTTGAGGAAGCTGCAGAGCGCTCCTGACTGTGGATCTCCTGGCTGTTGAACACGAGGGCGATGGGCTGTTGCTCCTGCTCACCCTAAACCCACCCAGATTACAGGGCTGAATCTGGGTCGACTGTAAGAGTTCTTAGAAGAGGTTCGGCATCCAGAGCTAATCATTCCATGGGATGCGTCTTTACAGATGAGGATATACGATTGAATGAGGGAAGCAGCGCATGATGACTCACGGAGAAGGACATGACATGGTGGACGAGAAGGGGGAAGGGGGAAGGGGGAAGGGGGGAGGGGGAAGGTGGAAGGGGGAAGGGGAAGGGAGAAGGGGAAGGGGGAAGGGGGGAAGGTGGAAGGGGGAAGAGGGAAGGGGGAAGGGGAAAGGGGGAAGGGAAAGGGGGAAGGGGAAGGGGGAAGGAGATGACATGGTGGGAGAGCCTCTTGCTGGCCATGGCACAGCGCAGCAGAGGCCAGGAGGAGCCGAAGCGCCGTGTGTTCTCCTCCTGCTGCTCGCTGGCAGTCAATTGACTGGCGGAGGCTGAGGAGCTGCTGCCTGCTTCCCGCCAGGATGAGACAAGAGGGTCCTGCTGCTGTAGCTAAGCGGAAGCTTCCGTGATAAGCCGATCGACCAAGTCACACAAGCTGCTGACTGCTCCCCGCGAAGATGCCTCTCGAAGAGAAGTTCCTTGTTTCTCCAGCTGAGAGGAGGAGGAACTGGCTGGCGGTAGCAGCAGGAGGCGGAAGACGACGTGCCAGATGGGGCCGGGCAGCAGATCAACCACGTCCTCGCTCTGGTGTGATGAGAGGAAGAAGCGCAGATGAGAAAGAAACGCAGATGAGAAAGAAGCCCAGATGAGAAAGAAGCGCAGATGAGAAAGAAGCTCAGATGAGAAAAAAGCGCAGATGAGAAAGAAGCGCAGATGAGAAAGAAGCGCAGATGAGAGAGAAGCGCAGATGAGAGAGAAGCGCAGATGAGAAAGAAGCGCAGATGAGAAAGAAGCGCAGATGAGAAAGAAGCGCAGATGAGAGAGAAGCGCAGATGAGAGAGAAGCGCAGATGAGAGAGAAGCGCAGATGAGAGAGAAGGGCAGATGAGAGAGAAGCGCCGATGAGAGAGAAGCGCAGATGAGAGAGAAGCGCAGATGAGAGAGAAGCGCAGATGAGAAAGAAGCGCAGATGAGAAAGAAGCGCAGATGAGAAAGAAGCGCAGATGAGAAAGAAGCACAGATGAGAGAGAAGCGCAGATTAGAGAGAAGCGCAGATGAGAGAGAAGCGCAGATGAGAGAGAAGCGCATATGAGAGAGAAGCGCAGATGAAAGAGAAGCGCATATGAGAGAGAAGCGCAGATGAGACAGAAGCGCAGATGAGAAAGAGGCGCAGATGAGAGAGAAGCGCAGATGAGAGAGAAGCGCAGATGAGCCTCCTCCTGTCCCTCAGTCCCTCTGTCCCTCTGCCCCTCTGTCCCTCTGTGCCGCTGTCCCTCTGTCCCTCTGTCCCTCTGTCCCTCTGTCCCTCTGTCCCTCTGTCACTCTGTCCCTCTGTCCCTCTGTCCCTCTGTCCCTCTGTCCCTCTGTCCCTCTGTCCCTCTGTCCCTCTTTCCCTCTGTCCCTCTGTCCCTCTGTCCCTGTCCCTGTCCCTGTCCCTCTGTCCCTCTGTCCCTCTGTCCCTCTGTCCCTCTTTCCCTCTGTCCCTCTGTCCCTCTGTCCCTCTGTCCCTCTGTCCCTCTGTCCCTCTGTCCCTCTGTCCCTCTGTCCCTCTGTCCCACTGTCCCTCTGTCCCTCTGTCCCTCTGTCCCTCTGTCCCTCTGTCCCTCTGTCCCTCTGTCCCTCTGTCCCTCTGTCCCTCTGTCCCTCTGTCCCTGTCCCTCTGTCCCTCTGTCCCTGTCCCTCTGTCCCTCTGTCCCTGTCCCTCTGTCCCTCTGTCCCACTGTCCCTCTGTCCCTCTGTCCCTCTGTCCCTCTGTCCCTGTCCCTCTGTCCCTCTGTCCCTCTGTCCCTCTGTCCCTCTATCGCTCTGTCCCTCTGTCCCTGTCCCTCTGTCCCTCTGTCCCTCTGTCCCTCTGTCCCTCTGTCCCTCTGTCCCTCTGTCCCTCTGTGCCTCTGTCCCTCTGTCCCTCTGTCCCTCTGTCCCTCTGTCCCTCTGTCCCTGTCCCTCTGTCCCTCTGTCCCACTGTCCCTCTGTCCCTCTGTCCCTCTGTCCCTCTGTCCCTGTCCCTCTGTCCCTCTGTCCCTCTGTCCCTCTGTCCCTCTGTCCCTCTGTCCCTCTGTCCCTGTCCCTCTGTCCCTCTGTCCCTATGTCCCTCTGTCCCTCTGTCCCTCTGTCCCTCTGTCCTTCTATCCCTCTGTCCCTCTGTCCCTCTGTCCCTCTGTCCCTCTGTCCCTCTGTCCCCCTGTCCCTCTGCCCCTCTGTCCCTCTGTCCCTCTGTCCCTCTGTCCCTCTGTCCCTCTGTACCTCTGTCCCTCTGTCCCTCTGTCCCTCTGTCCCTCTGTCCTTCTGTCCCTCTGTCCCTCTGTCCCTCTGTCCCTCTGTCCCTCTGTCCCTCTGTCGCCCTGTCCCTCTGTCCCTGTCCCTGTCCCTCTGTCCCTCTGTCCCTCTGTCCCTCTGTCCCTCTGTCCCTCTGTCCCTCTGTCCCTCTGTCCCTCTGTCCCTCTGTCCCTCTGTCCCTCTGTCCCTCTGTCCCTCTGTCCCTCTGTCCCTCTGTCCCTCTGTCCCTCTGTCCCTCTGTCCCTCTGTCCCTCTGTCCCTCTGTCCCTCTGTCCCTCTGTCCCTCTGTCCCTCTGTCCCTCTGTCCCTGTCCCTCTGTCCCTCTGTCCCTCTGTCCCTCTGTCCCTCTGTCCCTCTATCCCCCTGTCCCTCTGTCCCTCTGTCCCTCTGTCCCTTTGTCCCTCTGTCCCTCTGTCCCTCTGTCCCTCTGTCCCTCTGTCCCTCTGTCCCTGTCCCTCTGTCCCTCTGTCCCTCTGTCCCTCTTTTCCTCTGTCCCTCTGTCCCTCTGTCCCTCTGTCCCTCTGTCCCTCTGTCCTTGTCCCTCTGTCCCTCTGTCCCTCTGTCCCTCTGTCCCTCTGTCCCTCTGTCCCTCTGTCCCTCTCTCCCTCTGTCCCTCTGTCCCTCTGTCCCTGTCCCTCTGTCCCTCTGTCCCTCTGTCCCTCTGTCCCTCTGTCCCTCTGTCCCTCTGTCCCTGTCCCTCTGTCCCTGTCCCTCTGTCCCTCTGTCCCTCTGTCACTCTGTCCCTCTGTCCCTATGTCCCTATGTCCCTGTCCCTCTGTCCCTCTGTCCCTCTGTCCCTCTGTCCCTCTGTACCTCTGTCCCTCTGTCCCTCTGTCCCTTTGTACCTCTGTCCCTGTCCCTGTCCCTGTCCCTGTCCCTGTCCCTCTGTCCCTCTGTCCCTCTGTCCCTCTGTCCCTCTTTCCCTCTGTCCCTCTGTCCCTCTGTCCCTCTGTCCCTCTGTCCCTCTGTCCCTCTGTCCCTCTGTCCCTCTGTCCCTCTGTCCCTCTGTCCCTCTGTCCCTCTGTCCCCGTCCCTCTGTCCCTCTGTCCCTCTGTCCCTCTGTCCCTCTGTCCATCTGTCCCTCTGTCCCTCTGTCCCTGTCCCTCTGTCCCTCTGTCCCTCTGCCCCTCTGTCCCTCTGTCCCTCTGTCCCTATGTCCCTCTGTCCCTGTCCCTCTGTCCCTCTGTCCCTCTGTCCCTCTGTCCCTCTGTCCCTCTGTCCCTCTGTCCCTCTGTCCCTCTGTCCCTCTGTCCCTCTGTCCCTCTGTCCCTCTGTCCCTCTGTCCCTCTGTCCCTCTGTCCCTCTGTCCCTCTGTCCCTGTCCCTCTGTCCCTCTGTCCCTCTGTCCCTCTGTCCCTCTGTCCCTCTGTCCCTCTGTCCCTCTATCCCCCTGTCCCTCTGTCCCTCTGTCCCTCTGTCCCTTTGTCCTTCTGTCCCTCTGTCCCTGTCCCTCTGTCCCTCTATCCCTCTCCCTCTGTCCCTCTGTCCCTCTGTCCCTCTGTCCCTCTGTCCCTCTGTCCCTCTGTCCCTCTGTCCCTCTGTCCCTCTGTCCCTCTGTCCCTCTGTCCCTCTGTCCCTCTGTCCCTCTGTCCCTCTGTCCCTGTCCCTCTGTCCCTCTGTCCCTCTGTCCCTCTGTCCCTCTGTCCCTCTGTCCCTCTCTCCCTCTGTCCCTCTGTCCCTCTGTCCCTGTCCCTCTGTCCCTCTGTCCCTCTGTCCCTCTGTCCCTCTGTCCCTCTGTCCCTGTCCCTCTGTCCCTGTCCCTCTGTCCCTCTGTCCCTTTGTACCTCTGTCCCTGTCCCTGTCCCTGTCCCTGTCCCTCTGTCCCTCTGTCCCTCTGTCCCTCTGTCCCTCTTTCCCTCTGTCCCTCTGTCCCTCTGTCCCTCTGTCCCTCTGTCCCTCTGTCCCTCTGTCCCTCTGTCCCTCTGTCTCTCTGTCCCTCTGTCCCTCTGTCCCTCTGTCCCTCTGTCCCTCTGTCCCTCTGTCCCCGTCCCTCTGTCCCTCTGTCCCTCTGTCCCTCTGTCCCTCTGTCCCTCTGTCCCTCTGTCCCTCTGTCCCTCTGTCCCTCTGTCCCTCTGTCCCTCTGTCCCTCTGTCCCTGTCCCTCTGTCCCTCTGTCCCTCTGTCCCTCTGTCCCTCTGTCCCTGTCCCTCTGTCCCTCTGTCCCTCTGTCCCTCTGTCCCTCTGTCCCTCTGTCCCTCTGTCCCTCTATCCCCCTGTCCCTCTGTCCCTCTGTCCCTCTGTCCCTTTGTCCTTCTGTCCCTCTGTCCCTGTCCCTCTGTCCCTCTATCCCTCTCCCTCTGTCCCTCTGTCCCTCTGTCCCTCTGTCCCTCTGTCCCTCTGTCCCTCTGTCCCTCTGTCCCTCTGTCCCTCTGTCCCTCTGTCCCTCTGTCCCTCTGTCCCTCTGTCCCTCTGTCCCTCTGTCCCTCTGTCCCTCTGTCCCTGTCCCTCTGTCCCTCTGTCCCTCTGTCCCTCTGTCCCTCTGTCCCTGTCCCTCTGTCCCTCTGTCCCTCTGTCCCTCTGTCCCTCTGTCCCTCTGTCCCTCTGTCGCCCTGTCCCTCTGTCCCTGTCCCTGTCCCTCTGTCCCTCTGTCCCTCTGTCCCTCTGTCCCTCTGTCCCTCTGTCCCTCTGTCCCTCTGTCCCTCTGTCCCTCTGTCCCTCTGTCCCTCTGTCCCTCTGTCCCTCTGTCCCTCTGTCCCTCTGTCCCTCTGTCCCTCTGTCCCTCTGTCCCTCTGTCCCTCTGTCCCTCTGTCCCTCTGTCCCTCTGTCCCTCTGTCCCTCTGTCCCTCTGTCCCTCTGTCCCTCTGTCCCTCTGTCCCTCTGTCCCTCTGTCCCTCTGTCCCTCTGTCCCTCTGTCCCTCTGTCCCTCTGTCCCTGTCCCTCTGTCCCTCTGTCCCTCTGTCCCTCTGTCCCTCTGTCCCTCTATCTCCCTGTCCCTCTGTCCCTCTGTCCCTCTGTCCCTTTGTCCCTCTGTCCCTCTGTCCCTCTGTCCCTCTGTCCCTCTGTCCCTCTGTCCCTGTCCCTCTGTCCCTCTGTCCCTCTGTCCCTCTGTTCCTCTGTCCCTCTGTCCCTCTGTCCCTCTGTCCCTCTGTCCCTCTGTCCTTGTCCCTCTGTCCCTCTGTCCCTCTGTCCCTCTGTCCCTCTGTCCCTCTGTCCCTCTGTCCCTCTCTCCCTCTGTCCCTCTGTCCCTCTGTCCCTGTCCCTCTGTCCCTCTGTCCCTCTGTCCCTCTGTCCCTCTGTCCCTCTGTCCCTGTCCCTCTGTCCCTGTCCCTCTGTCCCTCTGTCACTCTGTCCCTCTGTCCCTATGTCCCTATGTCCCTGTCCCTCTGTCCCTCTGTCCCTCTGTCCCTCTGTCCCTCTGTACCTCTGTCCCTCTGTCCCTCTGTCCCTTTGTACCTCTGTCCCTGTCCCTGTCCCTGTCCCTGTCCCTCTGTCCCTCTGTCCCTCTGTCCCTCTGTCCCTCTTTCCCTCTGTCCCTCTGTCCCTCTGTCCCTCTGTCCCTCTGTCCCTCTGTCCCTCTGTCCCTCTGTCCCTCTGTCCCTCTGTCCCTCTGTCCCTCTGTCCCCGTCCCTCTGTCCCTCTGTCCCTCTGTCCCTCTGTCCCTCTGTCCATCTGTCCCTCTGTCCCTCTGTCCCTGTCCCTCTGTCCCTCTGTCTCTCTGCCCCTCTGTCCCTCTGTCCCTCTGTCCCTATGTCCCTCTGTCCCTGTCCCTCTGTCCCTCTGTCCCTCTGTCCCTCTGTCCCTCTGTCCCTCTGTCCCTCTGTCCCTCTGTCCCTCTGTCCCTCTGTCCCTCTGTCCCTCTGTCCCTCTGTCCCTC